CTTCGTTTGGATAACTACCCTTGGCAGTCTCACCGGACAACATGACACAGTCGGCACCATCCGTAACAGCATTACCCACATCACTGATCTCGGCGCGGGTGGGGCGCGGGTTGTAGATCATGGACTCGAGCATTTGAGTGGCACAGATGACTGGCTTTCCGGCGATGTTGCACATGGCAATCATCTTCTTCTGGGCTGCAAACACCTCAGCGGCTGGGATCTCAATACCCAAGTCACCACGAGCGACCATAACACCATCAGTCTCCTCGAGGATCTCAGCAAAATTGTTTAGACCTTGTCTGTTCTCGATCTTGGCAATGATCTGGATGTGGGCTCCATCTTCTCCAAGGACCTTGCGGATAGACTTGATGTCATCTCCTCTGCGAATGAAGGAGGCAAAAACCATATCAACGTTGTTCTTGACACCAAATCGGAGATCGGCTTGGTCCTTCTCGGACAAGGCTGGAAGGTCGACATCGGTGTTGGGGAGGTTGACACCCTTCTTGGAGGAAATCTTGCCATTGTTCCGGGCACGGGCACGGATAGTCTTGTCGTCAACAACGTCGAGGACATCAAAGGCAAGGACTCCGTCGTCAACATAGATGATGCGGCCCTTCTCGATCACCTTGGTGATGTTCTTGTAGTCGACATACCTAGCCACGATTAGTCTCAGTGCGCCAAGAAGGAAGCAGCAGATTCTGTAGTGCTCAGCCCCAACTTACATGTTCTTATCGTCACACGAAGTAGCATATTTGTCGTCGGTGGTAATGTTGATCTCGGCGCCGGCCGCGATCGGGATGTCTATATCTCCAGCAGTGTTTCCAGTTCTGATCTCGGGGCCCTTGGTGTCCAGAGCAATAGCAAGCTGACGCCCAGACTGGGCCTTCTCGGCTGCGCGGGCATTGTCAATGACGGACTGGTGATACTCGTAGGAACCGTGGGAGAAGTTCATGCGAACAACATTGAGACCGGCAGTTCGGAGCTCGTTGATAGCCTTGACGGAGTTTGTCTTGGGGCCAATTGTGCAGATGATTGAAGTACGGCGGTAATTCTTCGTGGGCTTGAATTCGGTGTTCAGCTGCGAGAGCCACTCGATCTTCGTCGAGCCCGATGAGAGGTGGTCCATTGCGGTAGCCATGATGAAGGAAGGAGGTGGGCTGGTGCGACGGGAACTTTTGAGGTAGAAGGTTCGGAGTCGTTCGCTAAATGAATTTATTTCTAGGAATACAGCGTAGAGGAAGAGGTATCGACGACGGTGGTAGGATGGTAGGATGAGCAAGACTGCCTGGCGATTTATAAAGATGATGGTTTCCTGGAAGAAAAATGGTCAACTCTCACCCGTTTTATCTTAAGTTTATCTTGGTGGGGTTGAGATAAATAGCGTGAACAAATATTTCCTTCCCAATGCGGGTAATAGTTGAAGTGACAGGAGAGCGTAATCAACGGGGTAAAAGCGAATTTATATTATAATATATAATACAACGCGGAATGATCGGGGATGTACTCACAGGTTCCTTGGAGAATACTCTCTAATCTTTGCTTGGGAGATGATATGGTGAGATGATGGGACAAAAGGCCTGATGCGCAGACACGCAAACACGCAGCTTCAACCCCACGCAATAAATGATTGGTGAGGGTTGAGCCGCCAGTGCAATTCGGCCCGGTGGGTACATTTATAGGTATTATCGATAAGATAGGTAGGTACCTTACCTGACCTTACCGTACCTAGATACCGCCGTGTTTTACCGTAGGTAATTTATACGCCTGAGGCAGGAACATTTAGCTGTGCTGTGCACCTGCAGGTTGTCCCGCCATCGCTAATCGCACCTGCCGTGTACCCTATTGCCTCTTGACACGGTCAGTCTTGTCTTGTCTTGCAAAACAAAGAGAGCAGGAGGATCAACTCTTACCGTTCCATATTCCATACTCCGTATTCAAGCTCATACACCATCACCACCAAGCCACCATCTCTTTCCTCGAAGCAGATATACCCATATTCGCAGCCATGGTTGTCAGTCTTCCCGCCCCCCAAGTCGAGTGACTGGATCCTAATCAACCCAGCTGCTCAACCTACTAACATTTGGCTTGTGGGGAAAGGTCGGAAAAGTAGCTCACTATGCGTTTGATGCGCTTTTGAGTATGTCTTCTCTGAGGCTCCTACATCTTATGAGCTTCAAGAAAACCCGCTGATTTCTTCTCCTAGTCTCCACTTTCCTCGCTGGCATGAGACGATCGACCGGTTTAACGTACGTTCCCTACAACCCATATGCAAGAACAGTCTTCGCTCGAGTCGATCCTGGGGGACTGGGAGGGGTGTTACTCGGAGCCGCGTTGAAGGCCTGGCGGTGATAAGTTGAAAACACATTGGCTAACATATCATATTCGCAGTTTCAAGAAAGAAACCATTACGGAAAGCAAAGATATCAACGTCTGGATCGAAAAGTACCTCGGCGTGGGCGAGTGGGTGATGGATTCATCCGTGGCATTCGCAGGGTCCAGCCGCTTTTTCGAGAGGAAGAGATAATCTCGCCATGTTCCCAGGAGGAGTAGGGTATCGACACGATGGCATGTAACGGACACGAAGTTGGATATGGCATGCAGAAGGGGATGTGGCCATTCGAGGAGTCTTTGGCGTTCTTGGGTTGTCTTGTATAGAATGTTTGATACTGAGTCTTTGGGTGCACCGCAGGCGAAAGGTCCTTCTTCTCAATCATGGAGTATATAAGAATTCTTTCAAGGATAACGGGAAAATTCATATCCAGCCAAAAAAGAAATGCAGACCCAAACAAGTGCTCCTTCGAATCTTTCTGCTCCACACTCCGCTTCAACTCTCCCCGAATCAACACCCCTCTCGACCGAGGGGCCGACTATACCCGAACTTCGGACTTTACTCCGTAGTCGCAAGCGCTATGCACGTGAAATGTGAGACATGAGACTCAGAGTTCACACGAGGAAGAAGTAGAGGCAGTTGATTCTTCTAAATCCCAAATCGTGTGACCTTCTAACGGAGGTAAACGAGTGGTTTGGCTTCTTCATATTCCCTCAACTCTGCCGAGACTTTTATACCCCTCTTACTGGGCTGTTTTGCACGATTTGGACATTGTATTTATGGATGTAATTTTCTAAATAGGAGAGAAAGCAAATCGATTAAATATATTAATCCAATAGGTGAAATTGGTTCTGGTATCATACGCTGCTCTGATCTACATCCCCGCTCTCATGATCAATCATCAATTCCGCCAGGTTGGGATCATCATCTTCACTCTCTTCCCGCTCAACGCTCTCGCTTCTTTGACTTTCTGCTGCCTTTCCAGCCTTCCTATCCTCCAACCCACTCAGTTCATTCAGACCATTTGTAGCAACTCCACCTGGTTCATCATCATCCTTCTGCTGCTGCTCCGCAAACTCCAACGCACTTCTCAGAAGCCCCTCTCCTTCTGTAAATGCCTGCAACTCAGCCCCTACAGCACAAATCAACAGATTCCAACCTCTATCCTCCGCCGTTCCCATGATATCCTTAAGCTTTTCAATAACCACTCCCATCCTCCCAACTTGACTTTTGAACAGCTGCTTGTCCTGTGCCTCACCACTCTTCATCTGTTTCCTAAGCTCGTCCTCAAACTCACTGACAACACCCATAGCATCTTCCCACATTAACGCTCCCTCCTCCAGAGCTTGCTTCTCCTTCTCCGTTTCTCCTTTCTTGGTCGTAAGGGAAGCCGACTCTTTCAGCCACCACTCCCTAGCCATACCGAGCGTCCTCCTACTAGGAGGCAGCGCGTAGAAGCCCTCTTCATCACCCATGATTACAGACACAGGAACTGGCGGCCGTCTCAAAAACTCCTTAACCTGCCCCTCCGCTTCCCTCAGCGCTCCTCGATAGCTACTGAGCCTCGCCTCACGGCGGTTCACAGACTCCTTAACCTGCTCTCCCAACCAGCGTTTCCTTGCCTTCATCTGCAGAAGCCTATCCTCCATCTCTCTGATCTCATTCTCCACGGCCCGTTCCTCAGTCCGTAGCTCTGCAAGTTCCGCAGCCTCTTCACCTCCTCCTTCGTCCCCAGCGTACCCAGAAAGCTGTTCTCTGGCGCCATCAATCCTCTTCTCCCATGTCGCGACCTGCGCAAGGACCTCACCTCTCCGCTCAATCTCCTCATCCAAAATCCCCACCTCCTCACTCTTGATTACAACCAGCTCTCCCATATCCCGTAGTAGTCCCCTCCGCGCCCCTTTTAACCCAATCGTCTTCCGTTTCGGCTGCCGCACCGGCACAATCCCTCCATTGCGACTTCTACTTCTCGCAGAATTTGCGTGTACAGACCGTGATGTAGGCGTGCTACTTCCCGCATCACTACCCTCCTCGCCCGTACCTCCAAACCCTTGTACCAAGCCCGCGGACTGCGCATCAAGTAATAGCTGTAGCTCATGCTGTATTGCCTTCTCCCTCCTCTCGAGATTCGCCAGAGGGTCTATAATCGAGTTCCCGCGGCGCAACTGCGGACTCCCGCTCCTCTTCGACGGGGCATCCCAGCCCTTGTTTTCATGCTTGTGGGATTTGGTAGGTGGTTGCAGAAAGACGGAGGTAGCTATTGGGGGTGGAGGAGCGGCGAACTGGATTCTGCGGGCTGGGGCTTTGGCTCTGGAGGGAGAGGGAGAAGGGCTTGGTGATGCGTTGTATGTGTGCTGGGGATTCGAGTGTCTGTAGAAATCTGGAGGAGGTGAGGGCGAAGCTGTGCGGGAGCTTGCTTCGCGGGGAGAAAGGTTCTGGAGGGATAAGGAGTTCCGGTGGGAGTCTTGTGGGAGGAGAGGGTTGCTTTGGGAGCTGTCGCGGGAGAGGGAACGGGAGAAGAAGGATGTTGGTGACATTGTTTGTGGCTGGGTAAACTTTGGAGTGCATATGATGTTGTTTGCTCTGGCAGCTTGTTAAGGTTTTGAAATATTCATATTCCTATAAAGAAGTGATGCAGAGGCTTGGAGCGAAGGGCAAAGCTTCTTGTAATAAGGCTGCGATTCTTAGCGGTTTGGGTGTGCACATGTTTAAAAAGGTCATCTGAAAATATATTAACTATCCATGCTCGCTATGCTGAGAACTATGGTCATGTGAATATTTCCCGGCTCTGATGAGTCTCGAATACTCAGTATGGAACAAATATCAAGCTTCTGGAGGGTGTGGTAATGAGCTTCAGGTAAGCTTTTTCGTATGGAGCTTCTCGTAATAACTGCCCCTCGGCTGACTTGCCCCGCTGGTACGGGTGACAGAAGTCCGATGAAGTTGGAGAAGATATAAAAGAATTCTATTTCTTCCCCAAAGATCAAATTTGGCTCATTGTTCTCATCAAAGTGTTGCCTCAAGTCTCGGAAACAGTCCAGTCCAAGTCCAAGTTTAAGGAGCTGTTCGCCATCTTCAAAAGGTTACATTAATCGTTCTACCGCATCATTTCGACTAGAAGACTCTAACTATAAACCCGGAATCTCCAAGCCTACCTCAGTATAACTGAAATATATACATCTTCGCATTAGAAGAAACGTTTTTGATCAAATCACTGTATTTAAGTCGTAATTATACCCCATAACAACCATGGCACCAACATCGGAACGGGATGCCTTAACTTCCCGGGTGTTACCGCAGATGGTATTCAGCAAAGGAGACGAAACTTCAAAGACAGCACCACCACGCCCACTACCCGCTTCCGTCAATGCTGAAGGGAGAGCAAAGTTGAGATTCGAAGTTCAAGGAAACGCCATGTAACAAACTTTTCCATCTTATAAAAGACAGAGCTGACTTTATATATCAGAGTGACGGGTGGAGCAGGATCTCTGGGATTTGCTGCTGCTCGTGCCCTCTTTGAGCATGGGCTGGCTGGGTTAATGATTTTTGATGTCAATCCGGCTCAAGCACAAGCCAAGGTCGAGGAGCTAGAAAAAGAGTTCCCAGCAGCAAAGATAGCTTTCAAACAAGTCGACATTACGGATGATGTGGCTGTCGCGAAAGGGGTCGAAGAGGCTGCTAGCCTCCTTGGATCCATCGATGTGCTCCTCTGCTTTGCCGGTGTTGTTGGCTGCCACCACGCCATCGACATGACAGCTGCTCAATGGCGAAAGATTCTTGATATCAATACTACCGGTTGCTTTTTGGTCTCTCAAGCTGTTGCCAAAAAGATGATTGCCCAGGGTACCGGTGGAAGCATTGTTTTCACTGCATCAATCTCTGGCCACCGAGTCAACTACCCTCAGCCTCAAGTTGCGTATAACGTCAGCAAAGCTGCCCTTTTGACGTTGAAGAATGGCTTAGCAGCGGAGTGGGCAAGGTATGGAATTAGAGTAAATTCGATTAGCCCAGGATATGCGGATACGATTCTGAATGAAGGAGACGGGGTAGCTGAGTGTCGCAGGATTTGGGCGGAACGGAATCCAACAGGGAGAATGGGAGCTCCATCAGAGCTTACAGGCGCTGTCGTTCTTCTATCATCCAGCGCAGGAACGTATATGAATGGTATGGCCCTATCAATGCCCCTGAATCCTTATCCAACCGGCTAACGTGGAACTAAAGGAGCGGACCTTGTTGTTGGTAAGTCATAATCTACCCTTCTTAGCATGTCCCGAGGACCTGGTTCTCGAGAATATCCAAGAGAATCTAATGCTAACAAAAACAGATGGCGGTCAAATTCTTTTTTAAAATAGGAGAAATGCTTTTAAGAAACGAGCTTTCGAGGTAGGAATCGAACGAAGGCCCGGTTTGATAAAAATGAAGATGTGTTGTCTGCTACCCCGGTTATGAAACCTTTTCATCGTGCAACTCGCAGCGCTTGACAGCCCACCTCTCCCATCGCTTCCATTGCAGTTTTCCTACCCTGATACCATCGTCATCAAGGTCATTCCACGCATTGCCATTTCCATCGAAGCAAGCGCAGTCGGACTGCAGTCGTTGATATTGGTGTTGACTATTGACCGGGCTTTCTGGGATTGTTGAATGATAAACCATCGTAGAATCACTAATAAAGTTGTCATGAAGAGCTTGCCCAACCTCACTGCCTTCTCCGTCATTCTCACCATCGCTCTCCGAGCCAATGTCTTCAGTCTCGTCAGACTCTGTTATATCAGACTCATCGGGGTCTGAATCCTCGGATCCATTGATATCTACTCCTTCAAGCTCCATTTGACTTGCAAGTGGTGCATCGCTAGAATGATCTGTCCCAAGCCCCTCCCCTTCGTCGTCTTCCTCATTGGATTCGCTTGTATCGTTCAAATGCATATCTGAATCTGAATCGGAATCATCAAACACTGCCCCAGTAGGAAACGTATCGAAGTAGCCGATTCCTCTCAGACTAATCCACTTCAAACCTTTCAGTTCTTGTCGAATAAATCTGAGGATCCTGTCCCATCTGCTACCTTCCTTCAAATACACGTTCCGAAGACGTAAGGCCTTGAGACTGTTGCGGTGCCTACGCAAGAAGCTTGTGACCTCTTCATCATGCAGAGACCACATATGTATGCCGGCATACTTGAGTTTCTCTAATCTGACATTGTTGAACACAGCTTCTAGTGGAAGTGATACTCGGTCCCTAAATCCTATATGCAGCCCCTCGAGATTTACAGCTTGCCTGAGAACTTCTTTGCAGAGTCCGGATAGTTGGGCTCTCACTTCGGCTAAATCCATGCGGTCCACGACATGCAGCTCTAGGCATTTCAGTCGTGCAATACCAGTCGACATTGTGACCTCTGAGTCGCGTGTGAGCGACAGTGGTGTTTGGAGGATCATCAACCGGCAAGAGAATCGTTCGACCTTTGAGTTTGATTGCAACACCGCTTCCACCAACGTGTTCACCGCACGTTCGCACGCGGCTGCCCACTGCAAGCTCTCAAAGTCAGCATTGCATGAGCAAGAAATGTATTTGTGATTCAAGAACGTCTAAAGGGCCCCTCCATGGGATAGCGAGAACCCAGAGCTTGTTCGAGAAGACATTAAAACGATATATTGTATTGAGAAATTGCTTACACTGAAGTCTTCTGCATCTGGAGCATGATATCGTTTCAAAAACCTGTACCAATGTCTATCGTTCTCGTTTTCAAGCGGCATTAATCGAATTTGCTGTAAATTCTTGAAAGACTGTAGTGCAGATTTTAGCACTTCGAAATCCATATCCTCTCCGACAATCCGTCTTTGGCTCTCTGCCTTCTGTCGCAGGGAGGGAGTCAGCGATGAGTGTCTGAACAATTACAACTATCTACGAAAGTGATCGAAGGCGAAAGCTCATGGAAATGACCTTTGTTGCAAAATAAATAATAACACTTGACTTACTTCCATTTGCTTTTTAATTCGCGCTTCATGGAATCTACTTTGCTCGAGTCGGGCACGAATCTGACTCGTTACTTGCCTCGGGCGTCTCTCCTGAAGTTGCCTCTCAAGTGTCTCCGTCTCTCTTTGTTGATCGGCAAGTAGTCTTTCGAAGCCTGGTCTGCCTAGAAGCTTTTGTCAGCTGGAAAGAGGGTTGTACTATAGTTGAAATTACCCTGTAGATAAAAGCGAGGCACCATATATGAAAGTTTCAAAACGTTTTTCGCCAGAATGTTCTTCTCCGCTATACGTTGTAATCTATTAAACCCCTCAAGAGAGAAATCGACGGTAAGGCGTGCGAACTGCCGCTTGAGACCAAGTTCCCGACATTGTCTGTTGACTAGCGCCTGTGGGAGCAGCATTTAGGCAAGACCAACAGAAGAATCTGGTGATTACCTACGAAGTTTGAAAGGTTATCTGATTCATACGGCGCACCAGGTTCCACAGATGCAAAGCTTTCTAGGCTGAGATAACTTCGCGTATCAATTGTGAGGATATTCGGCTTCGGAACGAGATAGTCTAGAATTTTCTCCTTGAGTTCTGGCGGTAAGACATCCCATGAAGGGTTTCCATGGTGGAACCGATCTTTGTAAACATCATTGAATGTCTTGTTGACCGAACGATAACGCAATACATCCCGCTGCCTGTCCATTGGAATGCACGAAATGTATCGCTGGATAGGTGTCTCTTCTCCCAACTCGTCGACGGGTTTTAGGTCGTCAATACCCGTCAAATGAACGAGGATCCTATCAATCACCTCGCGCAATATCTTCTCTTGAGGCTTTTGCGTGACCGCCATACTGCAATCCATGTGGTTAGATCGTGGTGGGCCCATTGATCTAGTTCAGAACATCAAAACTAGTCCCGTTCCGCCGGATGAATAACCTCACCTGTTAACTATTGCAAAGCCTAACCAATACCTGGGACAAGCATTTCTTGATGATTTGCATAAACCCAGGATGTGGGCCAAGATGAAGGTGACAGCTTACCATGGTAAGAGTAGGCACACTCCACAAAACCCGGGTTAATGTGAGAGATTCTCTGAGCTATTTATGCGTCTAGCAATCAAAAGAAGGGAAGAAGATTAGCCTTAGGGGCGGGGCAGATATGTCCACCATTCGCTGGAACATACCCTGGCTGCAGATGGGATCCAGACAACTGGGAGAATGATCAGTCATGTGATCGTCGGGGCTTTTGATTTGCTGGTTTAGAGCCCTCGAAGTCATTCGATTCGACGGGAGAGACTTAGCAAGCATCTCGGTAGTGATGGCTGCATATTTGCCAGCAAATAATTAAGGGCGGGCCACATCCGGTGGTTGCACCGGTGGACTCGTGACGAATAGCGTACTGTATGCACATGAAAAGGAAGGAAGACTGCATGAAATAGCGGTCGCAAAAGATCCACAGCAAGCAAAACTCGATGGTGAACAGACACATTTTCAAAGAAGGCGCTGATGACAGGAGCCGCCGGCTACTGCGGTTTTTGATACTCGACATGGATGATGGTTCGCATGCTCATGGAAAAAGGAGGACTTGACTGGCTGAAAGTCAGGGCGCTTAAAACCTGCAGTAGACTGAGATGATCCTCGATAATCGCAAGGTCATCGGGAGCGGGCCGCGACGCCTGTCGACCGGTTCAATGCAATTATGCTCCCCCAACTCCCAATATTCTCCTTAAGCTCTGCGCTTCCCAAGCCCTGACTATGTGTTGTAACGCAGGAATCTTCCCCCGTCCACCCTTGTCATCTTTACTAGAATGTGCATGTGCATGTGCATATTGTGACTGACGCAACAATTTTTGCTTATCACACATCCGAATCTTTCTCCCCAATCTGCAGCCAAATATCGGTTTCTGACATGAGGATTCAATGTGGTGCTTGATCCTCCTGCATTTCAAATATTGCATTTGCATTACATTAGTCAGCGCGTGTCCATCCCTGAATTGAGCTCTTGAAGAAAAGGAAGGAAGGTTCTTGAACAATAGATAAGTTCCTGAAATCACTTCATAGGGACTTTGTCATAGGAAATGCGTTGCAAGAAGGCTCGGGGCAAGTGTTTCCAGAACTGACTTTCATCCAAAGAACGGTACTGCGAGGTCTACCTTGCAAAGACTTCACCTATGATTTCGATATGTTAAAGACCCAACCATTGATTTAGGGAGAATTTGTATTCTTTCAAACACCCCTAAACTCTCAGGAGGCGTGTCAGCATTTTAAAGCGACGAATTGCGAGCTTTCTCGGCCTGGCGTCTTCTTATTTCAGTACTGCTGATTTTCGATTCAAAACTTTCCGCTTTGCTATCTCCGTCTTCGGTCCCCTCTGCATCCAATACGTCAACTTCAAAAATATCGACAGGTTTCCAACCCCTTTCTCCCCTCTTATCGTTGACCGCTTGGCCGCCCGATCGAGTTTCCCCTGAGACAACAAGTGCGGTGACACTCTCATCTGTAATAGTAGGCCCGAAAGGATCTTGAATTTCAACACACTCGATGGTGATGGAGCTCGCATTTAGTTTGGTGTGTATCGCTCGACCATTCGGAACCGGTTCGTCGAAGGATAAAGTTTGAATTGCCTCGTCTCGAGGGGAGCGTGTAAAAGACAGAATTGAAAGCAAGAAGTCAACAACGTCATCCTGCCGTTGTATCCAGGTTTTCATATATTCCGCATATTTTTTGTTCTTCAAGAGCTCGTCCCCAGTGATGCCAACAATCAATCTTCGGCTGGTGGCCGACACTTTGTTGGCTGGTTGAAGTAGGAGGGCCGTGGCCGTAAGTAGGAGCTTATGACCAGCGTGAAGATGGTCAAATGTCCCACCAACAATCACGGCACTATGGACGTTGGACGAAGTTGGAGGTGGTCGAATAGCTTCGAGATCTCTCCGAACCATACTCACGCCCCCTCCGACGATCTCCACGTGACCTTTAACATGAGACATGGTCCTCTTTGCAAGACTTGAGTAGCTGGCAAACAGTTTCTGGCCTTCCTCTCCATCGACCGAGAAAATCAGATTCCAAGAATATCGGGTGAATGCAAAGGTGGGAAGATCAATGATGGGGCCAGCGATAAAAGGATCAAATGCATAATTGTCTGGGAACGTCTGGGATCCACTGTAGTCTAACAATAGAATTCGAGCATCAATGGAACCCGGGGACTCTGATGCAACATCAGCCCCAAGCCTCGCGCAAACACTGCTAAAGAGGCTGTAGAGCCCGGCGAGAATATGCTGGGCATCATCGTACAGTGCTGCCCTTGGAGCTTGTAGTCGATCATGGATGCTAGGACATGGCAGCACCACGAGCAATTCGGTACTGATGGAGAGAGTTTTCAGAGCTGAGATTGTAGCCGTTATTGATGGTTTATAGGCAGCGGAGAGGGAGGTTGTGCTGATAGTTGTAGGAGGAGGTGGTAAAAGAAGTAGGGACGGCAATGCCTTTGAACTTGGCATCATGAACAGGTATGAATCTGGGGGCCGGTATCCCCTCTGAAGGAGTAGTACCGAGTATGTGGCCTTGGAAGGATTGTAAATGTCTTTACACTACAGAAACCATCATTGTAGTGCAGTTGACCCGCCGAGTTGCTGAAGTAAACAAAATAGTACGGCAGTAGATTGATTGTAGCTCGTAGGTGTACTCGAGTAGCAGAGTTGTAGTTCCAGCCTCGTCCTCGTCGGCTGGCATGTGCTCGGTTAAAGGGTCACAGCAACAGCACAGCATTGGGCTGGCAGCCTGGGTAGTGCAGCGATTGTCTTTACACTGTACGCCGTACGGTAGTACAGTACCTAATTCGGTAGTAACCGCCACCAGAGGGATAGGTAGGTACGGTACGGTATCTCACGACAATGACCTTTCACTTGCATTCACACTCCAGCCATCCTGCCTCGTCGTCGTCGTCGTCGTCGCAACATAATGCCCAGCAAATGCCGGTTGGTGTTGCTTCTGGCATCCTACAAGCTGCAAATCTAGGTTCTCTTGGAGCCCCTGGGAGCAATCTCATTGACGCCCACGCCGTTTCGGGCAACACTACGACAGCTGGCACTGATAGACTCTACCCCGCGAGTGGGAACGTCAATAATACCGCTATGAATATGAACAGCTCCGAAGGCCAGTCTGCGCCCCCTTCCTCCTACGGTCTGCAGCACCCCATCTCTTCTACCAACTCGCCCTCCGCCATGAACCACGCACAACAGTTTGAGACCCCTCGTCGCCGAAACCTCGATGAGCTTCACCTGGGCTCCAACGCTACCAATATGAGTGCCCCAAGAGATCCTTTGTCGCCTAGGGATTATACACCTGCTGGTCCACGTATCGGTGTTGAACAAGCCACTCCTGGAAGTAGTCAGTATCAGGGCGGTGCGCAGCTTCCTGGGTCTCTGCAACCAGGCAGACCGGGTCCTATGTCAGCAAACTCAGGATCTACAATCCCTACGGCTTCTCAGACTTCGATTCAAGAACAGTATTCGACACCATCTCGATCTTCAACTGTAGGCTTATCGCACAATTACACACGATCTAGTCCTGCAGGCTTTGATGGCGCGGGCTATGGTTCATTTGGTGCCACAACACCAGGCGGTACCGATCAATACACGTCTCCAACAAACCAGAAGTACACCCCGCAAAATGCGCAGCGAACGGTATCCAATACTCCACTGGGTTTAGCTGATATCCGTCCTCGTGCGGACTCTGGTCTTGACGACAGCATTCCAGGAGCCAATCCCTATTCATATGACGGCGCAAATGCGGTCCCTACGAATAGTAACTACCTTGCGCCTTGGGCTATATATGCTTTTGATTGGTGCAAGTGGCCAGCTCAGGGTCATGATGCTGGAAAGGTGGCTGTGGGAAGCTACTTGGAAGATGGCCACAATTTTGTGAGTTTCCATATGCCGTAAATTCCGGATCTAGACTTGCAGATAACTAATATTTCATTCTCAAACAGATTCAGATTCTCGATTCTCAAATTACCCCTACCCCAGCCGAATCGTACACGCCGGGCTCTCCAAAGTACGGCTTAGACTTTGTAAAGATTGCTGAAGCAACACACTCTTACCCGGTAACACGTTTGCTGTGGGAACCTCCATCATCCCAGAAGCAATCGACAGATCTTTTAGCCACATCTGGAGACCATTTAAGGTTGTGGTCTTTGCCTTCCGAAACACCATCTGCTTCTCCAGGGAATTCCATTACCAGATCTTCCAACCAGGGGCGAGATCTACCAGCCAGCAAGCTTACTCCCTTAGCATTGCTGTCCAACTCGAAAACGCCCGAGCATACAGCGCCTTTGACTTCTCTTGATTGGAATACAGTTTCACCCAGTCTTATCATTACATCGAGCATCGACACGACCTGTACGATCTGGGATATACCAACGTTGACTGCAAAGACCCAATTGATTGCACACGATAAAGAGGTCTTCGATGTGAGGTTCTGTGCCAATAGTGTTGACGTTTTCGTCAGCTGTGGTGCAGATGGCAGCGTGCGTATGTTTGACTTACGGAGCTTGGAGCACAGCACCATCATATACGAACCAACAGCTAAGGATGACAAAGGTTAGTAATCAAGCGTGTCATATTATTCTCCATGCTGATCTCAATATAGATGCCAGTCCTGGCGGGGGAAGGATAAGTCCAACGCTCGCCCAGCAAACAATGTCATACGCACCTCCACTTTTGCGACTAGCTGCTTCACCACATGATACACATCTTCTGGCTACGTTCTCTCAAGATTCAAATATTATCCGGATACTAGATGTACGGCAACCAGGGCAAGCATTACTAGAGCTTCGAGGCCATTCCGCATCTGTCAATTGCATTGAGTGGTCGCCTTCTCGAAGAGGGACTCTGGCTTCGGGGGGTGACGATTCGTCGGTGCTTATCTGGGTAAGCTTATTCCCATATAACTTCACTTGAATCTTCGAGGGCGCTGGGAGTCCAAGAGCTGTTTTAGGAGTACATTCTGGCTTGTACTTAGTTTCCAGGCCCATTGGCTCTCTTCAGACAGTTTATTTTTTACCGTGCTAATTCGTTGCAATAGGACTTACTCCAACAAAGTACTGCACATGCACCACCGGGTCCAGCTATCAATGGAGCCCAAGCTGCGGACAATTCTCGTGGACCAACATCAAGCTGGCAGTGCGACTATGAAGTTGGAAACATAAGCTGGGCGCCACACAGTGGTCTGAATAATGATGGAAGCGAATGGCTTGGAGTTAGCGGGGGTAGAGGTATATGGGGCGTGAAGCTTTGATGTTCTTCGAGCAGATCATAGACCGACAGAGAGAGGAGCTTAATACTCGCATTGTGTAGCCAGGCGTTCGGGTTACGATTGGTGGCATGAAATATCCGGGCATCTGGGATTGATGGATGGATGAATGCTCATGTACTATAGGGGAAAAGCACTAGTCTTGGAAGATAGCATGAGAGGAATGAACATGTGGCATCTGTTTTAGAAAGAAAATAATATGAGAATAAGTCAAGAATACAGATGTATTAAGTCGCTCTGGAATCTACCTTAGACAGTACAGTAGGACGACACGCGAAAGTTTCGTCAGGTCTGGCATTTATCTTATTTCGGGGGCCGAAAGTCAATGGAATAATCAAGATATTTGAAATTCTCAGATTCTCATCTAGTCCGAATAGCTTTCCCGCCGATGGGGTAGATAATGGTACAGGAGAGTCTCAGATGGTTCCATTGCAGGCGGTCCACTTTTCAATGGTGCTGTAGCCGTATTAGGCTAGGCCCAACCGCTTATCCTAGCGCGAGACTAAGAGACTTAAGTTCCGTTGTTGTGGATGGGAGCTTCAAGGGAGAATATCTTTCTTTGAATTTCAGTCAACTGTTCGACAATAAAACCATGGCGAGCCCTTCCGAAGATGTATCCCCTCCTGATTCTCCTGCGTCTGACGGATCCGGCACAATGCCGTCGCCCGGACGTGTAGACGGCTCACCAGCGATTGCTAGGAGACAGAGCGAAGATCGACTTGATGCTGGAAATGATGATGAAGATGAGGATCCCGAGGAGGAAGGCGAGGAAACCGCGCCTCGAGAAGATGATGACGACGAAGAAGATGAAGAAGACGATGATGAAGAAGAGATTACAGTACGCATTTGATTCCTTCCGATCGGAACCCATCAACAGGACTTGAGCTTGGGCTGCTGCTTTGGAACCTACTCCCGGCGCGCGAATGCCTCCAGGCATCAGTGCTAACTTTCACAGGGTCATCGAAGAAAGCGCCGGCGCGAGCGACGTAATCAGTTCCTCGACGTGGAAGCTGAGGTTGATGAAGATGAAGATGAAAATGAGGATGACGAAGACGAGCTTAATGAACTTAAAGACAACTTCATTGCCGATACACATCCCGACGATTTGGCAGACCTGCCAGTGGGCGGCGAGACAGATGATCGAAGACACAGGGAGTTGGATAGGAGACGTGAGATGGAAGCAAGCCTAGATGCTGAGAAGCAAGCCGAAATCCTGCGACAGCGATACGCCAAGATCCGAACCGGAAGAGCTCTGGGAGATTCTGCGGTGGTACCAAAACGACTCTTACTTCCCAGTGTGGATGATCCAAGCATTTGGGCTGTTAGGTGTAAGGAAGGCAAGGAGAGAGAGGCCGTTTTCGCGATCATGAAGCGCATCGAGGAGAGGATGGGGACTAAAGAAGAATTGGCAATCACATCTGCCTTCGAACGAGGCGGAACTCATTCAACAATGAAGGGATTCATCTATGTAGAGGCGCAGCGCCAAGCGGATATCATGGTTGCCCTGACTGACCTGATGAATGTATACCCTCGAACGAAGATGATGCTTGTCGAGATCAAGGAGATGCCGGACCTTCTTCGTGTCACAAAAACCCCAGCATTGGAACCAGGAGCGTACGTGCGACTGAAGAGGCCTCCAAAGTACGCCGGGGATCTCGCCCAAGTTATTGATGTCACAGATACGGGCCTTGAATTACGGGTTAGATTTGTGCCTCGGCTTGATTACGGTCTACATGAGGACGTAAATGCACCTACGGATGCGTTTGGTGCGAAGCGAAAACGACCAGTAGCCGGCCCTCGACCGCCCCAGCGATTGTTCAGCGAAGTTGAAGCCAGAAAAAGACATAGCAAGTTGTTAGGCGGTGGGACTGCAGGTGCCAAGTCATGGAACTATGCGGGGGATGAATACGTCAACGGTTACTGCGAAAAGGAGGTAAAACTCCAAACCCTCATTGTCAAAGATGTCAATCCGACATTGGAAGAGGTAACGAGATTCGCGTCTGGTGCGGAAGACGGCACCGAAAATTTGGATCTCAATGCTCTGGCTGCCAGTCTGAAGGCTAGCACTGCAAATGCGTCATATTTGCCCGGCGATATTATTGAAGTTTATGAGGGCGAACAGAAAGGTGTCATAGGGAAGGCAATCTCTGTACAAGCTGATATCGTTACAATGGCAGTCTCAGAGGGCGATTTGAAGGGCCAGACAATTGAAGTACCTGTAAAAGGACTCCGAAAGAGGTTTAGGAATGGTGACCACGTCAAAGTCATTGGCGGCAGTCGGTTCAGAGACGAAGTTGGAATGGTTGTCAAAATTAGCGAGGACAGGGTTACTCTCTTGAGTGATCATGGAAATACCGAGATTACAGTATTCAGCAAGGATCTTCGAGAAGCCAGTGATTCTGGCGGTAGTGGAACACTTGGGAAATTTGAGCTCTGGGATCTGGTCCAACTTGATCCATCAACAGTTGCTTGTATTGTCAAGGTGGACCGAGAATCGCTCGTAGTCCTAGACCAGAACAACCAAACTCGGACCGTGATGCCATCTCAGATCTCTAATAAGCTCGAAAAGCGGAGACATGCAGTTGCTACCGATCGCAATGGCAATGAAATTCGCCTCGACGAAACGGTTAAAGAGAACGGCGGCGAAGCCAGATCTGGCAAGATCATTCACATCCACCGAGCTTACCTCTTTTTACGAAACCCATCGCAGAATGAAAATGCTGGCGTATTCGTCACTCGCACGACTGCTGTCTCCAGTGTCGCCGCAAAGGGTGCTGTCACAGCTTCCACCGGTCCTGATCTTACCTCGATGAATCCGGCAATGAAGCGAAACCCAGCCACCGGTGGTGATATGGCTCCACCGAAAAGCTTTGGTCGAGATCGGTCTATTGGTCAGACAGTCACCATCCGAAAAGGACCTTATAAAGGTCTGCTTGGAATTGTGAAAGAGGCTACTGATAGCAACGCTCGAGTTGAACTGCACACGAAGAACAAGACTGTAAATGTTTCAAAGGATGATCTGGCATTCAAGGACAAACTTACAGGCCAAGAGTTCAATCCCAACTCAAGAGGTGGATTTGGTGGTGGCAGAGGGGGTGCCACACCAAGAGGACGGGGTGGACTCGGGTCAGCTACTCCAGGTGGTTGGGACGGCGGACGCACCCCAGGAGCAGCCGGTGGAGTCGAGCGAACCCCAGCATGGGGTGCAAGAAGTAAGTTCTCTATACCATCATTGCATCTTCCTACTAATAAACAAAGCACCCGCGGTTGCGAATGGAGGACGAACACCAGCCTGGAAATCATCTGGTGACAATGCAGGGGGTCGAACTCCTGGCTGGGCTGATGGCTCTCGCACCGTCAATCCTTACGATGGTAGCCGAACATCGTATGGAGGCGGCAACCGGACACCCGCTTGGTCATCAGGGGCCAAGACTCCAGCATACGGGATGTCAGATGCTTTTGCGGCAGGCTCAAAAACACCTGGCTACAGCGGCGGTGGCAACGATACCTGGGGTTCCAAAACACCCGCTTATCAGCAGCCAGCATCAAACGACAATTGGGGCTCTAACCAGCAGCAATCTAACAATGGCTGGGGCGCTAATTCATACGACGCGCCGACTCCTGGTGTTAACATGTCCGCGCCTACTCCTGCGGCAATGAACGCACCTACACCAGGCGCCTACTCTGCTCCTACACCAGCACCGTACAACGCGCCTACTCCTGCTGCAGCACCCACTCCTGCTCCTGGCTGGGGAGGCGGTGGCGGAGGTGGATGGGGAGCACCAACGCCACAAGCTATGGATGCTCCTACTCCTGGCGCTCAGCAAGGTTACTATGCCGCGCCTACGCCAGGAGCGTACGGAGCAATGCCCGAGACACCAGCTGCGAACTGGCAAGATGATAATCAACCGAGGTATACGGATAACTGAGCGTAATATGATATTGCATGGAGGGTGGATTGGTTCTGGACGAGGATTGGACGGGGGGCACTTTTCTTCGTTGTTCTAGTACGATAGCGGATTGGCATACATTTATTTCCGAGCTGAAATATGTGCAAAAGTGGCATTGCATGGAAGGACGGCCTGATTTTCACCGGGTGTTATGGAGGGGAACTTTTCTTCTTCATTGTCTTAAAAGGAAGAGCAAAATACCATCACAGGATACCATATTGAAATGGATAGATTCGTCCCTCAAAACCTTTTTTTGTATTCTAATTTCATTTCATTCTCCCACCCCACCCCTCAAGATTAACAACCACAGGACTCCCTCCACTCCGCGTAATGATCCAGACGACCTCCTCATCGCCCTCGTTCGCTTCTTGGTGCTCGGTCCAGGCTGGAATCAGGGCGAAGTCGCCGGGGCTGAGCTCTTGGCGGGTCTTGCCGTCGTTGGATATTATGGTGCCGTGGCCGGATTTGGCGAAGATTATTGTGTCTTGTTCGCTGTGGAGGGTTAGTTGTATGGGTGGGGGTGGCTGAATGGGTGGATGGGGTGGAAAAGGGGGAGAGGATGGAGGAGATGGAGGCGGGTAGGTAGGTAGGTGTGACAGGTATCATTTGATGGATTGAGACTGAGACTGACCCGTGATGGTGGACTGCGGAGGATGTATGCGGTTTTGCTATCATTACTATGGTGTATGTAAGTTTGTGGTAAGGGGAGGGGATAGTGGGGTAGGTAGAAGAGCAGAGATAGGAGATGGGTGGTATGGTGTTGTGTGAGATATAGAACTGGGGACTGATTGAGTGGATATTGGAATTCAAAAACTGGGTTGAAGCATTTACTTGTACATAGGAGAAGAATTCAAACTTGTTGTTACCCTTGACGCTGCAACAAAATTCGGGTGCGTGCTTTAAAGCAGGTGGGCTGAGCAGCATTTGCCGAACACGGTACAGTGGTAGCAAGGCTTGCACTTGCTTCAGGAAGTTACAACTAAGTCTTACAGAGCTTATATTGCATGAAAATCAGACGGCACGGCAACTCACCTGACGCGCAAATCTTGTCAGACTTGCCTATGATGGCTCCTTGTCTGATCATGCCTTCTGTTTGACCCGTCGCCTCATCTAGGGCTGTGGTCTTTGTAACGTGGACAGAATGTGGCATGACGATGGGGATGAGGTCCTTGATGATGGGGAAGAGGGAAGACATACGCATGGATGCACGTTTGGATGGCAATATAGGGGGAACTGTTGAGCAACGTCGGGACTGGATTTAGAAGTTGTGAGGAGAGTATAGAGTATGACACGGCTACCAGTATGAGAGTGAGAGTGAGAGTTACCTTACGAGTAGAGGACTTGACTGAGAACCCCGCACAGCACTGCAACTCCCGTCACAGCTGCGATGCTACCGTAGGTCACTTGACCGAGAGGTATAAGTAGAGATGAGGATGGATCAATAGGGAATTCCCAGACCCATGGAACTGGGAACTCGTCTGCTTTGGAATCACCAAGCCAGTACACGCCCTTTTGCTTTTGCCTGCCTGCTACATGGAGGAGCTCGAGGATTCGCATCCATGCTATACTCGGTACAATCGCTCCCATGCCAAAAGCCACGAGGCTGCCATGACCTGTCCCTTGTCCGTGCTTTCTGGGCTTTGGCCGGCGCCGGCATACACGGAACTGTGCTTCCAGGCGCCCTACTCTACAGGCCATGTATGCTGGGCGGCCTGTGCTTTTTTCTCAGTCCATCTCCACCTCCACCTTTGAGGACTTTGACTTTCCTCGTACTGTACGTGCCGTGCAGGGCCTTTTGCAGTCTGCACGATAAATATCTGCACTCTGTCTCAACTTAGTACTGGCACCTTCCTAGAACGAGCCCTTAATCCTACATCCAGCTTTGGGATTATCGCATCGCCAATCGAGGTTTGGGCGACATCCACCATCTAGATCACTTGGACTGTCAGACACCACTAGCCACTAGGTAGGTAGGTAGGTAGGTAGGTAGGTAGGTAGGCGGTCTGTACTAAGATAGAAGTACTATTATTATTACTACTATTATTATTATCATTATTCCATTATTGTGCTGTACGAGTCAGACTATGTAACACATCTGGGTCCTTTCTGCCCAAGCCAGATACCTAATCCTCAGATAGTATATCAATCCGCCGTCTCCTATACCCGTACTAAACTCAATCCTAACCTCCCCTCCCCATCCCCTAGTGTAGCCGATCAAGTGCCGCGACGCATTGCATTAATCACCACTGTCTCGATCAGGAAGCTCACCAAACTTTCTCCATCGTTAATTAATATCGTACACCAATTTTGCTTTCCCTTCCCTTCCCCGCCAAGTCTGCGTACATAGCCAGTACGACTTGGTAACCGTGCTTTCCCGATTCTATTCTGCTCTGCTTGTGGCGTTCCGCATTGCCCCAGCTTGGCCTTTAAAAAGATATCCGTGCGTCCGTCCCCCATGTATGTCGGAGAAAAAGGTCGATCAAGTCACATCTGTTGAAAAACTTAGCTGATCCTTCCTTACCTTCCAATTTGAGGAAAATAAGGACACTCAAAATCTTTTACAGGAGAAGTATACGAGAAGGAGGGCATACAAAGAAAGGACTTCTGCTCGTCCTCTGCCCTAGTCACGAGCAACACTAAAAGCAATATGGACCCCACCGGAAGTTCGACGTCGTGTGAGGGAAACATCCCCACCCTGGATATTCCCATGGACAACAATCATACCTACCTCCATGGACGGCTTGACCCCGGCCGCGATGAGAGTCTGTGGGGATTGGAATCTGTAGAGGCAAGGGAGCCCGAGAGGGAGCTTCCTAGAGTAGACGACAACTCCCTCCTCTCGACCCAAAATGGAAAGTTAAGCCGTGAAACTATTCAGTTATGTCCTTTAATAGGTATGTCCGACTTGATAGCTTGCCCTGAAACCAAACCCGACTTGGACTTTGCTTTATTGCCATAGTAATGAAGCTGTCAAGACGTCATCTTTCAATCTATCTCCCCCTTCAGGTTCACTGTAAACTTCATGGCTGATCATATTACCTCTTATCTAGATGCACCTCTTCCCGCAAAGCCCCATCAGAGCTACCTGGTAGCTCTCCCTTCCGAGCTTATTGATCACATCCTAGGCTTCCTGGATCCTACCGAGCTCGCCATCATATCCTCAGTTTGCCACATTTTATATGCCCACGCTAAATCCGACATCAATTGGTACCGTCACGTCCAGGAGAATGTTCCTGGAGTCCAAATTACGTCGCCATCTCCGTGTAAGAGCTACCGAGATCTTTACGTGTCCCATGATCCATATTGGTTCTTATCAAAGTACAAGATATGGTTCTGTGATTACTTTCTCACGGGTAAGATCATTATCGCTCGCTATGATCCTCGCCGTGGATGCTTGGAAGGATATCGATTGCTTGCGGAACGACCTGCTCCAGCCTTTGAGCCATGGGAGGCAGATGATGAGGTCCTTATCCACTCTTTCACCCCAAAGTGCCGTCTACATCTAGACCATCCAGTGGTTCACCTCGATGCCAGGTCCTCGGCATCTCAGATTTCATCAAAATCCAGATCAGTTCATTCTTCCAACGTCGAGATAACGATGCAGAGCAACGAAAGAAATGGTGTATTCTCAAATTTCTTACTGACTCGAGCTGTACAAGTGCGTCCAAACATGCAACTCTGGCCTCCACCGAACATCCCAGCTCGTCAGCGTGTACGGACTGCAAGCCAAGAAGCCTTTGTTGGCTCTGGACACAAACCGCAGAAGCGTTCCCAAGTGTCGACCCAGGCATTCCGAATCAGACGATGGATGGAAATGACCAGCCAAAATGGTCCTGGCGTTCACCTTGGTGAAGAAGTCTATACATATGCCACCCTGGATCCAAAGGTCTATACTCCCACAGAAGAGAAGCCATACAGAGGCATATGGGTGGGTGATTTCAGTGGTCACGGGTGCGAATTCTTGCTCATCAACCAGCCCGATGACGAGCCTTTTGACGAAGCATCCGTCGTGCAGGCCGAAGACGAGACTGTGGAAGAATGGGAAGCAAGAAAGGTAGAAGAAAGGATCTACCGAGGAAGCCTAGAAGCTATCAAATTAACCGGAGACCCGAATGTGCCGCGAGGAGAATACACATTCATCTCCGATGATATCGGGAAGGATGGATTCATTCGTACAGCAACAGAGGCGAGGTTCAATGGTGCTAGGATCGTGAAGAGTAGAGGGCATGTTGCAGCAAGGATGTTTCGAGATGGTGAGTTCTTTACATCATTCCTTGACTTCCACCATCGCTGACAGATGTTTAGACAAATACATCGAGAGTCAGCTGATCATGATTTCACATAATCGACTGGCTCAGTATTGGGTAGAATTTGGACATATCAGCTTCTTCGAACGAGTCGACATAGACCAGTTCCTCTCGCCATCCAACAATCCTGTCAACGAGACATCCTAAGCATGTCGCTTAATCGGCATTGCCATTTTACCCCTGAACGGGATGAGGTTTGTTTTCTGTAAATATCTTTAGAAACAATGATTTAATCTGCAAGAAGTATGTAGTCGTTGAATATAATATTAATTAGAAAATAATAATTAGCAACAAGCGAAGTTCTGTAGAGGCTTGGGACATGGTCTCGTGAACAACCAGCTTACTTGTTTAATTGAGAAAGGCGATAGAAAGGGCAGTCAATTTATGGCAATTAATTAGGAGCACGTAAAACATATGTCTGTCTTTTGTGCAGTCGGTGTCCCTCGCAAACATCTTCTAGCTAGCACATGCTATAGTCACCGGAGCACCCTTCTACCTGACTACGTCACCGTAAATATTCTCTGCGAAAGGGCACCAGGGGCAAGCCCAAGCAACAAATATTTGCGCAACGCTGTCATTACAGCGCAACAACGTTTTACACCATCCTCACTGCGTTGTAAATCCAACATTATCAGCATCCTTGTAGCACAAGTCAATTGCCTGTTTCTGGAGCATAAAGATAAAGATACCTTACTGTACAGTATAGCAATCGGCACATCCACTTGACGCCTCTTGACTAACCCCGCCTCCCTCAACAGAATACCCAACCCAAATACGAACAGACACATACTACGCATCAAGAGCATTGGAAGATAGAAAACATGGCACACAATTATATCCTGCAGGTGACGGCAGGCTCTGAATATGACATCACCAAACACCAGATTGTGCCCGTCAACAATCCCAAGCCCATCACCATATCCTCAGAGCTTATGGATGTTGATCTCAACGTGCGAGTCCAAGTATGGCCCCTTCTACTGGCCCTATAATATAATACACTCACTTACATCTATTGCCAGGAATACAGAGGCCTCCCCCGTTCTTCCCCTCAAACGAGCCCCTACTTCTCCCTTCCAGAGCACACGAAAGACCAATACAGCATAACCTTCAAATTCACCCCCAAGACCTCCATATCAGCAGATGACTTGGTATTCGGCAATGATTTCGACCACCCGATCCGTGACCGCTTGCCGCCTGGATTCGGTACAGCCCTCCGGATCGTGAGATGGGCCGTCGATCCTGGGCTGGATGGGGATGTGTATGCGGAGAAGCCGTATTTGTATGGGCCTGCTGCTAGCAGTGTGAACACACTGCATGTTGGTTCCATGGCGGAGAACCAGGATGCAGAGGCGGGATTGGTGTTTGAGGAGGGTGGTGATGCGGAGGGATTGGAGCATCGCCAGGAGAGCGGCATTCCTGATGATACGGCGGCGCGCAAGAAGTACTTTTTGAACGAGGAGAATAGGAAGGCGTGGGAATGGGAGGCGGGTAGGACGTATGGATGTGATTTCTTCAATCCTTATTTGGATTTCAATGGTATTTTCCCTTCCCCCAGCATCATTGCCCCTAAACTAATGGCCTTCATAGAGTTCGCCCTCAACCTTCCTGGCTTCAAACTTCGTATTATGAAATACTGGGATGGTCAAGGTCTAAGGTTAGTCGCCTTCCCTCTCCTTTTACCCTCGTTTACCTAAGCGACTACCCCCCTACCCCCTTCTTTCATTCCCTATCTCTGTAATGGAGCGAAAACCAACCGTTTGTTTTTACGTGCGTTGCAACAGGAAACAACAGAAGCGCTCACATACGCTCAGATATGTGCTCAAGAACCGCAAGACCGACACCGTGCTCTTTGTCGTACTCTTCACGCTGTATTTGAAGGAAGATGTGCTTGAGGATGGCACTTTGAAGGATGGTGTTGAGGGTGGCAAGCCGCTGCATCTTATGAGTGGTGCTGATCGGGAACGGTATGAGAAGGCGAAGACTGGTGGAGATGAGGGGGAGGAAGAGGGAGAGGATGAATTCGAACTTGCGAAGCAGAATAGGCCGTCGAATGGAGTTGTAGATACGGATGATGATGATGTTGATTGATGCGATGGTGGTTTATGGGGATGTGTACGATGATGAGATGATATATGACCGGGTTGGTAACAGTAGGAGTTCTCAAGAAGCGAGGGATTGTAGAATATGGAAATACCCCACCGCTCGAGGTAGAGCGGTAGATGAACATACGTTAGATCAGAGGGTGTTGAATACCACTGTCTATTCACCGTATTCATGGACTCCCTAGTAGGAAAACTCATATCTGCGCTTAGCAACCAGATACTGTGGCAACTACCTACCTTAGTCCTCTATGTCCTCTTTCGTACAGTAGTAGGTATAGTAGCCTTTCCGAAGCTAGCTTTCACGGTACCCAAGTGACCGGGAGCTGGATGGATTAGTTCTTCCGAAGACGTACGAAGAAGTGGCCATGGGCATAGACGTTCAAATGCGCTTGCTTATTCACTAGGTATTTAACGAATGAAGGAAATTCAACAACGGCAGCAAGATTACCATGACAGCAGATTTTGTTAAGAATAAGCAACTGAATGCGTGTCGAAGGTATGTATACACAGATATAGTGTGTGATATATCGGCAATCAAGTGCTAAGTGCTAGCCTTGGAGCCCGAATTCTCTTGTTGCAGACTGGGCAGATTTTCGGTTTGTGGTGGGAATGGAATATGTGTAGATGTTCGTTGTTTAAATACCTAGGGTACTTTAGGTAGAGAGAAGACAACAACGGAAATTCAAGGTAGCGAAGATCTTGATCTAATAACTTTTGAGCCTAAGATGACACTTTCCAGACCTCCATCCCATTTCCCACAACTATCACCTTATTGCCCTCGCCCCTCTCCCCACCTCTCAAAAACGCCACATCTCCTACATCAGCGACGGACGTGAAGACATCGCCTTTCTCCTTAATCTCCACCGCACCATCGCCGTCTGGAATATGAATCACCCACTCCTTAACTCTCTGATCATTGCCCGAGCTCACCACACTCAGCATTTTATGTTTAGACTGGGGCACGAAAGTAAGACCGGTGATGGCAGCCGCGTGCGCGCAGCGGAGTATAAAAGTTCGGGATGAGTTGCTGTTGCGAGAGAAGAGCGTGAATGCTAGCGCGTTGTCGTCACCGCCTGTTGCGACAAGCATATCTCCATTCGAACCTAGAGAGGAAACATCGAGTGCCTTGACGGCATTTTGGTGCACTCTCTTGTTCTCTAGCACTGTAAGCGCCGTCGCTGTCGTAGTAAACTCGCTCTCCCAAAGCGTGAGATATCCATCCGTCGCTGCAGTGAGCAACCTGACCCGCCTGTCCCCGACCTCCACATGTCTAATCTGTGTGAGGCAGGAACTCGTATACCTGCCCCTAGCCCGCAGCTCAAACCCAGTCGTCTTCGCATACGCGTAAATTTTGATTGTGGAATCCGAATACGCCACGCTGATAAGCAGTGTTCCGGAAGACAGCGACGAGACGTCGAAACACATGATCCGCAGGTCTTTCTCAGCGCTCTGTTCAGGGCAGCTGGCTTCGCAGATGATGCCAATCCCGATGCCGGGGGATGGGATGGACGTTATGGCCCAGATGAAGAATTCTTCGTTGCCACCGCTAGAGAGGAGGTAGGAAGCACCGTGCCATTGCATGTGCTGGATACCGGCGGTGTGTTTTTGCGTTACGGAGAGACAGTTGAAGCGGTTCTCTAGTTGCGAGGAGCTGTCCGAGTATTGCCAGATTCGGAGAGCTGTGTCTTCTGCTCCGGTGGCGAAGAAGTTGCCATCTGGAGATACGGCACAGGCTTTTATTTCGCGCCCGTGGCCGCCACGCTTGATGGCTTTGTGAGATGATGTGGACGATTGTGAGTGCATGTAGAATTTGGAAGCTTTCGTGTAGATGAAGTGCCCGAGGGGGGAGTAGGCATAGCTTCTGTGCGCGCCACCGCACTCGACGCTGCTGATTTCATGCTGCAGGGTCTCGTTCCATACGATGAAGCTTTTGCTGCGGAAGCCGGAGAGAATTAATTCTCCACCTGGACTGGTAAACCATGCACCTTCGATGTTGGGGCCTAAGGGTGGTGTTCCGTGGTGGATGGGTTGGATTTGGTTGTCGTTGAGAGTGGTGAAGATGGAATAGCGTCCGTCTCGGCCGGTGGTTAGGAAGTACGTCTTTTCCTCAGGTTGGTTTGCAGGGAGTGGGATAATGGCGGTGATGGCATCTCCTGCAGTACATTCCTCTTCAATCCAAACACTCAATGGGCTGTACAACTGTTCAGGATCGTAGATGGCAAGTGAACCATTCCTTGAACCCAGTACCAACAGTTCATTACTCATACCGGCACTGGTAACAACGAATTTCTCAGGCAGAGTACACAATCTTCGATTTCGAAACCCAGCATAGCCGCGGCCGTTTGTCTCAACTGTAAATAGAGTAGCAGTGCCGGATGCAAGAGTAGTGACTAGCAACGCATTACTACGCCGGCCGACAATCTTGAACATATCGGCGACCTTGCTCTCCATACTTCCCACCTCCTCAAGACTCGACCCTAGGCAGTAGGAATATATTTTCCCATTTGCACCAGCTAGGAGAACCAGGCCAAGCTCTGGGAACCCTTCGACAACGGAGTAAGACTTCAGGTCTTTGTTGCCCGGTTCTGGGAATTTCAGTTCTTTCCACATGAGAGAAGTGTCAATTTGGCCAAGTAACACTCGTCCAAAGGTGGTGGTAGCGATGAAACTGTCGTCTGAGACAAAAGCGTACCGGTTGAGAGCATCTTTCGGTAGCCTTTTAGGCTTCTTTATCTTGGCTGCTTTGCCATTTGTGGATGTTGCAGGTACAGGTTCTTCCTGGATTGATGCTACCAGTATATCGGAGGTGTTGAAATCGGTTGTAGGAGAGCTTGAGAGGAGAGAGGTGTAGACATCGTCGAGGTCCCACTCTTTTGATGAAGAGGTGGTATCAATCTCGTGAGGGCTCTTCAGGGTCGTGTTGTTGCCTGTCGGCTTTACGTTGTACAGTGATATTTTCCCATCGGCGCCTCCTGTCACTAAAGTATAATCTGTATCCGGATCTTCTGGGGGAAGTAGATCTGTTGACCATATGTGCTTCCCTCCGTGGAATGCGAATGTATTGACCTGGCGAAGGCGACCCTCATATCTTGAAATAGCCCTTGAATACACGGGCTTTGTTTTCTGGTTGCCAGTATCTTTAGACTCGGAGAGGTTGTGTGGTGCACCAAATTCCAACCCCCACTGCTGTGCAGTTGAGTCTTCTCCAAAGGACAGGATATTGACGATTGAAAAATCATCGTACGAGCTTGATCTTTGGACCAAGAACTTAACACGCCATATCCTTGAAGAATGGCCCATTATGCTGGCCACACATCTTTCTTGAGATATAACGCTAGGCTTTTGGTCTTCGTTCTTCCCAAATCCGGTTTCTCGAGGTAGATTTATGATGTTCAATTCGGTATTGATTGTCAATGACTCCGAGAGATCCCAAATACGTATTGTTCGGTCGTCGCTGCAACTTGCAAGTAATCGCGTGCGAACATGACCAGGGCCAATGATGATAGGTGAAATGTTGACTCCGAAAATGGAACCTTCGTGTCCTGTAAAGGTGAAAAGAACCTTGCTCTCACCAAATTTGCCGTCTTCCGACACGTCACAATCCCAGACTATGATCTCCCCAAAGACAGTTCCGGCTGCGACGAGAATCCGCCTGCTAGTATCCCAGATCAGATGTGCAGAGTACAGAATAGATTTCGAGGGTGATGGCAGTTCCTCAAGCGAAACTTGCTCGGCATTTTGATCAAGTCGTGCTTGGAGCACAGTGTTGTGAGCCGTCACAAGAATACAGCTGATTCTATCATGGCTACTTATAGCTACGTCAAGAATCCAATCCGATACTGATATTGTGGGTGCCACAAGACTGCTCAAATCTCCCCTCAAAAGCTGGTCGAGAGCCTTTTTGGTGAGCAAAGTGAGGCAATGCCCACCCCAAATGACCGCCTGTAACTCATCTTCGTTTCTGATGCCCTCATCGGCGACAATAATTCCATGGATAGCTTGCCCGTCGAATATCTCACACTGGGAAAGTAATTTTGACGTCTCGGCTTCAAAGACCTTCAAGAAAGATCCTTCTCCAGCCAAAAGAAGAGTGCTGGATGAGTCTCTATAGAATTCAAGGGCTGTCACGGGATTGAGCGTGTGATCATGCTAGCGTTTCGTCAGTTGAGAATTGCAAGTTAGACATTACAGCATTTGAGAGTAGATATTGGTAGATTCAAATGCACATATTGGCAGAGGAGCATGGGTAGATTTTAGGAGGATGGTTTAATGCCCCCACAAAACTTGCTTCGAACATATATTGCTGCAGATGCAAGGAAGGAATGACCGCCAAGTAAATTGTTAACGCAAAAGCAATAGTAATAGTAATAGTATGGAATATCTACTGACCTGGATCGACATTGACATTGAAAGGCTCTTCTCCTTGTCCCATCACATGTGTGCTTGGAATTTTAAAGATGGAGTTTTGTGAAATTTATACCAGGGGCTTGCACAAATATTTAGCGAGTCACAAAGTGTCATGGCGGAGGGGCGAGGCGGACTTTATCCCGCATCCGCAACCACATTAATATCCTCGATGGAATCATACTTATCAACTATGTTTGGGCTGAAAGGCAAGAAGGCATTAATAACTGGTGGCACAAGAGGTATTGATGGACCTCTTGCAGTTGTATTTTACCTGTCGCTACCGTATGTTAAAATGTTCTGTGCTGATTATATAACAGGGCTTCTGCAGGATCCTCGATTGCTCTTCTTCTCCGAGACCCCAAATCCCAGAACGTTTCCTCAATCCAGACCGACGTCCATCTTCTAGGTCGCGAATTATATGTCTACGAACGCGATCTTAGATCCCGAGCTAAGCTTCAATTCCTAGTCGCCCAACTTGCTTGCGATGGGCATGGAATCAATGTCTTCAGCTACAGCGCTGGTCTTCAGCACCGCTGTCTCACCGAGGACTTTCAAGATAAGACATAGGATGAAGTGATAGGCGTAAACCTTACGGCGGGTTCCAATTGAGCAGAGACCTGGCAAACTATTGGCTCAATACTACACTGAAGAACGCGGGAACATGAGCAGCAGCAAGGAAGAAAATTATCTTCATTGCAAGGATGACGATTCTCACAGGAAGCATCGAGATACCGGCCTACACCGCAAGCAAAGGGGTCATTGGAAAGTTCACAATAGCGTTGAATAACGAATGGAAACGTATTAACGTAAAGGCCGGGATATATTGAGACCGACTTGACGAAAGCTATCAAAGATGGGTCTGCAACGAAAACAAAAATCTTGAAAAGAATGCCTGCAGGAAGATGGAGAGTGCCAGCTGAGTTTGGCCGGTTCAACCATCCACATAAGTTCTAACAGCGGAGATGACATTGGGGGAGAAGTGCATGCTATTGATGGAGGGTACTTGGGTTGATGAATAGATTACTTTACAGTCAAGGTTTGGTAATCTTACGAGAGTGTATTCCGGTACCTCTGAGAACATGGAGTACAAGCAGACTATTGGTATTATCCGAGGCTTTCTGTCTTCATCTAGTGATGGGAGATGGTATGATGAGCTATGCTCACGTTCAGCAATCATATGCAAATGCTGTGCTTTCCTGTGGCAGGCAGCAGTCTCAACAAACCAAGGTACAAATATATACTAGCTAAATCAGTGTATAAGGAAAAAGGGTAGAGGTCTCGGATCACATTCTCGACTTTCTTCCGCATGTGATGGTAGCCCTCGCGACTCTCTTTAAGAAAACTAGGTACCTAACAATACCTGTCACAAGCCTTATTAGCACCAGATCAGGTACCAAGCCAAGTAGTCCAGATCGCCCTGCCGGCACCGTGATCTCGGGATGACGAGTTTATGCAGATTGCAAATACCGAGCCGAGTACTTCGTATACTTGTAACTGTAGTGAGACCGAGGCGAGGCTATGCCATGTGAAATCGCATCGTAAAAATAGTCAGCTATGACCCCAGATGTTTGAATACTCAGCCCACGCATCCACCACCCCGCTCCTTCTCTCAACCCTGTTGGCCATCCTTTGAAATGACTAGGCTCCTACACTACCATATTGTTGAGGATTCCAAAACCTTACTCCAAAGTAAAGACTCCCCGCGTTGACATGCAAATATAAATATTCTTCCCAATACCGCCAGACTGGCGCTTCCACCCCACAACCCCATTCTCGTACCCACGCGACCACCATGATAGGAACATCGCGCCCAGAGTTCTACTTTATACGGCTCTGTATAGTGGGTTTGCATTACCTTGCACCCCTCGCAGTTCTATACTGTGTCTTGAGCATCATCCTCTTTGGCTTCAAGGCCGCAACATACCGCGTCCCGCTCATCATCGAGAGCATCGCCATAGCAGAGACGCTGTTCTTCCTCTGCGTGTACATTCCTTACAATATATACCTCCAGCGCGAAGCTGTTCACCCACCTGCCCCAACGCGCGAAGAACGAACAGAGCTCTTCCGACTTTGCAACGATAACATTCCGGACCCAGAGGCATATTTGCGGAAATGGTTTTTGGGGGCACCTTTGTCTGAGATCAAGAGGGAGAATCTGAAGGAGTTTCTTCTCTGGGCATTCTTCAACCGTGGTGGGCCACCTGGAGAAGATGACGAGGAACTCGAGGAGTATGTGTCTGCGTTAGAGAAGCTGCTGGGGAGGCCAATAGAGGAAGGAACTGGGGATGCGAAGTGCTTGCGTACGACGCTGGATCGAGTTGGCATGTTGCACCGCAGCTTGGTTTGGTATACTGTATGGCCCTCCCATTCCAACTCTCGTCTGCTTAGCTGGCTAACATTTGATAGTGTGTTGGCTTTGTCGACTTTTTGACCTCCATGAAAATGCTCTTCCTCGGCTTCCAGTTTCACCGGACAAGCCTTACTCGATTTTTCACCCTCTTTCCTTTTAGATGGCAGACCATTTTCGCTCGACATCGATCGCCTGCGAAGCACACTACATATTGGTACAGACCTCACACATCAACTACAAAACTCCCAGTGGTCTTCATCCACGGAATCGGTATCGGGCTTTATCCCTACACGAACTTCTTGGGGGAGCTCAACTCGATAGATGGTGTGAAATCTACGGATCCAGAAGAGCAGGTTGGGATCATCGCCATCGAGATAATGCCAGTGTCTTTTAGAATTACAAACCACGCGTTAAGCCGACAAGAAATGTGTGCTGAGATAGATCAAATTCTGCTCAAGCATTTTGGCCCAGACCAGAAATTCATACTCTCGTCTCACAGCTACGGAACTGTTATTAGTACCCATCTTCTCAAAACACCATCCATTGCGAAGCGTATCGGGTCAGTTGTCTTGATCGATCCGGTATCAATATTACTTCATCTGCCAGATGTCGCCTACAATTTCACCCGGAGGAAACCAAAGCATGCAAACGAGCACCAGTTGTATTACTTCGCGAGCATGGATATGGGTGTCAGCCATACACTCAGCCGGCACTTCTTCTGGAACGAGAACGTGTTGTGGAAAAAAGATCTAGTAGGGAGGAAAACGACAGTCAGCTTGAGTGGAAGAGACCTCATTGTCGACACAGAAGCAGTGGGGAAATACTTGAGTGACCAACCGAAGTCTGAGCTAGCAAATGGCTACAGTGACCAGGACCCAGACCTTATAGATGTTAACGGGCCCGTGGATGAAGATGCATCTGTGCGAATGAGAGGCGGTGAAATTATACGCGACGAGGATCTAGAAAAAGAAGAGTGGAAATCTCGTCCCTGGCGTGGATCTGGTATCGACGTTCTCTGGTTCAAAGACCTGGACCATGCGCAAATTTTCGATAAGCCTTCCTCGAGGAGAAGGGTTATTTCTGCTATTCGAGCATACTGTGAAGAATGAGACAGCTATCGCTGCATGAAGAGAAACATAACTTGCAGTCTACCTCGGACTATGGGAGGCCGGGCACTAAGCCAGTGCAGGGTCCAGAGGTTAAAACACACCAAGATGGTCCTTGAGCCATGAGTGTCTATTTCGAGGCTAGATATAGGAACCAGCCACATCGGTAAGGGTCTTTTGGTTTCTGACATCACAATGGCAGTACTAGAATTTAGACTAAGAATATTCAGTTTCTTCTCGCCTGTACAATCTATATACTTTTCGTCTTTCCTCTCCCCACTCTCTCTTTCTTCCATTAGAGCAAGTTATGCAATACTCATTTCACAGACTATTACCGTCTATTAAACATCTGTAAAATCCACGACTTGTCAAAGACAGTTCATAATCAAAATGCCACCTCAATTCCCCACCACGACAAACATCAGCTCCATCTCCTTCTCCCCTATCGAAAAAGCCTTTACTCAGCCAGTAAGTCGTCCCCGCTTCTCCACCTCATATCCACACTAATTCGTCTCGCATTAAGGTTGACATAGTTTTCTATGCTATGTTCTCCGCCTTTGGCTGGTGTGGCATCTGCGTCTTGCTGGGGTGCTTCATCTGGGCTTGGTATGGAGAGACTGATGCGGAAAAGGGAGAGCAGGGAAATGTAAAGGTGGAGGTGGAGGTGAATGGGCAGGGTGTGCCGCTAATGTCAATGGCGGTGTGATTGATGAGAGTGATAACGGAGAGAGGTTAGGAAAGCTTCTCAAGCACTAAAATAGTGATATGTGGGAGGAGAAGTAAGATGGAGGTAGGGAGTGGGAAGAAGGGAAGTTGGCTGTGGAGAGTGATTGGGTTGGCTGAAACTTTAGAATGGACGGCATGTTGCGTGGAGTTCTATACCATTTTGAATAATAATTATATAGTCAATATATTAGAACATGACGCAGAAACTAAGTTTGGTGAGAGAACAGCTTTCCCATAGCTAGACTTGGGGACAATTGCGAAAGGGCCGTCTATCTAAAGCAATACTTATGTTTTCGCTGTAGACGCATAGGAAAGCCTTTCAGAGTCTAATTATTTATTTTGTAAAGAAGGGAGTTGCTTTACCTGAAAGATGTACTTGAAGAATAGATTTCGAAAACTAATCTAAGTGATTCTATCTAAAAGAGACAATGTGAACATGGTGGTTTGAAATGTAGGTAGCGTCTGCGCTTATAGCCTAAGCTTCGGTTAAAATTGGGCCCTGAACTTCGAGTTTTATACTATACTTCTTATTAGTGATATATTTTGAAATAAACAATTTAAACGAAGAAAGGCCGCCTGGTGTAGTGGTTATCACGTCTGCTTTACATGGTTACATTTGTTTGTTCCTAATATCGCAGCAGGTCGCAGGTTCGATCCCTGCGGTGGTCATTTTCTTTTTATATTTTTGTTTAAGTTCTTATTTTAGTTCTTCTTTGCTTAGGCGGCAGAATTGTTATGTTTTGGGAGGGAATTCACACACATATGCGGATTAAAGAATACCCGTCTCTTTAGGATGTGGATATAGGCTTGTACTAGCAAAGGCAGGTCCTAGAAGATAAGGGAAGTCAGCTTCTCGGAGACGGTTTTCCTCCTTTAATAGTCGTCTTCCTCCTTAGCTTTTAGTTTTTAGCGTGGGATATTTGCTTTCGCCGACTGTGAGCGAAGCGAGCTAAGAAGGAGGACCGACTATTAGATGTCTTTAAAGCATTGTCTTAGGTCTTTCAAAATAATCCTCCAACTTCTAACAGTGATATTGTAGGACAACAATAATGCACTGAATCAATCTCTAATGCATCTAGCTGGGAGAGTTCATATGCGATGGACCTTTTTAACGCTATCATATGCTCAAGTGAATAGGTGATCCATGGTACTAGAAGAACTTCCACCCTCGCGACATTTGGTTGTTCGAGCGCACGAAGCTGCTAATAAAAACACTTTTCATCAAAGAGACGTCGTGAGAGTGAATGATTAACGGAAAACTAGGGGATTGTCGAAATTAAAAGAGATTTTGCCATTACTTCATAAGATGGCCACACCATTTGGTGGACTCGCAACTCCGCCAGGAACCTGGATTGTTTATAATTAGTTCTCAATAGTCAGACAAGGACAATACCTTACCTTCAAGGGCATACTACTAAAGAAAAAGCTCCACTTCTTCTGTTTCTTGCACTCGGCAGCCAAGTTCTCCAAGTCGAATAACTCTCCGATTGGAAGACCCCAGCCAGCAAGTAACCACTATAACAAATTAGTACCTCAACACTTTTCAGGACTTCTAACATAAAGACTCGAGGAGTAGTAAACACAAAATTGGGTTGCTTACCTCGTGTATCCAGTGGGTTGTACTCTGAAATGGTAGTGCCTCAAAAGCAATCGCATCACCAGCCACAGCCGAGAACTCGTGGTCCCAAATCCACTTCAACGTCTCTTCACAGGACTCGACGCCAATAGCAGTCGGCGGAGTCGCTGAATACGCCACAGCTTCGTCTTTCGACATTGCGTCGAGGGCTCGAACGTATCCAGTCCGGACGAAGAGGATATCGCCCGGTTTGAAAGTAACGCCTTGGTACTCTGCGACTTTTTGGAAGTCGGAAATGGGGATGTTGCTAGTCTCAAGGGCTGGTAGCAGCTTGCCTTCTGATTCGGCCCAGGAGCAGTAGTCCAAGAGAACTCCGCGGCCCACGATACCTCCATTTTCTACCCACACTGGGGATGGGATGAGATTAGCAGGTGAGAGAGGGGAAAAGAAGAGGAACAAGAGCGCACCGTGAATTCCATTTTGGGTAGAATTGTGCACGTCTTCTTGCTTGCATCCATTGAAGTAGACTTTGTGATCTTGGTATCCTGTATGAACTATCATCAGCTCTACATGATGATATGTTTCAAAAATACATACCAAAATGTCTAAAACCATCCCATTGAGAACTCGACTGGGTGTTCAAAGTCAAAATATCATCATTGACAGTCCTCGGTTCCTTGTGGTGGATATGCTGATGGAATTGCTGCCGACCGAAACAAGGCACGCTTGGCTTGTTCAGTGACCAGTCGGTAGAAATCCGAATGCCATGTACAATCTCTTTAGTAGCAGCGATGGTAGTCTTAGGGGTCAATCGATTGAGCATTCCGAGTTCATCGTCCTTGCCAAACAGGCCCCATGCATTTCCGCGAATTCCATTCTTCTGCAAGGGAAGGGACGAAAAGGAGGGGACGTTGGTTGCCATCGCGACTGCTTCCAGATTGGTACAATATATGTGAGATAGAGTTGATATATTTGAGCTAAATATTAAGTGTTTTATCTGACGTTAAGACTAAAATTTCCCCGCACTTTCAAAATGCCCCGCGACACTCCGTCGACTGTTTTCTAGGGGGCGAAAAGTAAAGTGGGGTGAATGATGGATGGCCAACTGCCTCGACATTATTTGCTATCCTCCTGAAGAATATACTCAGTTACTAGACTCCTTAGTGCGCAGTCCCAGATTCATGTACACGATAACATTATGTCCTGTTTGTAAATTTACTACCAGCTCTTCGAGAAATTACACATAAGATTCAAAACAACTTAATAGAGAACGGGAGATTTCAAAGGTGTTCTGTAAATATAGTACAAGAAGAATCATGTGTATATATGACCAGTCGAGAGTACCTATGTAGTATTCGAAATATTTGCAATGGCCAGGTAATATTGTCACGCTGGCAGACCCTGACTCAATGAAAATTGATATCTCCCCTGGTGATTACCACCCTATCACTCAACTGGTTGGAAACCTCTGTTTGGAGGTGGTGGAGGAGCTTGCTTGATGAAATCCTTCTCTCCATAATTATTCGTCGCGTCCAACTCCTTCATAATATCCGCTGGCACAATCATCCTCTCCACTCCAGCCGAATGATGCCAGAAACCGTCCCACGATGGCGAGATCTTGTACTCCCTAATCTCAACTTCTTCGCCCCCCTTTTTCTGCGCCGGCTTCTTCCACAACAGGTTGTAGAATAGGTCATCTGGTACAGTGGGAACGAAGCCTTTCAACGCTGCAGGCTCATACTTCTCAATTGGCGTTTGGCCCCATACCCGTCCGGGTACACTTCCCAGCTCTTTCGGCTTGTGCTGCATCAAGCCCATTCGATACCTAACGCACGGATGAATAAATTCTTCTGTACGGCACACCGGCCGCGTTGGATCGTCTTTCTGTTTTTGGATTTCGGGGATTGTGAGTTTGTATTCGCCTGGTGTTCTGGTCTTCCAACCACCAGCGCCCGGTGCCAGAAATGCAACCGACGCACTGTCGGTAAGATTGCCTTCACCCCATTTGTGCGAATCCGCCTGCGATTCGACGAATTTCTTGATCTCGGCTTCGTCAAAGGTGAGAGTATCACCCGTTTGATCGATCATCCAAGCGAGAGTGAGGTCATCTATGGAGGATTCATCCAATTCGCCGTTCACAGTACCACCGCCAATATGTGCGTGATAGCCAGGAAACCAGCACTGGGTCAACTCCGAAGCATAGCCATGATCCGCGCCTTTATGATACCACATGGTGGGTGAGAAAGTGCCGCGATACTCGTCCAAGGCGAGGGCATGTGCAGCTTTCTGTATTCCTGGAAGTATTAGCAAACGAAGGCAATATATACAACGGTATTAGCAACTCACTTCCACTCAGTTCCGTATCGTGGAATTGATAGCCCTTGTTCCAATTCGTCGCTTGGGATAACATGCTATCAGGAAGTCCCAGACTGCCCACTGTATCCCAGACACCGATGAATTTCACGCTGACATGCTTGTAGCGAATGTTCAGCTTCTCCTCATTTTCCTTCCACTATTCCGTGTCTTGGAAATGCTGCCCACGTTCTTTCTTCTTGTAGGCCTGATACATGCCATAAAACGCCGTCATGGATCCAGGAGGAATGAACCCAGCAGCAAGGACAAGACCAGCAAGAGCTCGGGCGGTATAGGCGCCCCGGGAGAATCCAAACAGGAATATTTCATCCCCATCTGCGTAGTTATTGCAGAGAAAGCTATAGGCAGAACAGACGCTCTCATCTAGGCCATGACCAAATGCACCTATGGTTGTATTCAGCCATTGTCTTTCCATGAAGACTCGGAATGCGACTCACCTTGAACTCGTTTATCGAGCCATGTAAGGTTGCCAGTACCAACACCACTCTGGTAATACACGATTTGGGGTACTCGAACTATCTCTGCTTGCTTTCCACGTTCATTTGTCCATGCTGTGCCTTCTGCTGCTATGAGACGTCCGATTCTAGCAACATTTGATGGCAAGTTCTGGGTGCCTTTATCTGATGCAAACCAAGTCCCATCGCAGCATACAATGAGTCATTTCTGGATGGTCGTTGTTTTAATTTGCTGGTCGACAGTTTCGTAGTCTGGACGGAATCCACTTTGGGCAAATGCCATGATGCTTTTGCAGTGCGAGTAAGTTCTAAGGTATCTCAAAAAAATATAATCAAGCTGATGAAGTTGATCTCTCGACCTTTGCGTTTGAGGACCTGTGGGAGCATTTGTACTATCCTCTGAGAACTATCTTAATATAGTTTTCCCCTCCCGAAACATTCATCATTAGTCTTTCCCAGAAAGATGATCTCAGCTTAGCCACCATGACTCCAACGATTGATTCAGTTGCGAGCTGAAATGCCTAGCTGCGGAGTGGGCACTCACCACGCATCTGGTTTGAGGTTTGGCGCCCGAGAAGCACTGGCTCTGTAGAGAACGAAGCGTGCGGTCCGTCCCAGAATCAGAGCGGGCGGGCTGGACCATACGCGTACCCCTGGATCCAATAGTCCGGGGCTCTCGCTTAGGTTATTTTGCAAGCCAGTTCTCAGACATGCGCAGGCATATTGTTCATACCGCCCGCTCTAGACCGACCTTTTGAGACCCTCTAGCCTCTGTAATCCACGCAACCCACCGCTACTGTACCCCGCACACTATTCTAGGTGTGAGCTTTACAGTGGCTGGGTAGTATATAGGTATATGTCTGAGACAAGCCTCGGCCTTCAGCTCCCAATACAACAGGAATGAGACTATGGATTTGCAGCCGCGTTAGCTAGCTAGAGCTCCCTTAATATTAACAAACCCTCCAACGCCCGTCTAGGACAGTCTCCGTTCACAAAAGAACACTGTTGGATATCTACCTCCCATACCCGTCTAGCAGAGTCATTTTGTAGTTCTATCAGAGCTCCAGTCCTGAAAAGTGTTCTATTGAATATCAGAATCGTCGAAACCCGCACTACTTCGTTACTTGGAATTGTTGTGTTGTTTTCTATGTAAGAAGAGGTAAGTTTGATTTGTTCTGCCCTTGGTGCTCCTGACACCATAGATTGGTTTCTTATAATTTGTATTGAATGGATCACTAATCTGATAAGTTTGTTTGAATCTTCAAGCCTCCACCATCTCGCCATCTCGCCCCCCGAAACCTGGGGCCGAGCTCCATGAACCTCGACCAAAACATATCCGTGGGAAGCTTCTCAACCCATAATGCAAGACCTAATACGGAGTAATCCTACTCGTGTCCGCGAGATGTCAATGAGACTCTTGCAATCTCAACTCCGTCGACTTTATCGCAACTCTTTCAAATGGCGGGATTTCTCGTTGCCCCTGTCGCAACTCCTTATCTCATGGTCCCCCGGATACCCAAAAATCGAAGGAGCGACCTCTAAGACATGCCTCGAGAGGAATAGGGAAGTCGAAAGCCGTTGTGAGCGCCCATAAGGTATAGTACGTTTTAATTTTCCAGGCATTCATACACATTTATTCATATTCGACCTATCCTGGATTCGTCTTCCTGGGGTGGATTATGAGTCCAGGTGCGAACACGCTGCCTCCACTCTCTGGCATAAACAGGGGTCGTTCTCCCTTAGCTTCGTTAGGACCTTTCATCCAGTGGTCAAAAATTGTGTCGGGCAGCCCCGGTACCCAACCCCAAGTCATCGGACGGACAAAAAAGTTAAACGAGCTACCTCGATACACTCCTGGACCATGCGCGATGCCATCTTTGAATTGGTCGAGACCGCCCCCGTTCAAGACATAAGCAAGTTCTCCGATGTCTCGCTCATGGAATTGGAATTTCGGCAAGGGGACACTGATTGTCTTGAGTCCATGCCAGGCCGCGAACGAGGGCAGTGTGGCTTCGGATGGGACTCGAAGCCCCAAATCATGCTGGGCACGGTGTGCGGCTCTGAGGAGATCCCAGGATGCTCTCGCTTGCGCAGGGACACAAACAAAGCGGGGGGTATCTGCTGGGAGCCCGCCACCAATCCAATCCCTGAAAACCCAATCCTCAGTCCTTTCGAAGCGGCCCACCTCGTTGAGTTGGTCGAGGATGACGAGATCAGCATCGCGTCCAACCCCCCACTCGAAATTATCATCTCTCCCATTCTCGACAGGTGGAACGGGGCCCTTTGGTTCCAACTCTTCGATCTTGATAGGCCCCCACACCGTAGCTTCGCCTTCCATAGTCTCATTGATAGCACGACTGAATTCAGCGTACGTGCCATGTAGTTTCGGAATGTAGGCCCAAGATGCACGCTCTCGCGCTTGTTTGTAAGGTTGAGATTTGCTGAATGAGTGGAACCCTTGTAGCATAGAGCCAACGTGTGAAGTGAAGCGTGTATCCATCTCTATTTGCCAATAATGATCGAATTCGGGGTAGAAGTGGGCGAAAAGTTGGAGCGGTTGCATGACCTGCCAGAAAGTGCTGCAAAGCCGTTAGTATACGTGAATATCCAGGTAGACTATTTAGATACGTACTGAGACTCCCCGACCTTTTCGTACCAATTTAGAAGCAAGGTCTCATGAAACAGGACCGCGATTTCCTGAAATTCTGGCGGAACAGATTCTTCTAGCACCTTCTGATAGAAATCGTCGTCCTTGTGAATCATATGCCCATTCTCATCTTTGACATCAACCAGCAAGATTACCGTGTACTCCCCTCCAGTCGCCAAGCTCGCTTCATTGATGATCGATCGCAGGTTCCACATGTCTTCTGGTTGGTAGTTATACGTGCTCCATGCCCTTATCACAATCGCTTGCCTGCCAGTCTTTGACCTTGGTGGATCGTGCGCTTCGCCCTCGCCCACGAGCCGAAATCGAGGCTTCGCTGTCAAGTGTAGTGTGCCATCCTTCTTGGCATGAAAGCGCCCTTCGTTTGTAACCAGACAGTCGTCCTGGAGGTTCCCCCAGTTCACCTTATCCCATTCTGCTCGCGAGAAACGGTATTCAGGACTCTCTTCGCCAAATCCATAGGGCCCATATCGTCCTTCGAATGTCAACCACGACTGATTGAAACCTAGCGCTACGTACGACCCGGTGGTTGGTATTGGGTACGCTACGTCAAGATTGTGAACGGGTCGCGGCAGACTTTCAACATCCTTCTCATCCAGCAACTTCCCTCGCGGGCCAGTACATGCTAAGCCGGTGATTGATTTCTGATCCGTCGGCCCAAGGTCAACGCGCAATTTTGTCGGTGGCAGAGGTTTTCTCAACGAGGCGGCAGCGGGGAATCGATAGTAGAGCACGAAGAGGACCATAAGGGAGAAGAGAGAGAGGCAGGCAAGGGGAAACAGGCGGCTGCGGTTGACGCCAATCATGGAGGCAGACTTCAGGCGCTAGCCATCGACACCTTGGGGACTTATAAAGATGGTGAGAGTGGGATGGAGATGGAGAAGGAGAAGGAAAAGAAGAAGCGGAGAGAAGAAGAGAGGGACTGTGGGGAAAGCAATAGATGATAAGGGCCGGCTAAGCATCCCGCCCAATTTCAGACAAAGATACAATGTACGTGATCTTAGGAATAAGAGCCTTGGCGATGGAGCCTTTTGGGACTGCTGACACACCTTCCTACATTGCATATTTTACTTCGTCCTTCGTCCTTCGTCCTTCACGCCGTTGCAGAAGAGCCTGTCAGGTATCTTCAAAACTAAAAATGGCGCTAGGTCGCTGAGCCGCTGAACCACTTTAATCCCAACTTTGTCCTATCGCGTCTCTAGAACTTGATGAGAAGATAGGGGTGGGGGTGGCACGGATTACCTACCTAAGTAAGTAATTACGACTCTGGAAATAGAACGAAAACCCGAGAAGCATAATAAAGAAACCAAGGAAGCCTCATACATGAAATCCTTCCGGCTACTCTAACTAAACATGTACAGTACAGTACGGTATTATAGTAACCGAACAACGGACCTGAAACAGCGCTCTACTAAGCATCAAAAATAGCAAAGGTTCAAATCAATTGCTGAACTTCGTACTGCATGTACCTTGTAGAGGTATGCCGCTATATCCGAAAGAAAAGGACAAAGCACATAGATCGCATCTCACCGTTCTAGACACACTTGGTCCATGCTTTTGAAGTAGAGGATAAGGGATAATGAGATATGATGCTGAGGAAGACGTTCTACAATCTGTGTGAAAGAAAGAAGTAAAATTCACCGGCGACGTTGTTTGGAATGTATTTATACTTTAAGTAGTGTAAATGTGACTCGTCATCTTGTGGGGAACTTCAGCCTTGAAGTCTTCAGGCGAACCAGTGAACCCGACTTCTGGTTCGAATGTCTCACCAGCCCACTGGGATAATCCAAGATTCTGCGTTACAGTACAGTAGCTAGCGGAACATTGGTACGTTACGTCTACGTTCCTTGCGTACCATACTGGTATATCCTAGGGGAAAGGGGGACTATATATCCTTCACATAGCGACCATAATGACCACAATACCGTATCTCTTCATCAATTCAAGTGTAGATGTTTACACCTATTAACTAGCACTTTTCCCCCTCTAGTTGCCAGTCCAATTTTCATTAATTCGTTACTACAAATATCGGGCGAATGCCCATCCTAGTAGATGCCTTTATTTAATAATCATACAATCACAACTTAACCCTCCCACCATTCAACTCATCCCAATCCCTGGGTCCAAACTTAACGTAAGAACCATCCTTCAACCAATAAAATTCATCACCACTAGTTTTTTCCGGATCAACACCTTGCGCCCTGATAACATGCTTCTGCTGCTTATTCGTCCCAGTCGTTTGCATGGCCTTCGTAATTCTCAAAAACAACGGCACCGCGAACTTAGGCAACCGCTCATGAACATGCGATGCAAGATCACGCATCAGCTTCTCGCTGGGCTCATGCGCCAGCACGATCGCTACACAGCCCGCGCGACCATCATGGTGCGGAAGCTCTACGCCATAGACGTTGGCTTCGTTCACAGAGGCATGGTGGCCGAGTGCTTCGGATACTTCGTTGGTGGAGACGTTCTCGGCTTTCCAACGGAATGTGTCGCCAATGCGGTCATTGAAATAAGTGCGGCCTTCGGAATCAGAGATCAGCATGTCGCCGGTTCGGAACCAGGCATCGCCTTTCTCGAACACGTTACGCAAGATTTTGCTGTCTGAGGAGGAGGGGTTGTTGAAGTAGCCTTGGAAGCTTGCCGAGATATTGTCCGGGTCTAATTTGTATAGCTGTTCTCCTGGTTCGCCAGGCTCGACTCGTTTGCAGCATCCGGTCTCTGGATCCCGCCAGGGCTGTTCGGTTTCTAGGTCTAATTCTATGAGGACGGTGACCTTTCGGGAGAGAAATTTCAGGAGCGTACCGGCACGCCCAATTGCGCCTTTGGAGAAATCGTTGCGGCTGAAGTTCCAAGATCCGTTAGTGCCTTCTGTTGCAGCGTAGAACTCTGCGATTTCAGGAATGCCAAAGCGCTCTTTGAACTTATTCCAAATATCGGGTCGTAGACCATTGCCAACTGCTAGTCGGACGCTGTTCTTCTTGTCGAGGTTCTGACCTGTGGCCGAGTCAATTTCTGTGGGTGCGGAGAGGAGGTAACGACAAGTCTCGCCGACATATTGGATTGCGGTAGCATTCGTTGACCGACAGTCTGCCCAGAAAGTCTTGGTGGAGAACTTTCTGCCAAGGGCAAGGCTTCCACCAAGAATGGCTACGGTGCAAAATCCAAGTAGAGCGGCAGACGTGTGATACAGAGGCATACACTGAGGTTGTCAGTGGGAGATTCTACTCGCTTGTGTGAGTACTTACAGTATAAAAGACATCATTCTGGTTGAGAGATGTCCAACTAGGGACAAGTTTTGCAAGGCCTAACACTTTTTGCCAACTGACAATAGCACCCTTTGGAAGTCCAGTAGTACCGCTTGTGTAGATGAGTATCGCCATATTAGTGGGCTTGTCCTCCGATCGCGCTGTGTCAGGCTCCCGTACACCTTCTGTTGTCACTGGCTCTACTTCTAATTCCGGGGTAAAGAATTCAAACTGAACATTGGGTAGCTCATCTCGGACGTCTTGTGTAGCATTATGTTGCACCCGTGGATCTACAAATACGACCCGGGCCGTTGAGACTCGGATGCAGTGTACCAGCGCCTTGTCCGTGAGGTTGTAATTGATGAAAGCTGGTTTTGCCCCAATGGACCATAGTCCAACCCATAAGAATATGAAGTGCTCCGAGTTCATAAAGTCTATCGCCACAATCTCTTTGGGCTTGATGTGGTACTTTGTCTTGAGCCACGTTCCGTATTTTAGAGCGGTTTGGTACACTTCCTTGTATGTCCATTGTCGACCCTCGAAGGATAACAAGGTTTTGTTTGCCAGTTTTCCTTGTGCATGTTGCTCAATGTCATAGAACGGGCTCAGCCTATCTTTCTTCTCCCGATGGCGTGTCGAGACTGCGCCTTTGATTGCAGCGCTGAGAATACTGTAATCATAGAAGAGACTCGTTTTCGCGTTGATGTATGCCAAGCTAGTAGCAACCGCTGGGGCTACGAGTGCCAATGGAACTGTAGAAAGGGATCAGTATATATTCCGGAAGGTCGATAAGGATGGTTTCACCTGGCATTGCGATGCCTTATCGACAGTGGAGCTCGAAATTGAGAGAGATGTCCCATATGTCGCTCGCCAGCAGCTTTCGTCAATATCAAGAAGAAAACAGAAAAAGAAGCAATGATGCTCTCATTGAAGGTAAGAAAGTGACGAAAAGCAGCCTCAGAGAAGGGGCAGAAGCAGGTCTATCTAAGAGTGACGCTACCGTAAAAGAGTTGAGAAGCTCACAACAGCGCCATGGAGTCTGAATCCAATTGGCGGCTTCCCAGGTACTACCATGAGGTATTCACATTGGTTGCAATCGCCTCTAATACGCGTCTAAAGCCACTCGGTGTTGAGAGCGACTCGCAGCAATGCCCGCACCTGGAGATGCCGAGGCATTATCCTGATGTTGCGGGCTTGGCTTTAGTTGTATTCAGCCGCTCTCCGCCTTGTGAAAACTACTTAATCACTTGGCTCTGGTGGTTTACCTCGAGCACCCGTGATCCCATGAAAGGTTGTCAGGGGGTTACTTCGTACTTCGTACATCTATATGAACTTTGTATGCGAGCTTCTTTGTAGATATGAAAGGAGATAAGGGGAGATAAAATAAAATCATTCACGCTGTTGCACGCCCACGCTTTCATTATGTAATTCCTGCGGCGTAGCAAATGCATGGCATCCATCATAAGGCCCGGAATGCGGCCCGGGCGCAAAATAAATCGGCCTGGAAATCGCGATGCGACCCGGATACGAGTTTCCGGGGTTGAGGTCGAGAGAGTTGTCTTTATCCACTCCCAGATGTGATGAGCAACAACATTGCCATGTCCTCAACTCCAACTGCTCCAGCAATTTCCGAGGCTGAAGTCAAGGATGGCAAGATAGAAAGGGGGGAGGATGCGCCAGCACACGCTGTGTCGGTCGCGCCCAAGAAAAAGGAGCCACCCCCTGAGACGCCAGAGAGCATCCGACTTCGACTTTTCGTTATATTGTCTTTCTGGGCAATTGTCTTATTTCTAGGCTTGCCAATATGGTGGAGGACAACGGCAATATACAGGGCGAAACTGCCGCTGGACCAGATGATGGATTGGGCTGATGGGAGGGTAATGGTTCCTAGTTCTTTGAGGGACCAATGCTGATATTAGTAGGCATGCCGGCCTGTCTTTCCACTTCGCATATCTATAGAGGCAGACTCGCTACAAGATCATGAAGCTCAGCATCTTCTGCGGACTACTCAGCATGCATTGGACGACTTGAACGATTTCTCGGCGCATCATCTGCGGTTACAGCTCTCACCACCAGCCAATGCATCAATAACAGTAGATGGGTTGCCTACGGGAGGGTCAGACGAGGAGGTAGCTCTTGTCATTAGGCTCCTACCAGGGACAGAGTCCAAGGCAGATCTGCAATCATACTCCCCCATACTGGACGTCCACTATACACCCAACCAAATACCGTCGAGCTCCTCCTCCTCCTCCTTCCTAGCTACATACATTGCGAATACACTGCGAGAGATGTTTGCCGAGGAGCAGGCCATGATTTCATACCTTCTATCTACAAGTTCCGCACCACCAGAGCGCAGTCCGAAGGCATTGGTACCGGAGGTAGCAGAATCTCTTGCGAAATGGACAACGAGATCAATAAAGTACTCGCGAACTTACCATCTCACATTCTCCCTCTTTACCCCATCCGCCACACCTTCGTCCTGGGACATTGAAGCAGCCCTCGAGGAACACATGAAGCCCCTGCTTCAGAGCTTCTCCTCAATCAGCAATTTTACAATCGACACTCAGGTCCAACTCTACGCAAACCCAGGAGTCAATGGAAATGTGCTGAAAAAGGAAGATCTGAGCGGTTTTATAAACGCTGCAGAGTGGCCTCTGAGCCCCAGCATTGGTGGAGCACCCACTGTGAACTTCATAATATACGTGGGGGATATGGAAGTTGAGGGGGGAGGAAAGAGTTGGCTGATTCCTCAATGGGGAGGCGTGGTTATCCAATCTGATATTTCGGATCTGAGGCCAGCGATGCTCATTTTCTCGAATCAGTTGATGTCTTTACTTGGGGCCCCGGAGAGCGGCTCTCTGCCTCTAAGATTGATGACTCTGGTGCGTGTGCGCAGTGCTGGATTGTTGTTGAAGGCCAGCGGCACTATGGGTAGTTTGGCGCGATTAACACTTGCGCTGCCTTCAATCAGCATCCCAAAGAGCGTTGCTGATGGGATTTATACAACAATTGAGCATTTACGAAAAGCGTGTGATGGGTTAGGAGGGACGGAGGGATTGGAAAACGCGATAATTGCTGAGGAAGCTGCGGAAAAGGCTTTCTTTGAGAAAAGTATGGTTGGACAGGTTTATTTCCCAGATGAGCACAAGATTGCCGTCTACTTGCCACTGTTGGGTCCGGTAGCTGTACCTCTGGTGATGGGCGTGTTGAAAGAGGTCAAGGCGTGGAGGAAAAGAAGAAGGGTGAGTAGGTAGCATGAATTTTACGGATATACAATTCATCTAGGATTTTTTCAACATCTCCAGCAGAGACTAGTTCTACCACTGTATTCTCCTCTACTTGATTTTTCTGCTTGATTTCTTTACTTGATTTCTTTAATTGGGGGTTTTTACGGCCTGAGGTTTAAAGGTAGTCCTGAGCCGTACTCAGCTAAGAACTTGGTGGAGTTTTCCCCTTCTCAAGAGTTGGTTATATTAGGTATGATGAGTATCCGAAGTCAACGTACGATTTCATTTTACCATCATTTTACAGCTCAATCTCTTCTTTTCACTTCAAGTCCTCCCATCCATCCTCCACCTACACCTCCTTCTCCTTCAGCTCAACATACTGCCTCACAACACTCTTAACCATCTCCTCCAAACCCTTCAACTTCCCAAACACCCCCTCCGTTTCGCTCCCATCAAAATCATGACTAACACTATTCGTACCCCCCTCCCTCAGTATCCCCTCCTCAAATGCTCCTTCAAACTCCCTCTTCGCAATCCCCACCACATCATTCAAATCCACCTTCCCCGCATCAACTACAAAACTCCTATACGCTCCCACCACTTTCCGCTCATCCAAAGCCTCTACCTGCACCCTCGTAACATCCCGCACATCAACCACAGTAGCAGGCTGAGGCTCCTTGCCCACATTCCCCGTCACGAGCGACAGCACCACATTATTACTCCCATTCTGCAGTTCGCGCGCAGACGTCGCCAGCCCGTTGCGCCCGATCACGTAGCCGGGCATGATATTGACGATGCTAAAGCGCGGCGCCTTCTCAGCGACGAACCGATCCGTCGCGTCGAGAGCGAGGGCTTTGGCTCCGCGGTACGCCACGACGCCGTTGGCCCAGGGTCCTGAGGGCAGGGGAGAGACGCGCGAGGATGACGTGTAGGGCGCTGTTGGGGTGCCGTCGGTTTGGGCGGCTGAGGAGAGGATGGCTGCTATGGAGGAGGTGATAATGATGCGTTTGATGGAGGCGTGGAGGAGTGCGGAGGTCAGGATGGATGTCGTGCCGTGGATTGCGGGCTGCACTATATCCTGCTCTGGATTCTCCGTCTTCATTCCCTTATCAGCACGGCTGACTCCCTTTCTCTTGAGGAAAGGAAAGTACTCACTGGACTAGGCAATGCCGACGCCAAATGCTCTACATAAACCACATCCTTTAACGCTTCATCAAACGCGCCTGGGACCGTGATGTCGGGCACGATGGCGAAGGAGACATTGCCTTGTGCTACGAAAGGGGCGATTAGGGGGTGGGAAGAAAGGGTCTGGGCTTGCGGCTCCTTGCGAATGGAGATGCGCACGCGGTATCCGGATTCGAGGGCCTGGTGGAGGACGGCGAAGCCGATGAAGCCTGTTGCTCCTGTGATCTGGAGATGCTGTATGAGTGCTTGCTGTGGGGAGAAGTACATGGGAAGGGAGGTCATACGAAGACAAGTTCTCCTGCCATTCTTGTAGATGTTGAATGGGGTTTGATATTCGAAGCGGACTTTGACCTGGGTTCTTGAAGCTGGCTTGGACGTTTGGAAGTATGTATGTATATATGCTTTTCTATCTCTCGAACTTATTTCCCGGAACACCAGCGCTCCTTATATATTCTCTCTCCTCCCTCAATTCATGCCGACTCTTCCGTTCTTCCATCCTACTCTGCGTATCTGTAAGTCCGAAAGCACGTTTCCTATTGTTATGCCTATTGTATGATTACTATAGCTGAGGCCTTCTTCGCGTGATGCTCGCGAATCAAGACATTGAGAAATAAAGCACCAAGAGTCCATCGAGGGATCAGTAATCACTGCTGACTGATCGCGACTGCAAGTGGTTGAGTAATCCAATTTCTAGCCGACTATCTTTGTAAAGTCTTACGCAGTGATGCAATGCAATGGTACAATTGTGGAATTAGGATGGGCTATGTGAAGGCTGCGGCGTATTCTATATTACTTGATGTCCTGGACAAGATGGGGCTATAGTCAGTTCGATTGCAATGCTGCAGGCATGCAGGAACCGAAGGGGGCTGAACCGGGACGAACTAAGAGTTTTTTGTTCATTGGTCGCAGCATTTTCTCCTTTAGTATTTTATGTAATGTGCTGGTTGTTTATACATGAAGGGTATAGGTAGATTTTTGGGTGGGATTACTAAACCGGACTCAAAATACCCGATCAACGGGCAAAGTTATTCAGTCATGTATATTTACTTAGAGCTTTGAGATCATATACTACTTTCTGCAGGAACTTTCTTCTAGTCCAAAATGACTTCACTGAGCGGTGGTATTTACCTGATCAAGCTCTTTATCTGCCCTTCTCGTCCGAATTGGCGCTCCTTTCCATTGGATGAACATCGTGGGCAGGATAGAGAAGACAACCATGATGCCAACCATAAGCCCCCCGCTGCCACTGAGACCGATGCTGGTGAACATGTCCGGGAACCAGAACGGACCTTTTTGAACAAATATGTTAGCCGTTATCCTTGTGCTCTCTCAAAACTTGGGTATGACTGAAATCAAACAGGATTGAGCGACGAGAGACTCACCAATAAAACCCCATGTACTCCTCACAAGGTTGATGAACACTCCGATGCTGGCCGCATGTTCATGATGGCAGTCAACGGCGTAAGTAACTAGCACCGTCGTGATGATCTGATTCCCAAACGCAGCAATCGCAATCCCCACAATCGGCGTAACATTGTAGGATTTCAACTTATCGGTTTGCACACAAAATACAACCAGTCCACAAATCCCAGTCGCATATCCCGGATACGAAACCCAAAGTCTGTGCTCGGGTGTCACAGTTTTCGATTGACCGAGCTTAGCCGATCGCCGTCGCATGAAGATGTCAGAACCGCGCCCTCCAAGCTGCTCACCTAGAACAGAACCAATGATCATGCCGGCGAATTGCAGACCGATTTGTTGGGCGTTAAAGCCGAATTTTGGGGTGAAGATTTGCGGAATTTCAACGGTGAGAAGAACGGATGTGAAGCCGAAGACTATGCTATATGCAATTGTTGGTAATAGGATATTAGGATAAGCAAACAGTTTGATGGGCATCCAGAAATCTCTCCATCCTAGGGGATTCGGGCCCAGCTTTCCAAAGTTGAGATACTGACGTCGGAACGAGGAATGGTCATTTTGGGGGACGTGGCTGCTGCGCACGTAGAGAGTTTCAGGGGAGAAGAAAAAGTAGAGGATGAATTGGACACCATTGGTTACGGCGAAGGTCCAGTAAATATACTCCCATCCATGTGTGTGATAAGCTACGAATCCCATTATGAATGGACCCATGGGAGGACTGGAGATGTGAGCTTTTGGGTGGGGAAAGGAAATGGAAATGGGAGGCAAAACATACCCGAGGGTTACCATTAATGTCCAAATCCCCATCTTTTGTCCTCTCTCACTTGCAAAGAATGTCTCTGTCACCACTGCACTACTGATGGCAATGGCAGGGGAGATGAAGAAGGCTACCAAAATCCTAGTTATCATTTGAGAAGCATAACTATGGGATTTTGCGCAGCCAACGTTGCACACCAACGAGCCTATCGTGGAGATGAGCCAAATAGGTCTGCGGCCAAAACGATTCGAAATCGGCTTCCAGAACAGGGGAGAAAACCCCAAGATCAGGATCTGGACACTGGTGAGGTAAGAAGCTTTCGTTAGAGACACTCCCAGGTCGATGGAGAACAGCTCGAAGGCCGGAATGATGCCCGCAGCGGTAAAGGTGGTCATCATCGCGTGGAACGCGACAAGGATGAGATTTAAGTGCTTCTGTTGTATCTCAATTAAAAAGGTCTCTTCCGACTAGCTGTAGGGAGCTGCAATACCTTCCAAGTAGGCCAGTTCAGAGGGTCTGCTGGATCCATCGATGGCAATGGATTCAGATCAATTGTTCCATGCCGGGTCATCAGGTATTCCCTATGCTGGGAACTCAGATCTCCTCCGATGCCATTCTCCAGATGGCTGCTGTCTATGGCAGCGGCATGGGCTTTCTCAGCCACCCCATTATCATGAGTGGCCTCGGCTTGTTGGGTTGGCTTTGACTCCATTGTAGCAATCTCGTCGGGTTACAAACCTTATGTGAAAATGAAGCCCAAAAGTGGCGAAATATGTACGAAGTAAAAACCGTGATGGGGGTACGGAGACTCCACAATCCACGTCCACTTGGAGCATGGGTACGTATGGGGTAACATTGAGGGGAAGGAAGCTATATAGTGGGGCCGGATGTGTGCCTCGGACCATACAGAGAGTACATACTTTATACTTTCCACTTACTTCATCAAATTTTTACCGTTGGCCTCGAAACTTGGACTGAGATGTAAGCAAACATGCTTTATAAGTCGGCGCCGTACAAAAAATTCAATAAATCTCATGCAACAGGCGGAAAACTAATCGGAGACCGTGTGGCAAGAAAAAAGTGCCGTTATTTGCAGAAGGTCGGTGAACGGAGGGTTGGGCTGAATTCGATGTCCCAACTCTATTTTGACTGGGAGAGAGACCCGCGAAATGTTTTGACGGGGAAGCTGGTATCGCATCCGGAGTCCACTCCGGCATTGTTTGTGATGAATGCGTGGATCGGGGCACAGAGGGTACGAAGCAGAGTAATGGAGTAACGCCAACGGCACCTTCTACTTCGGGGAAGTAAAGATCCGACAACTTTAGCATCCGCTCCGCTCCACCCCGCCATTCTGCTCATGAAGGGATACTTACCAAAAAGAAGGTCATCATCTTCATCGACGACGAGGTTTTGCTCTAGCGGGTCGAGCCATCATCTTATGTACGGGGTACGGAGGATATTCCTTGGCCGAGGCTAATTAGGTAAACAACCCCAATCCACGAGGGAGCTGCGAGCCGCAGATACGAATATCCCAGATTCAGCTCTTATTCCTAATTGAGCGCTATAACGCCATAGCCCGTTGATGGTCAGTCGCAGTCGGGCCGGTGATTTCAACATGGTAATTACGCTATCTGTACGAAATCTCCTACAGTATGTACGAAGTAGATCTCGACGGCGCCATTCCTCGTCCACCACGACGCTACCGCAACTTGCGGGATGGGACCGTCTTCAAACTACGCTTGTGTAGCAACACTAAATTGTACATAACTAGAGCTAGAACCAGCAGTTCTTTAATGTATGTATCAATTGTTTGCTAAATGCTCAAATAACCCGCTAAAGACTGCTTTAAGGGTTGTTATCAAGATAGAATCGCCTTTATAAGCAACCACATAAGACATAGTTATCTGTCTTATAATAGACTAGTTCCAGCTCATTATCTATTTGTTTGCTAGAAATGCAGTTATAACTAGTGATCTATCCTTTAAACTTACCAATTAAAACCGCTGAATCGCTGACCAGGTTCGTGTACTCTGTACAAGGCTGGGAGTTGGGCTGCACTCTCTACTAAAGGGGAGAGGCTACCTTCGTATATCGAATGAACACCCTGCTAGTGTTGGGAAGTGGGTTTCTGTCCTGGGGAACTCCCTTTTACATGGTAAGATCTACCCAGCAACCAACATTCAATGTGATTCGTGTGCATGGAGTTCGGGTAATTTATCCCCCGGGGGGAAAGATAATATCCGACCTGCATGTATATCGGCATGTATACCGGCAAGTGGCACTCCATCTCAGAACTGCAAGAAATATAACGATCAAGCTAAGTCTGAGGCGAGATTCTTAGACATAGCTTGAAGTTAGACTCTTTAAATAGTGGGAATATATACTTGGGAAATGAATTATATGGAGAATGTCAAGCTTAAGAGAGAGAAAGGAGTACCACTTGAGTATATCATTTGAATGCAATGAGAGATATACCGACCATTAGCAGAATGACGTTAGATGATCGAAGATAGTTCAAAATAAAGTCAATCTACTGTATAACTGCAGGCCGTTTTCACTCCTCTAATGAATGACTAAAGTAATATTCCTGACACCTGGAAATTATTTACTCTATCCAGACCTATATGCGCTCTCCAGCCGCTTTTCACATGTTACTTCGTCCCATTCCAAACAAACATCACACAGGGGGGGTTTCCCGGAGAAAGGGCAGGGTTGGATTTCGGAAATAGTTACTGTTGGTAATGATAAATAGCTTATCCAATATGCAACCATATAAGCTTCTGCTAGGTTTCCAATAGGTTTTCACTAAGTTTCCCTAGAGTCAACCTACGTCCACGTTCCAGCGCTCTACAAACTGCCGAAACTTTGCAGAGTCTATTGTTACCATAAAACGTTTAGGTCTCAAGCTTTGGTAATACAAGAAACATTCACTACCGGTTTGGCAAAAGAGCCACTTGACTTGGTTGAGCACGGGCGCCTTGTTGGTGAACAGGTTTAACCATTTTATAAAACAGCTTACAAGCCGAAAACAATAAAGAAAAATAGGACTGGGCCTGTGCTTTCAAATGCACTGGTTGTAATCACACGCGGGGTACGTAAGTGCGGACGATGCTAAGGGGTCGAGCCGTCTGCCTATATTCGCGCATACTACGGAGACTTCTATAGTTGACAGCGGATATTGCCATATCTTCATTCGGGACACTAGGTAGTTTCAAAAGCCAATCAGCAAAACGCAAGTACTTCGTACAGAGAGCTGGCTCCGCTAGGGGTGTTTCAAGGATTTGCCCCGGCTGGCCTTCTGAGCTCTTATTCATAGAATCACGATGACCCTGCTGATGACTGCGTTGCGTGGCCTATTCGAGGCAGGTCTGTTGGCGATATTGTGGGGAAAGATCCCGTCCCAGCTATCGCGGTCAGATATCCACCTTCACAGACCCCGTGTGTAGTCGCAGTCGGAATAACAATCCGGTCCTAGCATGTTTGGCCCTCCGTTGACTTGCAAGAATCTTAACTCAATACTACAGCGACGAGCAAGTTGAGTAAGAAATAGTGGTGTCGAGGTAAGAAAGAGGAAAATCGAAACAAAAGTGTTGGTTCAAGAGTACAGAGCTGATTGAAGCAAGCATAGAGGTCGCCTATTATGTATGCGCCACATAGGGGTATTTAGTGGCTTGTTCGCTCTGTCCCATTCAAAACCAACTAGCTTATTCAATGACCGCTATTACCACGGCTATACTCCGTAGAATGTAGAATTAGTGTTATTGTTAGTCCGGATTTTGGCTTGAGCCCCCCTTTTTTTATATATTTCGTATAATATACAAGTCGAGTCGTATACTTAATATATATACGTGTACTTAGCGTTTCGCTCAACGACTATCATTAACGATGGTTAGGAGATTGAAATTGACCTGATTCGGCTTCGGTCTAGATACTTGCATTTCCATTTCGATGGATTGATGGTTCGATCGCTTTTACGACGGAGTATATTATATGTATCAGTTCCCGTCTGTTCCAGGCCAGGCTAGTAATAAGCTTCCCGGACTAAGTTTATGCCTAGCGGAAACGTAATTTGAGTCCACTCATGAAAATTTCCGAGACCAATCGAGCGATCTACTCGTAAAATATAGTACTATAGATCGCCACCAAGGATCTACTGAGCTGCCCGCCTTGTAATACGGAGTAGCTGGAGTCCGGAGTAACTTCTAGTGGGGTTGTTGGCGTTCGTGGCTGTACAATCAATAGGGGTTGGACCTCTGTAAATACTGACCCTAGCTAATTGACTGGGTGAATAGGATATGCACTGTTCAAAGCGTATCATTAGACTCAAAAAGGAAATCAAAGTCCTTTCAGCCGCTTGGACTATATACTCCGGCACATCACAAACACATGAGTAAAGTTTAGGGCTCACGTTTTCTAGGAATCATTAGGTTTGAAAGAATTTCCCATGTCCGCATGGAAACTGAATCAGATCTGCCGTATGCAGTTGGTGATTTTGGTGGAGTATTGGTATTTGCATCTGGTTAGATGCTGGAGATCCTGGAGCAGACTTTCTCTACTGATGAGATCCGCCCCCAGCTATTGGACCTGATCTATTGCTCCTGTCCTACTTTGTAGATTTCATCTGTCACTTGTGGAGAAGCTAGGAGTAAAACGCAGCCTTGATCGACCGTTATCTGCTACCAGAGCTCGCTAGAGACCTTTTGGGGGCTCCTGGGACCTGAAGGCTGAAAGCTTGTCAAAATGGCACGGCACGAGTCGCTCGCTCCCCTCTTCACTTTCTTAGCCTTGAAAAAACACTCCACACGACGCCGAGCTGCTTCATATGAAGCCTGGGATCCATCCCTACTCCCACGTTATCACTATGGACATGGTACCTGAGATGTCAAAGCACATGTAAGCATACCCAATCAGATAACAAGCTTACATGCGGCGTGAAATGTTTCTGGATATTTCACCATCAAGTAGTTTCCCCAATTGCGTCTCGCCTTCTAGAACCTGTCCACTATTTAGTGGCAGGATCCTTGCCCTGTCTTTGTCAGAAGTGAAGCAAGCAAGCATAGTCTCCCAGCGTTCATGTACAAGTAAGACATGGCTCCGAAGTAATTTATCTATATTGACTTCTAGCTTCGCCTGTGCTACTTCATGCCAAACATTCACTTTCTATACAACGCATTCTCTTTTCCGTCTCGGAACCACCGATCTCGACTCGTCTTACGTCGTGAACGAGCCTCCTGCAGCCGTTTTAACTTCAGTCTCCATGATGCCCCTCCTTCCAGACGTTGCCAGTTTCTTGGCCACCAGGTCTAGTACTGGTAGCCATTCACAGTCTGTGTATGCAAGCACTTCGTTCGATCCTCTCCCTACGGATCTTCGAAATGGAATGGTGGTCATGGGTACAATAGGACTTATATCGGTCACTACCACACTTACTTTATTTGGTTTCATTACCTACCGCATGATTTACTGGCGAAGATTTTACGAGCATCCTATTGCAACGAACCAGATCTTCGTCTTGATTTACAACCTTCTTCTCGCAGACTTCCAGCAAGCACTCTCCTTCCTCTTAGCGTTTCACTGGATCTCTCAAGACAAGCTGGTGGGACCGAGCGCCGCTTGTTTTGCCCAGGGCTGGTTAATACAGATCGGAGATCTCAGTTCTGGACTCTGGGTTCTGGCAATTGCCATCCACACATTCATCAATATCGTTGTCAAGAAGCAAATCCCACTGGGAGCTTTTTTCACAGCTGTGGCGGGGATCTGGGTGTTTGCCATAACCTTGACGCTTATCGGGCCAGCCTCGCATGGAATCAGCTTCTTTGTTCCTGCAGGAGCTTGGGTAAGTTCTACATTACCTTTCTGCTTCCATATTCTAACAGTATAATTTAGTGTTGGATCGGCGATGAGCATGAGGAAGATCGTCTTACTCTCCACTATGTGGTATGCAAAATCCCCGAGAATTGTCTTTACCCATTTAAGCATATTCCAGAGCCCCAGTGTCCTTTGGAAGATCCTAAATACTCCCAAGTGGATGTTTTGGAATATGCTTTGGAACTCAAAAACCTCTCTTGATTAGTCAATTCTAACTTCGAGAATTTGCAGTGGATCTTCACTTCGCAGCTCGGCTCGCTGATGATTTATACGGCTATTTTCTTCTTTCTTCGGATACGAATGGCAAACACCAAGGTTCCAAATGCCCCCAACCAAATCGCTTCGACTGATCGCAGTAATGAATTCGCCAAAGGGCATAAAGCATTGACCACAACCACTGTTGTCAGCCAAGCTGTTCGCGACCCCTTCGCTGTTTCACGCAATAGAATCATGCGGACAGCCGGCTATATGGTCGTCTACCCCTGTGCATACGTGGCATTGACACTCCCGCTTGCTGTCGGCCGAGTATCAGCAATGGCCCACAAGAACCCATCCCTCACTTTCTACTGTGTAGCAGGGGTTCTCATGGCAGCATGTGGTGCTGTCGATGTCGCGCTCTATATTTACACTCGAAAGTCGTTGCTGAAGACCAGTATCGGGATGAGGGGAAACACACAACAAGCCGGCAATCGCCTCACCAAAATCCAGACTCCCAATTTACGGACCAGATTCCCTGGCGATGGAAATGGTAGAATGGATGGCCACTCAAAACTGGACTCGGAGGATGGTGATGAACCGGCAAGAGATGGGGTAATTGTGGTGTCGCAGTCTATTACCATGAGCGAGGAATCGTTCGGAGCTTCTGATGGACTTTATGGTCGGGCTGGCAAGCCTAAGACCGAGTCGATGAAAAGCCTTGTTTTGAGAAAGGATGATAGGAACAGTGATAAATCATAAAGGTCCAAATTAGCATAATAATGTAATAATATTTCAAGCAAGGAGTCCCTTCATTTACCCCGTGACTTGGGAAGCTACTACAAAACAAGCCTTTGACCACAACTGCCGTCTCACTGACAATTCTTCGCCATCTGCTAGCTCGAATGGTAGGCAAACGACTACGAAGCATCACAGTTGAAAAGGAAATGTAGCAACTGCGGACGCTAGCTTAAGAGATTCAGGGTAAAGATGTTGCGGGCTGAATCTACTTCATCCCCTTTCCAGGAAAAGGCATGTTAGGTGCTTTGTTAACTGTATTGGGTTGGTTGTTTGATGCATGCACTTCGAACCATTGACTAATAACGTCCTTCGGTACGTTGAAGACTGCTTGCTTGTATTGATAGAAGAGTAAGACTTCAGAAATCATGGTTAAGATCGTCTCAGATGAGGATAGTCTGACGGCGGGATGAGAAAGGGTCGCCATAAAGAGACACACTAAATCAGAAACTCTTGTGCTAGATCCTTGGAAAGAACCACTTGGTATACAATATTTAAGTGATAGATGAAGCAAGAAAGACACCGAATATAGGAAAAAGTAGCTATGTAACTTTTAGAGTTCTGTCTGGAACTATAAGACAAGAGTGCAGATCGGGGTAGGACATAACAAAGCATAGAATGCGGTACGATAAACACTAGAAGCTGGGGAGAAACAGATACCGTTGACAGATAGGCAGCTTCCGAAAAATCGGTTCTTGCCAGCCCATTCTTGGAGCTCGGCCGAGCTTTCGGGTTGGAGCGCTGACGACCTCAGACTTGGCTGTACAATGTTCAACGAATCTCCTAGATCTCATATATATAGACGCCATAAACTCGACATCGTCCTCTATTTTTAAGAACACAACGCAAACGAAAAGAAGATGGAAAAGACAAAGTATGTTGAGCGCGACATCCCAAAGGTTTGTGTCCGTTCATTAGTCATCCATTTGCTTGGCTTCATTTGACATCAACAGATCTCCCTTGCAAACTTCGAGCAACGAATCGACGAAATCACAGCCCAACTCGTATCTGCCGCCGAAAATGTCGGGTTCTTCTCCATCACCGACCATGGCATATCTGCGGACGACATCGAGACCATGTTTGGAACCTCCGAATCATTCTTTTCGCTGCCGGATAAGGTGAAAGCAACAGTGCCATGGAACCCACAGAACGTTGGATGGGAGAAGATGTCCCAGATCCGGCCATCTACGGGCGCCCCGGATACGAAAGAATCATATCAGTTGCAGTTTGGGGAGAACATGGAGGGCTTGTGGATGTCGGACGCTCATGTCCCTGGCTTCAGGGAGAAATGCCTTGCTTTTATGCATAGGGTGCAGAAGGTATCGGAGAGACTGATGGTCTGCTTTGCTCGCGGACTTGGCTTCCCTGATGACTTCTTCATTAAAGTCCACGATACGACGCGTCCAAACTCCCAATCTGTGATGCGATTGCTTCACTACTATGCTACACCAGAGACGAATGATGGAACTATCCACCATAGGGCTGGCGCCCATGCTGATTGGGGATTTCTCACCGTCCTGTTTCAGCGCGAGGGCCAGGGTGGACTGGAGATTTGTCCTGGCCGCGATGTCGTTACCAAATTCGCGCTAGGAGATAAATGGACAAAGGTTGACTTGAAGGCTGGGGACATTATATGCAACATTGGGGACCTTCTCATGTCCTGGTCAGATGATAGGTTCAAGTCGACATTTCATCGTGTAAAGGCACCATGCGAGCCGGGTGACTACTATGGAGAGAGATACAGCATTGCCTTCTTCAACCAACCGTGCAAGGATGCGATAATCCAGGGCCCGAAGAAGAAATACTCAGAAGTGACTGGGGAGCAGTTTACTGCTAATGCTATGAAGACGTACTTCGCTGCTTTGAATGCGAAGAGAGAGTCAGAGACCACGGTAACCAGTTCTACTAATTCTTTGCCTGTCTCTGCAACTTCTATCACCGCTGGTGCTTGACGGATAACGTTCCGTAGAAATCTCCAGTTCTCTTCAATGGGATAGATTCATTGGCTATGCAAGTTCTTATGCCGTTCTTATTTCCATGTGACCAAGCAAGGTTTCTGTAAAATCTTCTTAGACCGTTGATCAAAATTTAGGCCTGCAAAATTCAAGAACACAGAGCGAGACACCTAGGTAAATGTTGTTTCCCTACCTAGCAGTTAACAATAATATATAGTATGTCAAATAGGTTGGTATTATCGCGACAGGATGGCATAATAGTTTTACGTGTTGTTGGCTGTACTTGGTACCGGTATATGCGGGACACTGAATGTGGAAAGCCAACATCAAAATCGTTCAGCAATGCTTTTATATCCAAATCCACCCCATTGTTACAGAAAATATCACTTTTAAAATAGAGGGGCACTGTGTAAGCATGTTTTCACGCTAGCAGAATTAGCTAAATGACTACTGTATTCAACAGACGTTTCCCAAACCACGCCACTTCTCCCAGAAAAAGCGAGTCCAATTTAAGAATCTTTACAATATTCTGAGCATCATTCCTCATTCCACGAGTCACCAAGGAAAATACAGACAACCCAGTCAGCGGAAAGCCTTCAAACGCAATACCGCCTGCTCATAGTAGACGTTTACGCCAAAAGAGCTCTCGACCAGAGAAAGTTTGGTTCAACGCCAAGAATCGCACGGGCATACACTTCATCACCTTACTTCTATCAACCATGGGTTCCCAGCTGCTCTCTAAGCTCGAGGAAACGGCGGATGACGCTCTCGGTTTTGGCAAAATCTTTGCTCTTGGTTTCGGCCAGAATGTTCAGAAACTTCAGATGGCACTTTGGACCTCCATAGTACTCATGGTCTTCATTTTGATTGCCCTTGCTGGAATTGCGGTGCTCCTCTGGAGAATACTTTCGATTCTTGAGTTCGTGTTCTCGGCTTACAAGAGGGAGATGAAGAGGCCAAAGCAGAAGTAGTTGGTATGGGGTTAGGCTGGAATGTTTATGGTGGGGTTATCAAAATGTGTGGGGATGATGAGTTGGGATATGAACGAGGAAGTGATGGATGGAAAAGAGGAAAGATGGACGGAAAGTGGGAAGGATGGAGTTAGAGCAAGCGCAAGCGATGTATTGAAGGCTGGGACAACACTTCTTTATCTGGCTGATAATCAAAGCAGTGCTTTTATTACACTTGAAGAGTGACCTTGGTTCCAATTCTCGACTGGATCTCAAGATTCCAACCAGCACGAAAGAAGGTCATCATCAGGTAAGATTTCTCCATTTCCCCAAGAGCTCTTCCAAGAAAGTACCATCTATCCACGTGTGCGACGCGCTCATCCAATTCATTGCTGACATTGAGGCCAAGGGAATATTTTCATCTATGAATCCATTTCAATTTCTGCTTGTTTTACTTGAAACGAAGACTAAGACATTTGGTTCCGCACGCAGCCACCAATGAATGACCACTTGGTTTGAAACAAGAAGCAAGTGCTGAAAGCTCTCTTGTCATCTCCAGCAGACAGAGCAGCACTCAAATCGAGGCATTCAGATGGCACCTAGCTCTGCAGAGTTCAATACACGTCCCCGCATGCCACTTTCACACAACCCGCACGATATAAAAGGGTCTGCCCTTATAATAAGGAGTATCTTTCCTCCCTTTCAAACTTACCCTCCGATCTATACTCCCATACTTTTGATTTTAAGATGTTTTGTACATCACGAGTTCGATTCACGCGAGAAGAGCGATCTCTTAGGTACGAAGTTGGCGGTGTAACAGCACCAAGAGCTGGAAGGCATTATTGCTTGAGTCTACCTCTCCGGGAAGAACCTAGCTTCTGTTGACACTCAAGTGACGTGGCAGACTTCAACACCTCAACCAACTGCAAAGATCCACTTTGCCGAGAACTTCATCCTAATGATGGTGCCCGTTTCAGCCTGTTGGCGCGCCTAGCAATAAGTGTTGAGCATTTAGTTTGTTTTTCTCGAGAAGATATACACCGTGTTGTATGCCGCACCAGATGAAGGCGTCCGTTTGTTGTGCTCATTCTTTTAATGACTTTCACCCCCTTTCTCTCGCATTCATTTATTTCCTGCAGCGCAGTCAGCTTTGAAGCCCATATGGTTCGATTTTATCACTCTTACTAGACCGACCTTCTTAAAGTAGAGCTATAGTCGTAATGTCAGCAGACCATGCCCAATGTCGGGTTCTGTTGTCCTACCAGGCATCCTCTTGATCCAACAACAAAAATGGTCGAATTCGTCTGCGAGTCTGTCTTTCTTCACACTTTTCGTAGATGGGCCACTTCGAGAAGATTCAACTGTAGGTTCTTCTCGGGGTTTTTCCTCGCTACAGTGGCTGGAACCACTGACATGGAACAGATACGTCCAATGGAACCTTACCTCACACTTGGGACCAAGCATTTGACCTCTTAGGCAGCTTGCAATCACTATCTGAGCTCGTTCTAATGGTGGCCCCAAAGCCTACAGCATCTCAAATTGTTCCAACGAGCTTCTCCCAGCACTGTAGATCTTACCATCTCAGGATCTGAATACAATATTCGTGCCGTGCTCACCGGCAAATCGCCTGATTTCGGAAATGGAGTCAACAACAGCTTTCGCAACCCGCTTGTTTCGAGCCAAGACGAGTTTATTGCCGACTACGAAAGACTTCTTACTGGCGTCCCCGGGCCCTCGTATTCCAGCTCCCGATCGATGATGCAGTGCCCTGTACATTCTTTGCTGGAGCAATAGGCATCGCGTCTTTCCCAAGCTTTTGGCAGTCCCGCGCTGGAAAGTGGAGGAGAATATCTTGTATTTTGGTATAAAGTCTAGAAATAAGTTTCGTTATAAGGGTGAGCTTAGGGGATACGTTGTTTCTGGCTCTGGAAATCCACATTGCGTTCATGCGGGACTCGAGGGTCTTGTTTACGATAGATGTTGGCAAGATCTGACCGGGAGAGGGATTACTCAGGGCAGGCAAAGAAAATTGTTCAAGACCTTGTAATATCAAAGAAGCAAGGCGGCTTGGGAGGATATCTTGGCTTGTGGTTCCATTTCTGTCTTTGACTCTATCGTGTCCAGAATTCAAAGGACTATTGACAACCATCTTCGATCGAGCATGGAGTCGCCGGATATAATTCTAGAAAGGCCTTCGCAGAAAGACGCTTCATGTTGGATGTGTTCGTGACGCAAAAGCCATCGCCTTGCAATATTCCCACGATTTCGCTTTCCAGTTGGCATACGGGTTATCGTTAAGACCGCCACATCTTCATCATGGTACATGGAAATGTTTACGATATTCCGACTTTTGTGGCATGTCCTGCCAAAATCAAACCATAAATATAAAATCCGAGGCCGGAGTGGATTGTTCAATCCCTTCGACATCCTGGCTCACATTAGCAATTCCGAAGCCTCTAGTCTCTTGAACAAGTACTTTAATAGACACTTGACACCAAAGCCCCATTGCCAGAATTGCTCGGAGCGGAGCTCAGCACACACTCCATGATCTTTGGAGCAAAGTATTGCGAGCTGCGGTTGAGACAATCGTGGCGCAAGCCTTCGAAATACACGAATCCATGGGATCACCGAATCTTTGGTTCCAAGAATGAGATCAAACGTACTCGTACGTTTATGAGCACCAGTATGCGCGCGAGTAGGAGACATTTAGTTGATTGGGCCAAAGGACTTTTGTTGCGCTTCGCATTTTAAAGTTAAAGAGTCCCGAGAACTTAATTTTGAGGGCATGGGATTGAGGCGGAAGTGGGGGGATACAGTACAGTAGAGAAACCTTGTTGTATTCCGCAATCTGGGGATGCAGTATCGCGCCCATAAACAATAATATGGAAGACTCGTAGCTGATGAATGTTCTTTGTGGTCCTTTTATGTTAGATAGAATAATTACTTTGCATGAATCTTTTGCTAAATATTAATCGCTTATACTCCTCGCTGAAATCCCGCAGTTTACGGAGTATTTGGTAGGACTTCGGAATGGAAGCCGACATTGACGAAATGCAACGAAAACCCCCTAGCCATTCACTACCCTCACAAGAAAGAATGTTCGGATTGCCGGCCGACGACGACATGCAACAAGAATATGACAGGTCGAGAAAGTCCAATGGTTCTTTGCGGTTTTTGTATATACCCCTGACAAAGTTCGGATGTGTTCCGATACTTCGCCCTATTATTATTGTATAACCTGGATCCAACTTTGACTTGTGACCAGTGTTTGGTTTTGGAAAGTGTAGTAGGACTGATGGTTTAGACTATATGTAAAGCGGATTTGTATTTGTTCTTTGTTGGAGATCAGCGTTCAAATTTCAGCATGTTGCTGTACTTACTACATACAACATATCTCTTAACAACCATAACTACACTCCTAAAATCCTTCTAGAGCTCTGTCTTATAGTTATTAACTACACCACGTTTCCTTTTTGTGGAAATTGAGTTATTAGTAGGCCTAGTTGAAAGTCTTATGTCCTGACATTCAGAAGCTCTTTTGCTTTGTAAAAACCCAAAGTCTCAAGTGAAGGGGCAATTTCGGATTTGAACCACATAATGTTGATAGGAAAAGACTGGCTAGATACCTTAAAATGATAGTTAGCTTCCGTTATTGAGCCCATCCTAGAATTTCCATTTTAAAACAACAGATTTGATATCTCTCAAAGTCTTGCATCATTCAGACATCAAAACGGTTTCGCAGTTCATTAATGTGGCTGATATCCGCGTCGGTCGGTCCCGAAAGTACGGAGATGATTCTTTGTTAAAGAGAGCACAGTACGGACGTATTTGGGACTTCTCAGCTCCGATAAAAGGTTTCCAAAAGTCGAATACGAGTGATCGAGGCTCTGTGCAAAATCACATGCCGGCCGCTTCCGATATCCTTGTCTTGTTGGAAGATCACCACCAGGATCTTAAAGCTACCATGAAAGAGGAAGCTCGGAGGTGGGCCTTCTAGAAGGAAAAAAGCCCCACAGAGATAGTTTCTCGGGTCCAACAAGCGCGGGAGACCTACTTTACGATCGACCATGGTACGGTAGTTGGAAAATATATAGCAAAAGCGAGTCTCAATATTTCGGGATTTCATGTTCCTGTTCCGTGATGTCAGAATCTTTGAGCACCAATAGGTCCAAGAACAGGCGGCCCCAGGCGTTGAGATGGAATGTCTCACTTATAGCATATGCGGTGTAGTATGGACGTAACAAAAGCTTCTTTTAGTAACGGGGACCTAGCGTTGTCGCTTCGCTCTTTATTACACTTTTTAGGGCTGCTACGCTATGGCCGGTTGCTGTACAGTATACAGCCGCTGAAATGCACAATCTGGCCTTGGACTCCGCGAGTCCGTGTTGGACCTGGTACAGTAGACTATCAAGTTTCGGGTGCGTGTTCCGTACCGATAGTTCCTTATCAGCACTGCAAGCTCGGTGCAGCCGACCAGTTTAGAAGTACGAGGTACGAAGTAGATACTGTACACATCTCTACATTATATTTACTTTTGATTGGCCAAGGAAAACGAGCCAAGAGTACCAAGCGATGCGAGATGGACAAATTGAGGTTTGATGAAATTAGGAAAAGAGTTCAAGAATGTGGCGTCTGTGAGGCCGGATTAGGTTTTGGTGAAACTGGGAGGCATTTATCCCAACTTTAGGAGGGTAGTACAGTGTCATCAATAACTCATGATTGTAATCAGCTCTGCCCTTGCTCGCAGGATAACGCAGCAGCAGTATGAAATAGGGATTAAGAGTCCAGGCATCTTTTCGGGTCAAGTACTTTATTTACCAACGCCGGGGAGCAGGGGAATTTCCCCCATTAAAGTTATTGAACTATCCGTCAGCATTTAAAGCCGAGAGATAGCAGTGATAGGGTAGGAACGACTTTTTCCGCACTTTGCTCAGGGGCCGTCGTCTCCAAGCTTTCGCATGAAGTTGTGTCGCATACGAAGTATAATATTTGAGGCTTGAACTCCTGATACTTTGTTTGCCTCGGGGCGTGATCCGGTATTACTACACGCTGTCCTTGACATACGTATGGGATGAAAAACAAAACGGGGAGAAGCGCGACATGTGGACGCCATAGCGGGAGCAAACGGAAAGAAGACGCGCGCTCAAAATAAAATCAATATTTGATAGCTCTGGTCTGGGTCGAATGAATATATAGGGGCTTATGGAAAAGGAAGCCCCTCCATGGGGTGCTCGCTATCAAAGCGTATCATTGCTATCATTGGAGCGGGGGGAAGTCTTAGTAATACTGTGAGGAGAAAAGAAAGTCCAACTTCGCCTGCTCGCTGCACGGCCACAACTTAAGTCTTATCTCTTGAACTATTACTCCGTACCCAGTAAACACTATTTGCGCTTGCAAAAGCCTATTGCTCCGTTTCTGCCGCTCCTAGGAAAGGCTATGAACCTGGATCCTAGACCTCTCCACTATTGGCGGTACACTACCCACTCACGCAGGCACACAGGCACGCGAGCATGGAAGAACGACCTCGAGAGGAGGCTATTCGCTTGCTCTACCACCTACTACTACTACTGTAGAGAATTCTCTGAAAGCAGTAGTTGTGACTAATAGTTCTATCTCATGGTCTTGCTCCTGCTCCTGCTCCTGCTCCCAGAAGTAAAGTCGCTCTTCTCTTCCAGGTGAGTATTCCGAAGCCACTACTGTGGTGACTTGTCTGTGATCTCGACGTTGTTGCACGTTCTTTGTTCCACCAGGCTGGTTCGACGCCCTTGCATGCATGTCATCAGCCTTTCACAGCCGCGCTGCGAAGCGTTGAAGCTGCACTGAACGTTACCTATCCCTAGCTTGCAAATAATTCCATGAATACTTACCTAAGGTACCTACCTACCTTACCTACCTACCTACCTTGGGATACTTTTGTGGACATGGTCGAATGCTGCCTGCCCATGCCATGCCATGCCATGCCATGGCCCATGGTGGATCTCAACCCCCCTATGCCATGCCACTACTCCACCACTTTTGACTTCCGAACCCATACAAAATCAAATCGTATCTCCGATCCAACTTCATCCTTGTCTTCACGCGCATGGGTCTCCAAGAAGAGTTTCCCCAGAAAGCCTGCAGTTGCGATCCGTGCAGTAACGCGTGTTAATGCCAGTCCTGCAATTAATATCAGATCTGACTATCCACAGTCAGCCCATCGTTCAAAAGAAATAAAGCCCGCCGTTGATGCGTTCCTGCTTTGTTTACTTGTACTTCCCCCACCTCATCTCTCGTCTTCGCGGCCCTTGTTTTCCTTGGTTACATTTCTCCGACAGTTGGCATCAGCTGCCGATTTAATAGTCGCACAAGTATGTATGTGTTGCATCCTACTACAGCCTCACCTCGCGTTATTTTTGGATATTTGCTTACCCGGTGAATCAGGAGGGCAGAAAAGTTAAAGGGTTGCGATAGCCTTGCCAACCTCGACCGCTGGTGAAGACCACCATTTCTCCAAAACACATTCACTTCTCGGCAAGCACAAGCACAATAACCCACCCTTTTCTACAAACTCAATTCAACAAATATTCTCAACTCTGGAAACACCCATCTCTTCTCTCAAAAACACCATTCAAGTTCGCAGTCTGCCACTCCTTCAACAAGGAAGGCTCTCAAGCCGCTGCCGATCTACGCAAAGCCCCTCTATTCAGCGAAGAGGGTCGGTCTCTCGGATTCCACCATTGCATACACCACGTAGCACAGTCCACCGGCTTATCAGAGCCCCCCTACAGCCAATATGTCAGGTAGAAGTGCGCATGTGCGCAAGGAGAAAACCAAGGTCAAGGATGGACATATACAATCGCCGCAACAACAGCGATTTGTCGAGAGTGACCATGGATCGGAAACGACACCCTCCATTTACGGAGACTTTCCTGTGCCAGATGGGCACCAGATGACCCTCCAAAGTGAATTGAAACAATTCAACGTGCGGTCATCCTCGAGAACCACTAGATCGGAAGGATCGGACGACCTAGCCTACGCACGCGTGCGAAAACCCGCTACCCCTGTGATCGACGTATCTGGCATTGAGAAGTCATCGTTTAGGTCGTTGATGGACAAGAGGAGCGACGGAATTCGGGTAGGACTGGCAAAGACGTTTGGCAAGAAGAAGAAGACGGAAGAATTGAGACCCGAATCACCAGGATCATCATCCACAGTCCGGCCACCCGATTCACATGAACTTGAGGCTGGGGAATATGCCTACCAACCACCAAGTCTGCGACCAAGAAAGCAGCCGCTACAGGAAACGCAAGAATTTAGCCGACCAGGTCCACCCCTGGGCAAGCTTCCTCCAATTCCCCAAGGACCGCAATTGAAGCGCTGGGTAGGTTCTGGCAGCGCTCCTCAGCCATGGAACAAGCTTCGGAAAGACCCTGAGCTCTGGGACCCCAACGGTGACACTCTAATCTTCTTCGGTCATGAAGATCGTCAAAATGTGAGGCCTCCGCCATCCTTTCGTATCTCCTCCCACGTCCTAGAGGACACGCAGTCTAGATTCCTGATAACCCTGCTACGAGAAGGTTTGATCGATGATACGAACTCGTTCAGCATGCCCCCCTCTCCTGTCAGCTCACCTGGCGTGTATCCGAAACAACCGACTGGGCGAGGCAGAAATCAGCCAACACCTCCGGTGTCAGAGAACGGTGTGGGTACATATGACGGACAAATCTCTTATGGAATCTACTTTCCGGCGCCCAATGGTTCCAAGACCGACATAATTCGCCACCAGGTCACCACACGAAATGTGTTCGCCCTTCTTTACCAAGCCTCGCTGGTTGGCGTGCATCTATTTCAAGCGCTGAATGATCTTCATGAACGCCTTGAAGTTTACATGCCGCCTGATACCGATGCAGCAGGTATGCTTATTGACTACCTTGTCGCCAAGGGAATCGATGATGTTCGCGGGGATCCTTCATCTGCTGCAGCATTACTTGCATGGAGTGAAAGCCAAGGTGTGCGTTGGGAAGAAGGATGGAGAGAGGCTTATGTGCACAGCGCTGGAATGTATAATCGACTGGATAATTGTGGAGAATTCAAATTCGTCACACCTATTACAAAAGCCCTCCTCGAGCGAGCTAGCTTGGATATGCAAGTCCGAGTCCAGCACTGCGAGGATAGATTCGCGGAGTTTGACTTTGAGGACATGTGGCCGATGATGAGTTCTCATCCTCCTCCTGCGCGTTCGGCCTTCGAGAGACTACGCAAGTTCTTCCTTCAACACTATGAATCCTCATACGAGACATGGCCTCCAGCCATTCCCCATGGCGCCGAACAGTGGCTCACTAGAGATATAGCACAACGCTTACAAAGGGACTTTGGTGCTCTTTATGACTATCTCGTCAGCCGAGAAGTTACATGGGATTGTTCTGAGGAGCGAAGTGGACGAAAGTGGAACATTGTCAATCCTGGCAACAAAGCCTTTGACGCCGATACCCCTGATATACCCTTCACAGATATTCTGGTTGCATTCGACAACAGACATAGATATCCACATATCCCTCACCCGTACCCCTTGACACCCGAGCCGACCCTCGCGAAACCGAACTCGAGAGAGAACCTGTTTAAGCCTGCCAAGAAGAACAAGTCTGTAGAGGATAAGATGGCAGGGCGAAAAGCAGCTCTAGCCTACACCGAATCCACCAACATCTACCTTCTTAGCTCTGATTTCGTCACCAATGACCTAGTCGAAGAATTTGTACGGTTTGAGAAGGGCGACCGAGCAGGTGACGTTGATCCTTGTGCAGCTCGAAGAGGTCGCTGGGTCCTAATCTACGGCATCCTGCAAACCCTTGCATCCGTGTCAGTTGATACGCCCAACCTTCGTTACACGGATGAGGTCTCGTACCACTTGAGCCCACGTCTCCGCGGCACGCCACCATGGAAAGGCGCAAATCAGTACGTCGAGGAAGCCAACCATGGAGGCAGCTACTGCTGGAGTGTTCGTGAGACCTGGCAAATCGACCAACCGGTTTCAATGCCCAGAGTCAAGCCGCTGTATATGAAGTCCTCTACTCCTCCTGTCACTCCATCAATCATGAGTGAAAGCGACGGCACATCATCGGTCCGCAGTCACACACTTAGTAGCACAACAACGAGAAGCGGAGGCAGACACAGGAACCCAATGATTCGGAGAAGCGATACGAGCTACAGTGGATATGCGCCAGGTATCGAGAAGCTGGATGAATGGCCAATGACGGAGCAGAGTCTGGATAGAGGCAGGGGTAGGGATAGGGGCAGTCCGACTGCTTTTATGATTAAGGATTTTGATGATGATGAATATCATTCTTGATCTCCTTTGCGTGGAAGAGATGTATATTGGCAACTAATTTGCTGAGTTTCATTGCATATTTTGCTCGCGATGAGTTACATATAGGGGTGTTTATACAGGGGGTTCGGGTGTATCTGGCTTCGCTTTCTAGCTGGTGGTGGTACGATAATGATGCGATACGATACGATAGATACCATAGAGAGCATGGCCTGCAGAGCTTACATATTAGGGAGGAAGAAGTGGCTTTGCAGACAAGTAATAGATCAGATCAGAGAGAGACGATAATAAATACCATACAAAAGCACCTTGCTTACTTTTCAGTGACTTTTGACTGCCCCACCATGCTTTGAAATTGCCCCTCCTTTTACTGGCATCGGCAAGGAATATCTTTCCTCCGCCTCCCCGAAAAAAGTTACCCCTCCATCCTTCCTTCACCCAACCACGAGAAACCTTTCTCGCAAACAAACATTCCTACCATGCGCAGCCAGCCCAAGACCCAAAAATCATGACAGCACAAACACAAGCCCCCGTCCTCTCAACCCCGGAATCCAATCTCTTCGAAACGCCCGCGCCTTCTACAATCCCCGCAAAGGAAAACCGGTTATCGGATGCGGAACTCAGAGATGTATATGAGACGTCGCGCACAGCACGGGAGATAAGAGACGGCGGGTGGACGAAAGTCGCGTTGCAGTTCCCGGATGGTATGCTGGTTGATGCGCCGAGGGTGTTTGCTGTGCTAGAAGAATTACTTTCCGAGCAGATACCGAAGGTAAACTCGGTGGGGGTAGGAGAAGGGGAAGGGGTAGTAGGGCTAGGGGTAAACGAAAAGGAAAAGGAAAAGGAAAAGGAGAAGGGGGCAAGGGAGAATAGAGTCAGGCTTTATATACTCGCTGATACGAGTTATGGCTCCTGTTGCGTGGATGAGGTGGCTGCTGAGCATGTTGATGCCGAGGCCGTGGTGCATTATGGACGGGCGTGTCTGAGTCCTACGAGTCGGCTGCCGGTGGTGTATGTGTTCACGAGGAGGGCTTTGGATATAGCGTTTGTGGTTGAGGGGTTTGAGGAAAGCTTTTCCGGGAAAGGGGAAGGGGAAGGGGGAGGGAAAGAGGAGAAGGTTGTGGTGATGGCGGATTTGACGTTCCAGGAACATGTCCCTGTTTTGGTGGAACGGTTGAGGGAGAGGGGGTGGAAGGGGGTGAGGGGCACGGACGTGGTGCATGATCCTACAGCTTCGATACCCAACCGGCGGATAGCATGGCGGAGAGATGGAAATGGAGAGGAAGAGGAAGAGGAGGGGGACTTGAAAGAATGGAGTATCTGGCATATTGGCTCCCCGCCCGCCGCGCTCCTCTTGACATTAAGTTCTCGGATAAAGGAACTCTTAATCTATCCCGGCACAACACCACAAAGCACAAGTACAAATGGAAATGCAAATAGAAATTCAAGTACAAGGCAAGAAATCATCCGCTCCAACACATCCCTCCAACTCCGCCGCCGCTACGCCCTCCTGACGCGCCTCACCACAACCCCCATAATTGGAATCCTCATCAACACACTCTCCGTCGCCAACTATCTATCCAGCATCGACGCCCTAAAAGCCCTGATCGCGCGAAAGGGGAAGAAGAGCTATACGTTTGTGGTCGGCAAGGTCAATGCAGCGAAGATGGCGAATTTTGCAGAGGTGGGGGGTTGGGTTGTGGTGGGGTGTTGGGAGAGTAGTTTGGTGGAGAGCAAGGAGTTTTACGCGCCGGTGTTGACGCCGTTTGAGCTGGGGCTGGCGCTGGAGAGCGATGGTGAGAGGGTTTGGAGTGGGGAGTGGAGGGGGGATTTCGGGGGTCTGGATACGGGTACGGGGACGGGGACAGGGATAGGGGAGAAGACAAATGGGCATGAAGGGATAGAGGAAGCTGGGTTGGATGGAGAGGGGAAGGATGGGGAGCTGGGAGATGTGGGAGATGTGGAAGATGAGGATGGGGATTCGGAAGAGGAATCCGCACCCCCTGAATTCGACCTCAGGACCGGCCGATACGTCTCCAACTCCCGTCCCATGCGAACCACCAATCCCACCAAAAACACCACATCTTCCTCAACCCCCCCTCCATCAGCATCCACATCCACATCAGCAGCTTCACAAATCTTAACAAGAAGACCGAAACAAGAACTAGCCTCTATCAATGGAGCAGTGAGTCCTGGGGCCGAGTTTCTGAGAAGCCAGCGGACGTGGACGGGGCTGGGGAGTGATTTTGAGGAGATTAGAGAGGGAGGAAGTGGGGGTGGGGGTGGGACTATTGAGGAGGGTAGGAGTGGTGTAGCGAGGGGCTATACTGTTGGCAAGAATGGGGAGAGGACGTGAAGTGAAGTGATGTTGTGGAAGGAAGGGAATGTTGGGTAAATGTTGGTATGAAATGAAAATAGATGGATGGGGTGGGGTGGTGTAGGTATATTAAGGATATAAGGAATGATACCCAAAGCATAAAAGGAATAGCAATCAACACGAAGTAACGGAAGGAGAAGAACTCCAATACCATTTCGGAATCTGTACAAAGGTCGGTCATTCATTCACAATGGCAGATATTTCAAAGTGGTGTGTATATGTATTTTCGTAGAATTTCATCATTATGAACATTTGATCCATGTATCAATATCTAATCATCTGACAAAGAAGATCATATCCTGCCTCCCCCTTATCGCAATATGTATGCTTTCTTGCCAATCCAGGTATCATATCGTATCCGTATCCTAAACAATCCAATTCAATTCGGCCGTAAACTCCATATCCCCCCTATCCCATTCCATCCCGTCACGCCCCCTTTCCTTTCCTTTCCTTTTCATTTCTTCCTCTAAACATACGCATGTCGTCTCCCACCCCCCGAATGCGAGCTCCTATGACTGCGATGGCTCCCACTACGTCGATGCCCATGTCTGCTATAATGCGTCTCCCTAACATAAACATCCTTCTCCTTCCTCCCGCTCCCCCTGCCGACCAACAGCGCGAGAAAACTGGTAATGAAAAAGAAAATACAGTTCATGATGCCAAACGCCCAGCACGCCTTCAGCATCGCACACGTCTTATCAACCTGCACATCCACACCACTCACGCTGAACCCGTGGCCATCCCCCACGCTGACGGCGAAGAAGGGCGAGCCGCTCTTGTCGACAGAGCTGCAGTTGTACTTGCCGATCATGCGCAGCTCGTAGACGCTGGCGATCAGCGCGCCGACGAAACAGAGGTCGATGAAGGAGACGAAGAGAGCGTTGGATTTCGCGCGGTGGTATGTGAAGAGCGTCGCGATGGCCCAGACGGCGCCGAGGACGGAGACGATGAAGAGGACTAGGATGTAGTTGGGGGTAAGGGCGTTGGAGGAGGCGTAGATGTGTACGAAGTAGGCGAGCATGCCTAGGGTTGGGATCTGTTGTTGGCAGCGGGTTAGCTTTTTGTGTTGGTGGGAGAGGGGGATAGGGATAGGGATGGGGGGAAAGGGGATTTACCAGAGTGAGGATTTGCATCATGCGCCAGAAGGCGAAGAAGATTCCGAAGAGCATTGCGAGCGAGACTTGGGTTGGTGATGCGATTAGAAGAAGTGTGTTGTGCTGCTATGCGACAATATGTGCTGGGTAAATGCGAGGGGGTTGGTGATTGTATCAACCAATGGCAATGCGAACGGATCGCTGGTTGGCTGACGGTATTCACACTTGTAATGGCTGACAATGTACAAAAACTTTGCGAGGAAGAAATTTCAACAGGCGGAAGACTCGAGCCTTATATTGCGCTGGCGATATTGAGTTGGGGGATTCCCTGCTTGTTGTATTGCTCGTGTTGTTATAGACAAGGATGTTTCCTGGTTTCGCTGCGGGGAACCGTCGCGGCTCAATCAAATGATTTGGGTCAAGTCGAGAGAATGATTGGATACCGGATGACGTCGATGAGGTGTATTCTTGGAGATCCAGATGGAGATGAGATGGAGATGGAGATGCGGTGCGATACTCCGTAGGTGAAGTGAAGAAAGGTCGGGATAATAAATGATCGACAGGAAGTAGAGATGGGACGGGAGGTACGAAGGTACAGTAAGAGTGAAATCAAGATGAGATCTTCTCACCTGTCCTGTGCATGTAGATGTCTCTGACTTGCATCTCTCCAGAGGAGATGCGATGGATACTTATCTGCGGGCGAGTCCTCTCTCGCCAACTGTTGAAGCTGCAAAATGGAGGGGTTGGTGGGGGTGAAATCGAGGTGGTTGGTCCACCCGAGACGCAGTACTGTAGATACAATAAATAGCCTGCCCTGCCTGCCCATGCACGCGAAATGACGAAACTCCATGACCGAGTCTAGTTACATGAACAATCGCCGAGGACAAGAAAGCAACGAAAGCTTTGGTCTTCAAGACACGCTTCCTTTTCTTTTGCGCGCGCATTGTTTTAACTGTGTTGCTGTCGTGTAAGTTGGATGCGCCTGCCTGCCTGCGCCTAAGTTTGCGCAACAACAAAAGATAATAAAATGGACATCTTACCCTCTGCTTCCTGCTCTCCAACTTCCTGCATTCAACCCTGTTTACTTGAGCCGGCCTTGTTTCGAAACATTGAAACCCTGATGTGGAAGAAAGGTTTGGACCGAGTACTGTACTGTATACATGGATTGAGTGGTCCGAGGCAAGCAGAAAATGGGGAGGCTGGGAGATTCATCCTTTGAAGAGCTTGCCTTGCTTCACGGCAATCCTTGCGCACAGCCAACACAGCACCAAGCACCGTGCCTAGTATTGTTCGGTCAATATAGTTGAACGTGGAAAGCTTTTCTTTCTTTGCGTTTTATGATCAGATCAAAAGCATTTTGTTCTTGGCCTTGGCTTGGGTAGGTAGCTTTTTGTCAAGCACAAACCATCGCGATACCGTCCCTATACCTGGCAAACTTCGCAAATCTATCCAACTCAGCGCGGTCTATCTTCCTTTCCAGTCTTCAAATGCGATATTGATCTATGATACCCCTACCAGAAACCTAAACCTCTCATTGCGCATTACATTTCACTGTAGATGTTCGTTCGTCTCGTTCGTTAGTACCACAGTCTAAGCCCTAGTGTTCGAGCTTGACGCTCTGCACAAAACACCGGAATCCCAAGTCAGGGGAATCAACTTTTGTTGCACGTCGTTAGTGAGGCGGAGTATTCTTCTTCTTTTTATTTCTTGTGAGGGATATCAAGGGGACTTCTTAAAGGGATGACGAACGCTCAAGACCGAAAAGCCTTTCTCAGGACCGATACTCTAGTCAGGGGAATCGAAGCTTTGTTGCACGTCGTTAGTAAACAGGGGCATAATATCAAGGTGATTCTTGAATCTACACCTAAAACCCTCTCTTAGGACCGGAAACTCTAGTCGGGGGCGTTAGGGTTTTGTTGCACGTCGTTAGTCAATACGAAAATCTTTTTTATGGAATTTATCAAGGAATTTCTCAAAGAATAGTAATGGGGTCTAGGACCGAGATCTCTAGTCAGGGGATTTACTACTTTATGGTTTTGTTGCACGTCGTTAATTACATGGGGAAATCTTTTTAATGGGGGTATCAAGGGAATTATCAAGAGGATGATGGATGGTGAAAAAGGGGTTTGGGACCGGTGTTCTTTAGTCAGGGCCGGGTCTGGAATATACCGACACGTAGCTGGATACAGGATTTGGGTCCTAAAGGTCCAGCTTCGTCCTGTGGGTGAGGAGGTGGATTTAGTGGACTGGGCTTGGGGGTGATTGTGAGGTAGTGCTGGAAGGAATAAACTGAAGGAGAAATGTAAAGTCGAATCGACGACTGTTGGGGTTTGGTGCTGGCAAGCAAGGACTTCGAGAGGGAATTGGTAGAGTCGCAAGGTGAGTACTTTGGAATACGTACGGTAGGATGGGGATGATGTCTAGGTCGCAAGGGCAAGGTCAAATAGGTGAGTTAGGAGAGTATAAGCCGTGTAGATGAATTTGAATAAGGGTTTTTTCTGACTGATGAGCACTGCTCTCTGAGAATATCTAATTCACGCCTATGCAATGATATCTTAAAGTGAAGCGCCTCCCTCCCAAGCACCAAAACCCAAATGCACCGACTACCAGTAAAATGAAACAGCATACCTCCGTCTATGCCCGCCTGACAATCAACTCCCGCACCTCAGGCAAGCCTTCCCATCCTCTACCCGTGCCCCCAAACTGCACACTCTTCTCAATAACCTCCCTCCACCTCAATCCAGGAGCCAGCTTCCCTGTTATGGTATTCGGCCTCCTAACATCTGCATTCGTCGGAACAGGTAGCGCCCTTCCCAGCAATGCCTCCATAGCCTGCATAGCAAATCCCACAGCCTTCTTTGCATTACTCGGGACACCAGTCTTGTCGAAACTGCCAAACCTCGCAGCGGGGAACTCGCCTTGAAGATCGGAAATGAGTTGCGGATTCCACATCCCGCGTCCATCGACAACAATGTCCGCATTATTGATAGCTTCTCGACCTGGGCCGTAGAGTAGCATTTGCTGAGCGATGCTGGCGGACGTGAAGCGTGTCATTGTAGCTATCGTGTCCGCCGGAGTACAACCCCGGAAGTTGCACATTGTAACGATCCGCATTGCCATCGCATCACCGTATATTTCCCTCGCCGTCGTTTTCGGTGGACGTGTCTTCAGAAACTCGTCATGGTTAAGAAGTTCATTGACGACTTCATGGCAAATATTCCCACCTAGTAGATGTGAGCTCTGGTCTGTGGCGGGGTCGAGGCCAAATTGCCGAAAGGCAGAGTCAATCATTGAGGTTCCTGGCCCGGTATCCCAGTCGTACATGGCATCTATGCCTCCTTTATTGTCTGCAGGGATGAAACTGACAGTGGTTATACCGCCGATTGTTATGCAGATCTGAAGTCTGGTGGGATGGTGTATCAACAGCCCGACGAGGTATGCGAACAGTGGCGCTCCTTGCCTTCCAACTGCTTGTTCTGCTGTCCGGTAATCTGAGACCGTTGTAATACCCGTCTTGGCTGATATTACGGCTCCTTCTCCCAAGCACATATTCGAACGATGCTGACCCTTTGGCGGGGTTCCCGTCAAGGTCACAAGTTGCCCACCGGAGCCGATCAGGTCTATATCGTCAACAGCAATTCCGTGCTTGTGTGTGAAGATATGGATGGCATTCGCAAAGGTATGGCCCATCTCCGCGTCCATCTGCGATAACATGCTTGGTGGAGCAGCGTCTTCTCGAAGCATGGAGAGGATATCGGTTCGGATTTTGGAAGGCATAACCACCGAGTCGTACTATGAGAACCAATCAGACTTGCAACGGATGTTGGGGATAAATCCATTACCTGGACAATTTCCAGACAGAGAGGGGCTTCTGGGAATTCTTGTGTAAACCTGCAGAGTGCAAAGTCGATATCATCCATAGCCGTCCCAGAAGTGATCCCGAGAATCAACAGATTCAAACCCGGGGACTTTGGTTCATCCGAAGGGGACGGTGAGCTCGAGGTATCCGAATCCGAATGGACTTTGGCTTGTAGTGCTTCGAGGTACTTGTGTCCGACCTGCGTTCGAACTCGCCCCTTGGGTGCGGGGATGAGGCCCTTCATTACCATCCTCATGCGTACAATTTCGGCTTGAAGAAGCGCTGGGTCATTTCTACTCGTCTGATCGAGGTGATACAAGCCTCATATACGCCCTTTCACAATCGCAATCGCAATCGCAACTGCAAAGATGTCCCGCATCGTGCTAGATATAGGACTAGCTGTGCTCTCCACTTTTGGCGAATTGGTGGGTTGAATGTCGTGAGATCTGCGTCCTTCACAACCGTTGTAAGGCTGTATGTAGATTAGCATGAGTGGGCGTAGGCTCAGGGAAACATACCCCGAAGCGGCAAAGCCAACCCCCGCAGCGGAATCGCATACGTCACGTGCGCCACCATAAAAGACTTCACCTCTGTCCGAAGGCGAAGCCACCTTCTGCTCAAAGCTTATACATGGCACTTGATATGGAAATCAAAGTAATCGTCTAGGATATTTTAAGGCAATCGTGTCCCGGTGCTACAATCAGAAGGTAAGTCCTACTGCTATCACTCCTCGGCTCTTCTTCCTCCTCTTTATTGCTAAATTTAGAGCTTGGACTACAGTCAATGATTTCAGTAATGAACTAGGTGATTGTGGGTGAAACCCCCCATAAATGCTTGGAAGTCCGGGATTTCAAGTGGGTATAGGCTATAAATACTGGCCTCATCTTTCCCCTCTATAAAGTAAGAAATTAAGAATCAATGGATCCATCAGTGGTCCTGTTCCTGGTCAATTTCTTTTGTTCCAAAGATGCACAAATTTTGACGTTTCAATACTTTCATATCTATCTTTGTGGATAAATTTTACCTCTATCAGTTTGAAAAGAGACCTAATTAGCTCCCGCCCCAATTTTCATATTTTCTGATCTCTATAATCTAATTGTGTATGGAAGGGAGGACGCGGTATAGTGCAACCATACCTTCTCATGGTAGGAAGACCAAGAATTGTCATCTAGTCCTCTTAATTTTCTTCCTGAAATGCCAGCTGTTGATAACGCACAGGCTTAAAGTCGATATCTGCATCTTGTGATTTTTCTAGGATACTTAATATTCGTAATAGCTATGGCAAAGGGGTTTGGCTGCGAAATCAAGCGAGATCATTGACTACACAAGAGTAGACAGTCTAAGAACTGCTGGACGTATCTATGATTTTTCAGGGACTTCCCCTGAAATGGAATGTACGAAAGGAATGGCAATAGACGATGCCGATATATATTTTAGTTGTGGTAAAAAGGAGGTTAGCTTGAACCGGAAAGCGAATTAAGCGAGCCCCTTTCTTTACGGGCTGTGCAGCGAAGGGGGAAGACGGTGATTCCATTAGGTTATCAAATGATACTTGTGTTATTTGGTTGTTTAAAAACAAAAGCAAACACCAGTATGGACAGCCAACACCTTCCGGGTGAATAAATGAGCGCAGAATATTTATCATCTTGAAAGGAAAGCCACTCAACATCCACACTAAAAGTACGATGAAATTGGTTCAGTGACAGCAAGAGCTGCATGCTAGACTCATTCAATTGTAAATCTTCCTGGTGAAGTCATAATCATTACCAAATCAAGCTAGTCTAGAGACTTTCTAGTAGTGAATTCAGATATGTAGCTAGTCAAGAGACTTGTCAGCAGTAAATCGAGATATGTAGGCCTCCTAGAAAAGCCGAGCTCCCCTCTCCGCCATCTACAGGTAATATAAAAGTCTAGAATCCCAGCTGATATTCTTGCTATACAACTCCACATCTTGAACAATTACCTCGAGTGCATACAACTCCGAAATCAATTCTTTGATCCGGGAAGATGTTCAACTTTGGACGCAAGCAGACAAACAATGCCACCGCCCCAAGAGAACACAGACACAGACACAGACACAGCAGACAACATGACGATCATGCCACCTCTCGTAAATATCCCCCTCCCAATTCCAACCTCTTGCCACTAATAAGCATCAAAATTAGTCCCATACCGCCGCGGCAACATCCCAGATTCATCACGCAGTCATCGCGATATCCGAGAGCTAGTAGAGAGGTTTCCTAGTTATCGCGATGCCCGAGAGCAAGCAGAGAGGTTCGTCGCCGACAGAATAGCCCAAGGAATGAGTCTGGATTACATAGACCACCAAATCGACGTTGCCTTACAGGCTCCAAGACTCGATATCAATGAGGCTCGGTTTCTCCGATCGGTTCATCAGGTCCTTGGTTCGGGGATGGTGTATCAGCAGCCCGAGCTTCCGTTTCGAGAATTGAGGGAAAGGGAGCTGGCGCTGGGAGCAGTGGGGATGCAGTATCAAGAGCCTGAGCTTCCGTTTAGAGAAATGAGGGAAAGGGAGCTGGCACTGGAAGCAGGAATCCACTTCGGTAAGCATTTGGTCTTGAGTGGGTGGCGTGTTACAACTGGATACTAATGAGTAGCAGAAACTGAGCGTGCATTACAAGCAGAATTAGCTGTGGTGAGACAACGAGCAGACAATGCGGAAGCTATATTTGAGATGGAGGAGGGCAACCGCGAGGTTGATCCTCCTCCAGCTTATCATGCCTTGGACCGTAATCCAGGGCCTGCTGCACCAGAATCATTCATAGAAAGGAATGTTCAACGGGCTGATAACACAAGAAATGAGCCAACCCGATTCGAGTCACCAGCTCCGGAAATGTCGATGAGGCGGAACTCTTCACCCTTGGGCTACTCCCGTCATTCGAGGGGGCCACATGAGCTGAGGCTTAGATCTACGAGAGATATACAGGAACACGATGCTCGGGGCAATAGGCGCTCAGAGGCCGAAGCTACATATCCGAGACAAACAGCTTATAAATTCCCGTCATCAGCAGCGAGAATCCCTCACCGAACCCCCTACTCTTCGTCGAGAGTTGGGACAGAACCATGTTCTTCAGCAAATTCAATATATGAATTGCTTGGATAACCAATCATCTCAATCCAGAGCATACATTTCCGACAACTACTTCAGTATTTTCGGAGATGGGTTATGGTGTCTGCAATTGTAGAATGGTAACTAATTTAGGGATGGTACGGATAGGTAAATGGTCAATAAGATAAAAGAACACTGGGGGTGGGTTTTACATTCTGGTACTTACTACTTGGGGAGTTGATGTCTGCACTATTTTAGTACATAACCATGACGCAGAAAACCTATGTAAAATGGAGGGTCTAGGATCGCGTACCATCATGTTTATGAACACAAAACGAGATTTTTTTCCAACTTAAGTCTGAATATGTATCAGTAAGTTGTGACATGGTCGGTAATGTGGGTCGTCGTCAGTCACATTCGGAATGGGGCTGACCGGTGCGGGAGGTATCGTTAGCCAACTGTCTAGTGCGACCTGGACCTTGAGCTTCGCGGAAGAAAAGTTCAGAGCCATACATTTCAACCGTTTGGTGGGGATTATAAAGCTGGACATAGCAGCTGCTGCACATGGAGACACAGATGCTGCTAGTGCTAGACTTCAGTGGTGGATCAGTGGGATGTTGAAAGACGATCCAGATTGGTTGCAAGACTGCTCGCTGGTATTCGAAATGCAGAGCGTGAACGAGAACGTCCCGGAGGGTTAGCACCTGGAGATATTGTGAGTATTGTAAGATTGATAGAGGTGGACATAGTCTTACATCGCCAGGGAGATAATGTATAATCAGTCATCCATGATACAAAATCCCGTTCGCATTTCCTTAATTAGCTCCATCTAAAATCATACACTTGCACAAAAACTCCCCAAAATATCCCCTCGTGATATTTTGAACCTAGGTTACCGATTCTTCGATTGCAAAAGAATGCTGGCGCCTCTTTCATGGCTTTTTTTCAAATCAGTTCAAATGAGGTAATGAAATAAAACACCTTCAGCCCCAGACTTTCACTAAGGCAGAAGCCCGCATCCCGAAAAACCCACAACCACAAAATTTAGTAGATAGAAATTGGAAGGCGCTATTTGTTTGTCTAATCAGTGCTACGCTTCTCAAACGCACTCGGCTTTGGGAACATTGCTTCCAATAGTCTCAACATCACGTTCCTCACGTTTCCAACCTCCGTTTCTTCCTCTGTGCTCACATCATCATTTAAACATAGCTGCCCTACTTTCCCCTTTCTTCTGATCAACCTCTTAAAGAGGACGTTCTCAACCTGCTCGGCGTCTGTAATCATGACGAAGAATGCGTCTGGGTCGACGATGGTGTATTGGTATTTCCACAGTGCCTTGATGACCACTTCGCGGGCCTCGGATTGCGTCTTGGAATGGGGTAGCAATGGCGAAAGACCTTGTTCCGCACGGTTGAGTAAGAGCTTTAAAAGACAATCCCCGCACTTGGGTTGCTGTCTAGAAACGCGGTCAAAAGTCGTAGCAGTGCTGAAGACATAATTTGTATGCGCCTCGTCAGAATCCGGAGTCGAGAACCCTGGAGCTAAGCATTCGTTGACGTTGAACTCAAAACATTCGATATCTCTAACTGCGGCGGGACCATCAAGTGATGTCCATTGAATATCAACGTTGACTTTGGGTGCTTCGAGCCCGGCGGTTTCAAGTGCTTCGCTCATATGATAGAACATCCTTCTTCGGAAGCCTGGCTGGCCCTCCTTTGCCATGCCTTCTTCCAGATCGTCCATAACCTTCTGTCGTTCGATCCATCCCAAGTTCCCATTCTGGTCAATATCACTTCGTTGCATGATGTAACTCCATAGCAATGCTTCCCTTTGTCTCTCAATTGTATAGTGGAATGCAACATACCATGAATAGAGCTGGAAGCCTGTCTCGCCACGAAAACGTTGGCAGGTACTTTGAAGTGCCGGACGGGGAAAAGAATGGATTGCTTCTCGAGTAACAGACCGAGAGAGTGAGTGACCGAAGTGGATGTGGCCTTTGCGTTTTCGTTCTCCAAACCGGCGGTTCAACAGCCATGAAGTGTAGATGAGAAAGGGCTTCTCGCCAAACCTGCGAGCATCTAAGTCCGTGGGTGGGCTAATAGTGCTGTAGGAGTTTGATTTGAATCCCATTGTTGGGCCGAAAAGGGGAGAGTAAATATCGGATGCTGCGTGGAGCTTGCCGAGAAACATGTCGTCGGAAAGAGCGAACAGCTTGGGACGGTCAGTACAATAGCTAGGTTTTTCTGGCGGAAAACAATACCCGGTCAGTATCAGATTTTGTATTGAAGATCTGGTTCTCGATAGTCAAGGAGTTGAACGTTGGGAGACATCCTTTTTCGTGCTCGTCGAAGAAGTCCTCCTGCGATAGTACTTCCACGGCACCGTTATTTGCCGCATCATCACTCAACCACGAAGGTCTTTGCTTTCCATTGATAGTTGCTGGCTTTTCCACAGTTGCGGAAGCGGCTTCTTTTGGGGTGGCAAGTGCATTTACAAGCAGCTGAATCTTGTTCCTGAAACTGGACGCGTATTTTTCAATGCTCCGGATCGAATATCTCAGTTCGTCCCAATCTCGATACCGATTCACTCGATGGGATTCCAACCACTTGCTTTCCGCGTCATTCAGAGTCGAATTCATCTCGTACGGATGCATTGTTCTCTGGAATGCAACATCTGAGCCATTGACCCCTGGAGAAATTAGTAGAAGCTAGCCGTACGCTCATCATGGTGGTCTTACAAGTGTAAACAAAGTCGATTTTTGTCTCGTTGAGCTTACCCCATCTCTTGGTATCCCATTGGGCCTCTGAGAACCACAGATCTTCCCAACCTTCAAGAACGACATCTTTGACGGACTCTTCCAATGGAATATGAATGATATCTGGCAAAGCCTCTGCTTGCTCGTCAAGTGCGACAGAATCAGAATAGGATGGAAATGTTCTTGGAGCTCCAGGGGTTTCGGAAGAATGTGGAAGTTTCCTCTCCGAAAACTCTTTGATTGTTGGTGCTAAACGCTGCCCGATCGTATCATGGAATGCTGCCTTCACCAGAGGCGGAGGCGCATTGTCGAGAGCGCTGTGCCTTAATACAGATACAAATTTCTCACCAAACTCTTTACTCTCGGGTTTTGAATTGAGGTTTGAGTCCACCCTGCCAGGTGCGGGCGGTTCTTGAAGAGGGAATTGAGCGGCAACCATCTCCCGAACCTCATGTCTCTTTTGGGGTTTCGAAATGACGTTTTGATGTTGAATTGGAATAGTTGCTTTCGAATAGTAACGCCACACGAACACGCAAGTCACTAGAATAATGAGTAGGCGATATCCGTACATTCGACTGATGATTGTTCGGCGGTATGTTGGAGGTGACTCCTTTTGCCAGTGCGGAAGTCTTGATGGTGACCTGTACAAGTGCATTGCAAAGCTTGAGAAGGGAGACGAAGAATAGAGAAGGTCGATAGACAGCACGTAGTGGAAACCAGTAAAATCAAATAATGCTCTAACAGAACATATTCAAAACAAGAATTCCATCTCCCGCAATCAGGAACGCTCTCCTGACGGTACTTTGTGTGTCTCGGGTAGGGTTCAGTATTTCTTCAGGGGGAAAATAGTACTCTGGAGCGGAAAGAGGCACTCCGATATACCATGGTGACTGTTCTTTAAACACTGTTGCATAGTCCCCGTGTGGCGTGACGCCCAATATTGGGTGCCAAAATACGGGATGGATGACCTGGTATTTACAAGCCTCTCTGATTGCTCAGCATCAGCCTGAAGCGGAGTCTATGAGCCAACACATTTATTACATTCGTTGCCATATTCCAATCCTGTGGTCGAGACCACTGCTAGAGACGTTGACAGGCCACTGGGTTTGACACCCGGTCGTCGGTGTACAGCATCCACGGATATTATTTCCCATTGATGTCTGTGGCTTGGTTCAGTTTTGTGTCAAAATTCAGGACTCGGCTAGCGAAGTGCTGTGGCTCGAGCCCTGGGTCCCCTTCAAGTCAAGCCTGTACTGTCAGAGCCGACACGGAGGGGCCAGAAGCTTACAGTATTGTGCGGCCTAATCGGCCACAAGTCGATCTCGGCCGCGGTCAAAGCTTCCTTCAACATCAACCTCACTACAACTTCAGCCGTCAACAAGCCAACCCTACTCGCTTAACCGCCAATTTACTCAAATGAAGCGCATTTTGTTTCTTCAGTGAAGGCTTCTTAGGACGGAAGCTGCCATTTTGTTCACGGGCTACCCAACATTCCGTCTCGGGTCTCGGATACCGGTATTGTAACTCCACATTTCGATGATGGTCTAATGAAAGGTTGCTACCTGTGGTTTATACGACCAATGTTGTTATGATAGTATTAGACTCTACCATCCTGGCTCGTCCAGAAGAAGTCATTTGAATCATCCGAATCGATCTTGATAGAGACAGCCACAAGCAAAAGAGGAGATGATGAAGGGTGGAAGAACTAGAACGACTTGACCGTTCACAACAATCTAATTACCGAGTCTGGTAGTCTGGAAAGTCTTCATGGTCTTGTTATTTCCGATCTACTGAGATGTCCATTTATCTAATCTACGTTTTGGCTATATCAGTTAAATGTCTTCCTGAAATCCCATACTCTTTTGTTTCATTCAGTATTTGCATCTTACCCGACTAATTCTCTTCTCAATATCTCTCATAATCATGGTGTCTTGTATCGGCAGAAATGCTGCTCTATTGCTGGCTATCGGATTTTCTACATTAGTTTCTGCGACCTCGGTATTGGCAACTATCTCGCCATGTCCATCTTGTCCTTCCGACGTGATGCCTGCCGCTATCACTGTCACTGAGCAGTATCAGCCAGTCTCAACTTGCACACCTTCAAATTCACGTAACAACACTGTTCCATCCTGCTCCAGCTACGATTTTGTTTCTACTGTAATCACTGTCATGGACGGAAATACTAGCATGACAGTCACCAAAACCGATCAAATCTTGCAGCTATCTCATCTCTCAACTGTCATTACATCCTCGGTTCCTTGCCCAACAGTTGCGCCAAAACGGGGTCAAAACGGAACTACTTCCGTCTTAGCCTGCATGAATACCCAAATCCAAACTATGGTAATCGATGCTTCATGTCCGTTCAACCAGATCGGACCTCTGGGAATCCAAGGCTACTCAGGAAGCGGACTTTGTCAAGCATGTGCAGAAGACTTAAATGGATCACAACATCAGCAAGTCAATGTGGTGAAGTGCTTGAATGGAAATTGCTCCACTTACGTTGAGACTTGGGTGTCGACAAAGCCAGCTTCGACCTCAACTTCGGCGGTTCCATTTTCGTCAACAACATATTGTTCTTCTCAGGGGGTCTACACTATTCCCATGACCACGGTTTATACTCCTTCAGGACAAGGGTTTACAGCACCTATCACATCAACATTCGTCGTGACAACTTCAGTACCAAGTCCCCAGACAGTTAGAATTACCAAGACGATCACTTTCACACTCGTTGGAAATGCACCGATTATCAGTGGATCCTCATATATTTCGTCGGCTCAGGTCTCGACAACTGCTTCTTGCCCAACGAACGGTCAATACACGATCCCAATCACCAAGACTTTCACAGCGATCAACCCAGCCTTCACGGCCCCCATAACTACGACTATTTTCTACAAGACCACCGTCACTAATGCCCCGACGAATATCGATTGTACGACTGTAGTTACGGTGATTTTCACACAAATTGCAGTATCTCCAACCCTGACTCCTGTGAGCGGAACGTAAGTGGAATGTCAACCCCTCAAAGGCTTCTATAAATTAACCTAGAATAGAACTATTGCTCCAAAAGCCCCATTTTTGAACTCGACTTTAACTTCGTGGGGCTCCACTGAAGCTTTAGCACCGAAATCTTCGTCAGCATCCATGACTGCAAGTATATCCCCCAGCGGTAGCCGAGCCACTCCAATTAGCAATTGCGAGTATGTGGGTTGCTACAGTTCCACAGCAGGCGTCCCAGACTTCTCTCTCACTGCATCTACAGGTGCCATGACCATCGAGCTCTGCGAATCAGAATGCATTGCATCTGGCGAGCCATACTCAGGCCTGTACCAAGGCGATTGCTTTTGCGCGTCGACTCTCGGCTCTTCTGAGGAAGCCGGCGAATCCTGCAACCTCCCGTGTCTAGGCAACAAAGCTGAGATGTGTGGTGGTTACTTTATGGGTGCTAGAATTCGCGGTCGTGTATCTGGAGGCAACAGGCTGTATGATGTATACTCATGCCCTGTTCTAACCTCTACCTCAACAATGTCAGACGAAACATCAAGCACCAGTTCGGCGTCAACACCTGATCCGTCGTCTGATGAGGACCAAGAGATCCAGAAGCGAGATTTAGATGCGGATTTGGAGATCATGGGTACCAAGAAGCGTGTGGAGCGTAAGATTCGGAGTGGAGGCGTGTTGAGGAGCTTGAATAAGGTCGAGAAAGGCAATGTGCTTGCCAAAAAGGACTTTGGAATGAAGAAGCTATTTGGAATGTAGACGATCATTGTGTGGCAGATGATGAAAGAGGGTGAGGTCAACCCAAGTAGATCGAGGTTTATGTTATTTATTTTCTTGTCCGGGGGTTTAGTAGATATTGGGGTTCATGTTCATTAAGACAAGGCGACGATGAAAGGGAGTCTTAATTTGATATAACAATTTTTGATTTGAACTATTCTGACGGTAAAATCCGTCTTCGTACTTCACTTTCTGCATCCAGAGCTTTTGGATGATATTTTGGGTTTGTATTCTTGAACTTCAAATCCCGACAGGCCCAGCGTGGCCTTTTAGCGAGGCAAAGCCTGGCAAGATGGTGTATCCTCGCTATAAATTTAGCGATCAATGTACCTACAAACACTTTCAAATTCAAATGGAATCTTCTCTCGGCTTGTCTAATTTCCATATGCAAAGATGTCCAATATAGGTAGATTTCTAGAAACTACGATTCTTACTCACTATCTCATTTCCATCTCAGACATTTTTCACGTGCCCAAGCAAATGTTGCCTGGTTAGAGGTCTTCAGGGGTAGCGAAATAAACAGGGTTCGGAGGGCTCGTCTAGAACGGGGCCATGAAGCGAAATTCTCACAGTTCCAGCTCTCAGTCCCATATATGTTACGGATAGCACGATCGTAAAGATCCTAGCTGAGAGCGATCCTGTCGGGCCGTCCCAAGCCCATGGACCATGGTTTCCATCCCTGCCGGTATCCGCTGGGTCTCATACGGAACGGCACTGTGTCGGGTACTTGCATTCTTGATTAACGTGCTCTATTGAGCCACAGGTCTGATTGCTATCTATAGACCATGTCTTTCTTGTCTTCTGTACGCTGGCTTCCGAAGAATATATCAGGTCCACTAGAATACAGGTTTGATGCCCCTGATCCAGCGGCCACTTTCAAGCTCCTTCATTCCCATCTATTTTCGCACCGAACTACAACAAGTTACCTCAGCTTATCCGTCTCTTTTTCCATATTTCTGCTTCATTCTGTTGTTTTCCCAAACCTTGCAGTCATCACACGTGGATCATTCTAAAATCTGGTCCTTGAAAAGCCAACATTGCTTCATCAGGTGCCACTCACCCAGTAGTCCAGCACTGGTGTAGCTAAGACTCGGATTTCAAGAAGTTCGGGAGTATGGCTTAAGGGGAAGAAACCATTTAGCTACCAGCGATGTCGTTCTTTAACTAAGTATAGGTATATAACCATATCTAGTCATACAACCTTTGCTTCTTTAGACGCTGCACATTCTCAGACGCAGTCAGCGTGATATGCCCAATTTCAGCGCCAACATTGACATCCCCAAGAGTAACCATCAGAGCTTGCAATGCTCTGGCTCTCTCAAGACCATCCAAATGCGAGGCCCCACTAACTCCCACATACGGATTATCCCTTGTGAGAGAGGATACATATCCGAGGATATCGGGAGCGAGAGTCGTTATCCTGAGGGCAACTGATGCCACTGCCTCACAGAGGAGCAAAAAGGAGATGATGAATAAAATGCCTCCAAATGCCTTGTTACTGTGGTATTCTTGCCCATCGAATCGAACCATACTGGCCTGGCTGGAGTTGAAGTACAGCGGTAATTCATAGCTGGTGCTGATGTTGTCGTAAGTGCTTAGATTAGAGCTGAGATTGCCAGTCAAGTATGCCGCTCCGTATGTTGATTGCCAGAACGTATTATATGCCACCTCCATGTTCCTACTGAATGTGCCTGGATCGAGTGTTGAGAGGTTCGAGTATTTGAAAGAAACAAAGTCCGCAATAGGGTCCGCGAGCCATTGCTCGAGCAAAGTGCTTTCTTCTTTCGAAGCATGATGTAGATATCCAATGGTCGTTTGAGGAAGGGCGCTCAGACTGTTTATCATAGGAGTGACGGTTACAGGTTTCGAGCTTGCAGCTGTTGTTGCATTCTTCATGGCGATGACTGAGCAATCTTGATTTTGACATTTGACCATTGACTCGACATCTTGGTAAGTAAGGTCACAGTAAGCAACACTAACGTCAGAGTCTTCTTCTGAGGATATAGATGTCAAGTTGAAGGATCCATGATCAGTATCACTTGATGTACTAGTCGACTGCATTATAAAGGTGCTCACAGACGTTTTCAAAAGTGCACTCGATTTGTTGTAGTGAGGCCTAGTGTTGAAGTTGGGAATATAGGTTAGTTTTGGGCAATTGACGGTCCAATATCTACTCAGTATCTGGAATGATGAGTTTCCATCACCGGGAATGCCGGCGATTGGAATCCCAAGTAGCGACGAGTAAAGGACTTCTTTGCTGTAATCGACAGTGGCCCAAGATCCATTGGAAACCGAGTTCAATTCAGAAAGGACTGGAATCCTGATATTTCCAAACAGATCTTGCGTCGAGTTCTGTAGCTTTCGAGTGGTTTTGAGCGCAGTCATGAATGTAGGTCCATACGAAGGCCACCCTTCGACAACGCCATCAGCACCACTCATGGCTGTATCCTGCTGTGCAAGCTCGATAGGCAAAAATCGGATCGTTGAATTGTAGGAGACAGTCCGTTGCGATTCGCCAAGGAGACGAAGTGCTGCTTGACCTCCTATAGGAGACAAAGCCCAGATTATTATGATTCCAAGGCCAAAAAAATTAGCTCCCCGGAGTGCAATTTGCCTCTCAATAGCAGCAAACAGGGATTGGCATCCAATGAGTCGTTCTAAGGTCTTCAAAAGTCAGCATTAATTGGTCCAGCACAAGTTCAGGTGCAGCATGCGAATGGGTGTCTCACCCCTAATTGGACCCCGCGTTCTGCCCAATGCAGACCCAATGTTCTGAAAAACTTCCCCGTTATAGCCGCAAATACTATAGGGAAAATTGTAGGCGCTAAAGTAATGGCCTTTTGTGTGTGATACCCGAGAGAAGATGCCGGCGTCTTATCGAGGGAAATTGAAATGGCAGCCAGGGCTAAAAGAAATGTCAGTATTATATCGTGTATGTTGTTCACAGAAAAGTGAACGTACTCAGGAAGAGGACTGAAAGTCCTACGAAAATGAAGTCAACGAGAAAGGAAACCCAGTGACTGCGGCTCCATTCTCCCAGAGGCTTCGGATACGACTGATATTGGTTCTCATAGACATCTTCGGGTGGGGGGTCATTCTTGATGTCGACGGACGGAGAGGAAGATTTGTCGAACGTGTTATTTTGTGTCTGTGGTTGAGAAATATCGTGATAGGCGGTGAGAGGAATATCATGTCCAGAACCAGAGACTCCAGAGTATCTCATGTCTTTGAGGCAGGGAAGGTTTATGTCGTGCTGTTGCCAATCAAGTATAGATATACTGATTACTAATTTGCGTAAGTAGACCTAGGACTCACGGTGGTAGAAAGTTACGAAGGCATCTCGTGGTTAAGATATAATTATCTTATATCCACCACGGATTTTACGTCGGATTCTGATTTGAGAGTTTTACGTAGTACTGTGCCTCATGACAAATCTGGCGACCACGCTGGCACGCCGTCATCTTAATTGGTCCTAGAATAACGATGAAGCGGAATGATATTGACGAAATACAGGGGGCTCATCGTACATCGTATAACAACTTTCTAATGAGGCATAAAGCACCGCTCAGCCGCATCGCTTAGCTATTTGGGGATTGGGGGCCAATTTGCCTTCGAACTTACCTATTCAAGGTAGCCAAGCGGATGCATTGAAACGGGTATGGATCCCGAACATCAATCCGAAAAGATGCTTAAAAAAGCCACGAGGTACTACTCGCTACTCCCGTTTTCAGGCGGACTTCAACGTTTCTTAAAGTTTGAACGTTGAGGTTTTGCGCAACAAACTCTGAGAACTATCAGGCGGATATACATGTGAAGTGAGACGGAGTTGGTTAATGGTATCTCCTGCAATTTCCCGCGGTGACGGGATCATAATAAGTCCGGAATTGAGTACCTGGTATCGTTACTCGTTGGCTTTCTTCCCGAGAGAAATATAGAACGGCATTAAACCCTGAGGGCTGGCCGGTGCGGATCCTTTCGGTTCGTAATTATAATATCTTCACATAAAGACTTGGTCCCCGATATCTATAATATGATTGTGCGGATGGCTTCCTCCTAATAGGGAGGCTGGCGAACGTCAAAGATGACTCTGTTGTTCTTTCTCAACATGCTTTCCCCCTCACAACCCCTAGAAAGAAGGCTTTGGTAGCCCTTTGCTCCTATCCGACACACGCGTCTGAAGAGCAGGTTTATTGTCTAGCTGGGCCAGGTGGCCGGGCTGCCTAATGTGGAAAAATTCCCTTGATACAAGTGATTAATTTCCTCAGCATTTCAGCCCATTCTATAGGATTCTTTTTGTCCTGTAGAACTCGAACGGTGCTTAGTGGTAATTGAAGTCACCAGATGTCCCATTACATCAATGATGCAAGCCAATGGTACCACATGACCAGAAACGGCCGAGGACATTCTAGGGGGCCGACCCATCCAATACGCTGTTTTTGCTGTGAATGGTCATAGACCCGGCGAGGAAAAATCAACGCTTGTTGATATAATAGAGCTCTGCCACTCCAAGCATACATCCGCTTGCTCCAATCTTGACGACCATGGCTAACCATAAACCCACCGACATACCGCTCCTCTGGGACCTAAACAGAAAGTTAGCCTTCGCTATTGGCGTAGCACAAGCAAACAACCTTCTTCCGCCTAATTTACTCGAAACGTGGAAGTCGTTTCTCTGTGATGCGTCGAATGGTAGGGAATACGAGGGTATCGATGAAATTTTGGGGGATTTGAAGAGGTTTGTGTATGGAACCACTAGGCCCCAGTAGAGAGATGGTTGAGGAGGCAATGATTGGATGGGGGATTTTAGTTGGTATTACAGGGCGAAACGAAACTTAGAGCAGGAGGGAATGGAAGAGAGCTAGAGGAAGTGCCTTGGAAATACGCCTTGACTATGTCAATGAGCACAAGGGGAAGGATACTTGTTGCGCCTGTCACTGGACAGACTACATGCAAGCTTAGAAAACAGTTTCAGTCTTGTAACATACATTCAACTAATCCATTATGAACATTCATACACTGAGATGCTTTCGAGCTCTCCCTAACATACAATTTCCATCTAATCCATCTTCCCACCCGTCAGCTCCTCCGCAATCTTCTTCATCCTCTGTCCGGTAAGAGCACCCGGCCCACCATGATACCTCACAGCCTCCCTCTCGGTATGCTTGACCGTCGACAACAGTGCCTGCACGGTAGGCGGCGGTCCCACCGCATCCCAAATATTATCAGTAGCTGCTCCCTTGAACGGGTGGGGCACAAAGATAGCCTCAATCTGCTTGTCCAACTGCTCCTCCGTGGTAATGAAGGACCGCGCATGCATATACAACGTATGCAGCGCGTTTTTCCTGGCTTCTTCCCGCCTTGCTTCCTTGGCCTTGACTCGCTGTGCTTTTGCTGCAACACGTTCTTCACGTTGCGGGTCGGGTACTGGTCCCAATTGCAGTTTTCGCACTGCCTCGGTGATGGTTGGGCTAGTCAGACGCTCGTCTTCTCGTTGTGGTGCGTGTACTAATCTCGCTCTCTCCTCGCTCGTGATCCGGCTTTGCCAGGCAATACGTTCGTCTGAGATCTTCTTCCTTCGTCGAAGGGATCTCAATCCATCGTGAAGATTGCTTCGCCTGTTTGTAGCGAGGCTCTTCTTCCATGCTGCGTATTCGTTCGCTGGTACGGTTCGGTCTTTTGGAAAGGGGGTGGTTCTCTTGAAGTACTTTGGTGAAGTCTTGTTGCCCGCGCGTTTAGGGAAAAGGTTTCGAGGAGGTGGAAGGACACCTTTGATGTCTAGTTTCGGAAACACCTGAGGCTGGCGTGTCGTGGGAATCTCTATGAACTTGGGGTTCTCTGGCCCGATGGCTGAAAGGGGTGTAGAAGTGCTGAATAGCCGTGAACTGGCGGCATTGAGACACCTGAAGCGGGGGAGAGACTGCAACTGGCCTGTAGACAATAAATGAGGCATTTTGAATATGACCTGCGCTGCGTCGAGATGCGCAGATGCAGCGTAGTGGTCTCCAGTTGAAGCTCTTGATGAAAATGTTAGCGTATTCTTGATGTTAGCGCGATCAAGCCACACGCGAGCCCCAGCCACAGGAACTTTTTTCACCGTCTCAAGAAAAAATATTTGCCCACCTTTTGTTACCCCAACACCAAATAATCAACCAACAGCGTACTGCGCAACTACATTCAAGATGGGTACCGCAAAGAAAGAAGGCGCCAGGAAGATTCGTCAGGGCAAGGCTGACGATGGCATGGCCAATGTCAAAGTCAAGGGCGAGAATTTCTATCGGTATGATTTGCGCATTGCTCACCATCATCGTTGCTGACCGAGGTCCTCTATAGCTCCGCGAAGAAAGTGAAGACCTTGAATATGTTCAAGGATGGAAAGGCACGAAGAAACGCAGCTGGTGATGTTACCATAGCTGCTTCCTTCCAAAGTCGGCAAGTACCTCAAGCACGAGTCGAGCCGAACAGAAAATGGTTCACCAACTCCCGAGTTATTGGCCAAGATGCGCTCAACTCTTTCAGAGAAGCTATGGCGGAACGAGCTTCGGACCCATACTCTGTGTTATTGAAGAGCAACAAGTTGCCTATGAGCTTGATCCGTGATGGCGAGGGTAAGAATGGGATCAAGCAACACAAAGCAAAGATGACCGTGGAAGCATCACCGTTCGGAGAAGTGTTTGGTCCCAAGGCTCAGAGGAAGCGTGTCAGACTCGACGTTAGCTCGTTAGAAGATCTCGCAGACGATAGCCTTAAGTCCCACGACACATACTTGGATCGCCTTGAACAAGCTAAACTCTTGAGTGGGACATCTGGTGACGCAGAAGCAGTTGGTGAAGCAGGTGTCATAGATAATGGCTATGTTTCAAGTGCCCGTGAGGCTATCTTCAATAAAGGGCAAAGCAAGCGGATCTGGAACGAACTCTACAAGGTCATTGACTCTTCCGATGTGGTTATCCATGTTCTTGATGCTAGAGATCCCTTGGGAACGAGATGTCGAAGTGTTGAGAAGTACATCAAGGAGGAGGCACCACACAAGCACTTGATATTCGTCTTGAACAAGTGCGATCTGGTACCTACCGGTGTTGCTGTAAGTAGTACCCCTCGCTTCCCTCATTTCCCATCCCTTTCCCATGTTCCATCGTTAAGTCAAGGCTCCTTCTGCATTTCTGTGCTCTTCACAATGGAAGGCTGTCTGTTACAACTTTGGTAGATTGAGTCCATTCTCGCCGCTCTTGGTCTTCGGACCTCGAGTAGATAGCTCACCGTCTTGGGGAGTCTATCGTAAAGAGTTTGGTGCTGTTTCGTTTGAGTTGAAGGCTACTTCCACTTTAGTGGCTGTGTGGTAGTTTTCTTAGTAATGATTCATACATATCCATTCAAACTTTTGCTGGCAGTTCCTAATATATCACAGGCTTCTTGGGTTCGCTATCTATCCAAAGATTACCCCACCCTCGCATTCCACGCATCCATCACAAATTCCTTTGGCAAAGGCTCTCTCATTCAACTCCTTCGCCAATTTTCTTCCCTGCATTCAGACCGCAAGCAGATCTCTGTCGGCTTCATCGGCTACCCTAATACTGGAAAATCCTCAATCATCAACACCCTTAGAAAGAAGAAAGTTTGTACAGTGGCACCAATCCCTGGAGAAACCAAGATCTGGCAATACATCACACTCATGAAGCGAATCTATCTCATCGACTGTCCTGGTGTGGTTCCGCCCAGCGTAACGGATACACCACAGGATATTCTGCTACGAGGTGTAGTCCGAGTTGAGAACGTTGAGAATCCAGAACAATACATCCCAGCTGTTCTTACAAAGACCAAACCACAACACATTGAAAGGACATACCAAATCAAGGGATACAATGATCACATTGAGTTCTTAGAATTGTTGGCAAGAAAGGGAGGAAGATTACTTCATGGTGGAGAGCCAGATGTTGATGGTGTTGCGAAGATGGTATTGAATGATTTTCTTCGTGGAAAGATCCCTTGGTTCACACCTCCACCACTCCTAGAAGGAGCCGAAAGTAAGGAGGCAGGTGTTGAAGGTCGATCCGGCAGACTCGGAGAGATGGGCAAGAAGCGAAAGCGAGACGATGAATCAGTGGCAGATACGTCTGTCATGGATGCCACTTCAACTGTTGCCGAGGAAGAAGATGACAGCTTCGAAGGATTTGGCAGTGATAGTGAAGACGGGGCCAATATTGATCTCGTCGATGCCGTCGATGCAGCATTTGGAGCTGATTCTGATGATGAAGACAGCGAAGTTGGTTCAGATCAAGAAGAAGCAGATTCATCGAACGAGGCGGATGCCGCTGGGGAGCAATTACAAGAAGAGCTGCATCATGATGTTGATGATTCGATAGAGAAGCGGCCGAAGAAGAAACGCCAAAAGTAGACAATTAGAACAATGTAAAGCAAGAAGATACCCAGTCGTCTATTTCCTTCATTGATATCTTTCTATTTTTCTGCCGCTCTAGGGGTAGTGTAGTGTTGTGTTAGGAGGCGCATTCGTTTGGCCATGACTGGTTGCTGCAAGGCAGTTGAAGCGTGGGGTCATGCAATCATATCATTCGTTGCTCTGTCTTACTGTCGTGGTCAAGAGTTGGTGCCGATTTGAAGGCTGTAGGCACTTGTCAAACCTATTTCAAACATCCCATCTTCTTCATGTTTGCACCCGGACGCTTTTCCCACTTAAAAGGATAGTCACTTGCCGCCAGATCTTCTTTGCTATTTTACTATTTTACCATGCCATCTGGCGGAATTCAGTATTCGAGTAGCCTGCGTCATTTGCCTCACACAGCCTAGGACACTGAGAGATATAAGTCTGAGAATTGTTTTATTGAAAGTTCAACGTTGAAGGTTAAGCCATGCACGCGTTTCACGTCCACTTCATCCTGAAAACTAGCCCAAGTGGCAGCACCGAGCCTACTTTTTCCCAAACGTCACCCCGAAATCCTCAAACCACAAAACACATCCCTCCCACCCAAACCCATCCAGCACCCCCTCCATCTCCTCCACCGCCCCAGTCATAGAATCGACAGCCAAGCCCCACAGCAGCACATCATTCATCACCGCCCTCATCGCAAGCTCCTCCTCGAACGCCTCATTATTACTCCCAGACAGCGCTTGCAGCTTATACAGCCATTTCCACTCCTCCAACTCGCAGTCATTGATCTCGCCTTTTTCATACTGTTCTTTGACTAGAGTGTTGATTTTGTCCCAGGGGAAGGCGATGCTTAAGATGCGTGCGTAGTGCGTGGGTATGGAGGCGGATGTGAGCTCGGCGAGTTCGGTGGTAGTATAGTCTGAGTGGACGTGGGAGTGTCCTATGGCTATAGCGCAGGGTGAAGATGGGCGATCTGGGCTGGAGTGTGTGGAGGCGGGTTCTTGAAAATCCTCGTCTACGTATCCGAGGGCGCGGACGAGGAAAGGAAGTCTTGGTGATTGGTCTTGGTTCTCAGAGATGCTCATCTTGATTCAGTAAATACTTTTCCTAGCCGGTGCTGTGGAGTTGGTAGTTTGTGTGAGTTTGGTGGCGTTCAAGGAAAGTGCTGTGGGATTCGCTGGAGAATATATACCTAGGTAGTGAGTTCAGGTGTGACTGCGTTGTTAGTGAATAACGTAGAATCTCATTTCACATTACTCGACCAGGGGTTTCGGAATTTCCTCAGCGTCAGCGAGCAAGTTTTTTCCCCAGGTTGTTATTGCGGTTCCGTTCCTTGTGTCACTTCAGAGACTTTCAACCAGTTATTAGCAAATTTCAGGTTGTAGACTTCATCTTCAGGCTTAGGGTTCGATGATTATGTTTACTACCAAAACATTCACAGCCCAGAGAAATACACTAGTCATGGCCTCGTGAGTATAAAATATCTCGAGTCTCGAGTCTTTCTTCAGCTACAATGTATTAGCTTCCTACAGTTCCTCATACTGCAAGCGCTTCCACATCCTAGATCTACCACGAAGTCTCGAAGTAAGAAAGTCTCTTTGCTCAAAACTAGGCGTCTCTTCCGCAACGATACTCCTCCAAAATGTTGGCCACGCGACCAAGCGAAAGGGGGCTCAATTTAGGTCCCCAGGGAGCAAACACGAGCCTCCTACCAACGAAAGATTCTTGGGTACCGACGCTTGAATCCTGGGCTCGGACTTACGACTCTAAGAGAAAGAAGGCTGCCACAGTCACACCAAACATCACTTCAGCATTTCAGAGGCCAACATATACCGTTGCAATCCCAACCCCCCCATCGACTCCTAGCCGCGCAAGCTCGACATACCAAACCCCAACCCTTGACAACCAAAATACCCCCGCTTTAAAGACCAGTGCCTGTACGTTTTCATACGACAAAGCTACAATTTCTTCGAGTATCGACAGGCTCATAGCAGAGTGCAGGCTTCAGGCATCTTCAACTCGCCCACCACTCGAAACACCATGGCTAGTAACCTCGAACCTCACCCTACCCCAACTCACCCATTGCCTCTCCCGTTTGTGCTTAGAGCTAAACTGGGATTGGTACGGCCAGAAGTACTTCCTCCTGAACCCAGGTTGCCCTCTCGCTCTCAGCAAGATCTGGAGGACGATGGTGAGCGCTATGTATGCGCATTACTGCGTTGAAACAGCCATGCCCGAGAAAATGTTGTGGGGTGCTTTAGTACAGAAAGAAGGGGGAAAGGAGGAGGCACTACGGTACTATAGGAGGCAGGTCCATAACATTGTGGCTTTCTTTGCTCATGTTAAGGGGGTGGCGAACGAAGGGGGTGTGGTTGAGGTAGTGACGAAGAAAGGGCAGTGCAATATGAGGGACTTCGTTGATACGCTGCTCTCTGCAGGTAAGTAAAAGTGCTCTTGCGCCTTGTTCTTGCTGACACAAATCCTGAAGGAGGCATTGTGAAGTTCTTGAAAGAGAAGGCACAATCGGTAGGTCTTGCATATCCGGGAGGAACAGGACGGTTCGAGGAACGAATTACAATGATTTTTCTTACGAGGAAGAAAGCTGCAAATGTGCACGAGTATCGAAATGTGCTTAGTCGTAAAGACTGATGATGGTAAAGGTATAAAATGGACTTGTGTATATAGCGTGCGTGGCTTTTCCTGTCACAGCGATATTACTAAATTTATCAAAAGATAACAGGCTCTGATAAAGTCGTGGCTTCTTCTTGAGGCTATAGGCTAAGTCTTGGGTCGTTTTTACTTCAATGTTGATGTGTATAGGTTGAGGCCAAGTAGCATCAATACCCGGCTGGTAGTACAAGTAGCGATTGTGCTGACCAGAATTCTCACAACTGGTATCAATTGCTAGGATTGGGTTTCCAAGCCCAAAAGCCTTGTGGTACAACACAAGTGCGGTCACGGATGGAAGGAGTGGCTGCTCCAAGACACATGGCACGTGATATTATCTCACAACCAATGTATTTGACTAACGTACTGTAACTAATATAGAGAGAGCATAAATACCTTAGAATAATCAAAGTATACATATTTATCACCTAGTATAAATCTAGCATAAACCCAAGCTAATTCTCAGCTGATTTCCTCAAACAGGGTAATTTCCTCCTGAAAATCTTCATTTCCGGCCTAGGAAGTCTCCATAATTCGCCCTAAGATGGCCCCGTTATATGCACATATATATTAAGCAAGCTCGCATCGTGTCACTAACATCCAGGGAGCTCCATATTATATGGCCCAAGAATAAGCCCCAAGCGTATTCGACTCATACAACACGCAATATGACAAAATATGGGTTTGACTAAGTCGACTTACACTAGTCAAATAGGGAAAGGAGTATGAATTGTGCAAAGCACGTTGACTTGCCGGGTACTTCGATCTCCATACAAATGTGGAGGCAGATGAGGTACCCGGCGAGGTCAGCCTAAGTGCATTATTGCTGCATCTATATGTAGCGATAATAACATTTTCTGCCACTTCTATTATGAATAATTAATTGATTCTAAGCACTTTAAATCCTTATTTTGCAATAGCACTTACATTAATACCCGCTAGGATAGGTAAGGAAGAATGTTATATAGACTGATGCATATCTAAAGTTGGGAATAGTTACAAATATGCAAAGGTGACTTGATTTCGCTATTTGTTTTGGTGGGGCTATAAGTCACTTTTCGTTCACTGGTGTGTGCGTTTACTTATGCATTTTATACTTCATCGGATCCTTCCTAAACTATTCAGCATAAATCGGCTTAGCTATTTTTCAAGTTGACTTAGTCAAACCCCTTTTTAAGTCTCAAACTAAGATTTGATGTGGAGAGACGGAACGAACCATGCCATACGACATTGCGTCCATATTTTAGAGCCGCAAAAACTACGGTACAACGGCCAAGCTAGAAGCAGGACCTTCTCGGTAGAAGCCGGATCCTAACTAGTCATGGAGCAAAGAGTGAGCTGCTTTACCTCCGATATAACCGGCAGCCGCAATCACAAGACCTGCTCGAATATCAACTGTTGGAATGCTGCTAGAAAAGTACCAATGATGTCTGTATAATGTAGCTCTACCGACTTCCACTTGGGACATATTATAGCAATTGAAATCGCATATGTGAACACAGACAGATGGCTAGCAATGTTCAGAATACCTTCGCCGCAGCTTTCGCCGCCTACATTAAAATGCAAGCTATCCAACAGGTATTCAGTCAGGACAAGAGTTGCCTCGAAGTCGCAGGATAAAGAGCGACATGCTTCTCTGCGATGATTAATTTGACTGTTGAATTCACGCTTTTTGAACATTGTCAAAATTCGATCCATTGCTTGGTTGCTTTGCAATCCATTGTAGACTCGATGACGTGAAGCAGCATGCCATGAATCGTGATGGCTGTGGTAGTGGTAACGAAGACAAAAAGTTCGAATTGGACCATGACACCAAAAGGGAAAGTGATTGGGCGAAATATCTAGTTGTCGAATCGAAACAGCAATGCCCTAGCTACACAATATATCTACCGCTACTCATCTAAATGCTCATCTACCCCAACCTCCGCTCAATCAATCTAGTGAAAAGGTGTGAATGGCCTCAGTCAAGCCAATAAGTGTACGGCTGACGAGTCAGCCGGAACGCCTGGATGGGTATTATTGCACAATTTACAGCGATCATGTTCCCCGGTAAAAGAAAAGCGCCATCACCCTCTGCGAGGCACAAGCCCCTAGCACCCTCACGAAGCCCCAACTCCTCAAACTATCTCATTTTCATGCTCCTTGATCTCTTCCCGAATTCTCCTCAGCCTGTTCTGCGCCTTCTCATACCCGTTGTAAAGCTCTTGACACTCCCTATCCGCATCGTTGTATTTCTTCCAATCCAGGCCCCCATACGCGCCCAGCTTCTCGTACGAAGCATACGCCTCCTCCTTCGCGATATACGCTTGTCCGCAGCTCATCTGCATGTCCGTCATGCCAGCCCTAATCCTCTTCTCCTCCTTCCTCAACCACTCAATCTTCTCCTCGGGTGTCTTCAAATCCTCGAATTCCTGTCCCCTGAACTCCTTGCGCAAGTAATCTTCCATGTAGTCTATTCCTTTCGGCCCAGTCTCGGACTCGCCGTTGTCTGTGCGAAGAGCATACGATGCACCTCGAATCATGCCGTTGCGCTTCCCGAAGTCGTAGAGGCCATAGGATACGGCGAGGGTGGACACTGAGACGGCCGCTATTTCACGAGCAGAAAACTTTTGCGGGTTGAGATAGCAGTAGGCGGCGAGGCCTGCATAGCCTATGGAGACGATGACGCTGTCGAGGATTCCATGAGGGGCAGAGATGTCAGAGGGAAAGGTAGCCTCATGCTTTTGTTGGCGGATATGGGTGCGTTTCGTGATAACTGAAGGGCGTCGAGTGGATTTTGCCATGATGTGTTTGGTATGTTTGTTGTTTGGAGTTGCTTCAAGGTGGAATTTGGGGAAAGAGCAAAGCAGGAAGTTTCCGGGACGAGGGTGTCATGTATGAACAGGTAAGCAATGAAATCTCTGAAGACAGGACCATGCTAGGGAATATATATCCATCCTATACTCTAGTCAAATCTAGGAAGATAAAATGTGGTTCCTGGCCCACAACGTTATCATAAATTGTGGATATCGGCATGTGCGAGGGTGTCATAGGGTGACTCGGTCCGATACACGTAAATAATTGGAATGAGATAATTCAGCCATCGCAAATTATATATACTGCTACATAGAAGAGTAGAAATCTGGATAGCTTCTGGACCCTTTTGCCTGATCTTTTTTTTGTTAGAAAGGGACGAAATGAGGTTGGCAAAGACTCTGAATGAAAAGGTATATAGCCCACAATGGCCTAGCGTTGGATCGGCAGACTGTGCCCCTACAGACTCACCGTACTTTCTCTTTCTCTCTTCAGCACCTGATGCACCGGATGCACCTGATGCACTGCCAAACGTCAATCACGGTCCGCAATAAGCGTGTTGCATATCTACCTAGCACTCCCTTTATGCTTGCTGTTCCAACTTATTCAAAACTTCCACTAACCACCTACTGTACTTTTCTCGTATCTTTTAAATCTTGCAGTGCGCAAACGGACGGCGAAGTAGCCTAGTGTTGGTTGTTCATTTGTCCCAAATATTTTGGTACTAAGGGCAGATTGATATAAGTTTGATTACTAGTAGTAGTCTCTTGTGAAAATAATTTGACGCGTTCACAAGGTCATACAACAAGGGACGTGAGATTGAGAATGAAGTATACTCAAGGCTAATCAGTCCTTTCTTGGGTATAAAATCTAGAAGAGAAGCCCTAGAGCTGGTGTATCCCAGAAGATGTTGCCATTTTTCTCACCATTGCCAGATGAGGTTGAGAAGGCGGTATTTCCATTGCTATCATCAACATCGCTACCATAACCATCCTCCAAATTGATAAAGTTAGAATCATCATTATCGTCGCCAGCGCCAGCACCAGCACCAGATCGAGATGAAATGGCGAATGGGAGTGTGAGTCTGCAGAGGTCTCTGTATCAGCCACGAATGTTGAGGCCTAACATCGTGAAAAGCTTCTTACCTGAAAATCTGGCCCTCGGTTCTTGATGCTCACGCATCGTTTCTTTTCGTATGGAATTACTGCATCCTCGCCATCTCCGCCGTCCCAAATAGAGATGAATTAGCCGATAAGAGCGCAGGCCTCGACACCCCTCTTACTCTTCTCGTCACCCACGACGGGCGTGTCTTTGCCGTCCCAGATAGAGCCCGAGTTCGTCAAAGGGGGGTGCGTGTCTGCGCATGCGTATTGGAGAATTGAGCTGTTCCGGTTGAGAGATAGGATATATTGGCTTACTGTGATGTATGTGTCTTTTCTCGCCCACTGGGACGGCGGTAGCTGAGGTGGCTAGGCCTAGGGCCGCAAGGAGATCCCAGTGGCCCCTTTTCCGAATTGGTATGGTGTAAGAGTAGGAGTCAAGCCATGGAACGGGCTGGTTTCCTCGCTCTCTTACAGCATCTGCAATTTTGGTAGTATTTACAAGGTCATTACAGCCAAGATAATGGTGGACAGACATTCGGCAGCTCCTGAAGTGGTAAGTTTTCCGAGTCCTGATCAATGCTCCATACTCAACTCAGACCCCACCATGCATGCTTATTGTGGAGTACGTGGGGTACATCCATGGCGATCGGAAGTATGATGTAAGATCTTACTTCGAAGTAAGTGAGTGAACATTGAGAGTGCTTGACTATTGGCCATGCACGATGCTGCTATTGCTTGAGATTCATCTTCCCACAGCTCCAGCTCAACATTCCCACTCCCTGACTCAATATCTTCTTTGACTACTTCTTCGATTCTCTTCTCTTCCTCCATCTCACAATTTTCACACCCCGGCCCTCTTCTCTCACCCCACTTCTTCCATCGATTCATCCCTCACCATCACGTTGTTCATCATCCGCACGAAACACTCGGACTTCGTCTACGAAAAGGCCTCCCGGTCTCCTTCCGACGATGGGACCGCCAGCGAAAAAGCCCAGGGCTCTCTCGCCCATGATCGCTGGCGACTCGCTGCCTCTGACTCTGACTCCCGAAAAGTTAGGCTCCTAGCCATCGTGTTGCTCGTCTGTTCAGGACCTTTAACGTTTAGCTTTTGGGCCTCATCGCGCACCAGTACGCGCACCGCGGGCTATCCAGCCCTCTCTTTCCAGAGCTCATATACTACAAGCCTCCCAAAATCTGCCATCTATCCTCTCAAGGCATAATTGACTCGAAGCCACAGCTCCCGCCCAAGAGATCATCCGCTACGAAGCCGAGGTCTTCACCCAAAAATAAAACCTGAGCTTTCCTCCTGTCCTGGTACCGACAAATCTTTAAAACGATTGAGAGGGCCTTAAACACGCTAGAGCTTTAAATATCACCAACATTTCAAAGTTATTGCGGTTGCCTATTCGTGGTTGTCTACCTACAGTAGCGAGCTAGCCTGACAAAACCCCGCTCCTGCATGAATGTTTACAATTGACACAGGCAGCAATGAACGACAACTCGATCGTATTTAAGAAAACCCATCAAATTTGCTAAAATATTGATTCTTTATGTAATCCGGCACTCCATTTTGGTTTTGTTGGGCATTAAGAGAAAGGACGCACTCCGATATTGATGCTCGGTTTGGGTTGGCGTACGAAGCTTCAGCCTGCCAAGTAGGATCTGCAATACTCAAGCCCTGCGACTCAGTCGCTCCTAGAAAAATGGAGCCTTTCTACCTCAAGAACGTCGCGAAATACCACTCGCTCGTCAACAAGATTGGTCCTACGCTAAAGCCACGGGTATCAACAGGAGAGGCTGGTCCGAACATGATTGTCAGTGCCAGAATCAGACCTCTGTCGAACGACGAAGGCTTCCCCTCTGCCATTTTCCCTCGGTCTAACCAGGAAAATGTGGTGGACATCCATGATCTCTACAATCATCCAAGAGGAATTCCAATACTCAAGGTACGAAGCCTAGCACTAGTACAAGCTGCTGATTTTGAATACTTGCAGTCCTTTGACTACCAGGTAGATCGGCTCTTCAACTCAGATTCAACCACAGAAGAGATCTACGAAGATCTCGTAGCCGACCTAGTCCCCTTTGCTTGGGATGGCGGTATCGGGACTCTCTTCGCTTACGGCCAGACAGGCTCGGGAAAAACATTCACAGTCAGCAGACTAGAGCAACTTGTTACTGAAACGTTAATGAACGGAAGTCTCAAAGGTGAAAGGGAGGTTTATATGACCATCATTGATCTCGCCGGCAACGCCGCCTTCGACCTTCTGAATGAGCGTGCGCCCATATCACTCCTTGAGGACTCCTTTGGAGCACGCAGATGGTAGGGGCAGAAGAGTACCAAGTATACGACAAAGAAAGGATGGGAGAACTGATTGAGCACGCGACCTCTTTCAGAAGGACGGCATCAACTCTCAAAAACGATGCTTCATCACGGTCACATGCTATATGTCGCATCCGGATCAGAGATCCAGCCACTTATTCAGATGGACTTCTGTATATGATCGATCTAGCCGGATCTGAAGGTGCTCGCGACGTTGCTGTGCATGGGGCAGACCGCATGCGTGAGACGCGCGAGATCAACATCAGCCTCTCAGTGCTAAAAGATTGCGTTCGTGGCAAGGCCCAAGCAGATACTCTCACTTCCTCGGGCAGGCGGAAGCCGGGCCTGAAATTGCCACATATACCGTTCCGACAAAGTGCCCTCACAAAGGTCTTAAAGCACGTTTTTGATCCGGCTAGTACCCGAGCGTGCAAGACGGTCGTGATAGCTTGTGTCAATCCAAGTCTTGCGGATGTTGGGTCGAGCAAGAATACGCTGCGGTTTGCGGAGATGCTGCGCGTACTGGCTCCGGCGACTAATAAGACGGATCTTGATCCCAAGGCTCCCATGGATTGGACGAATGCGCTGTTGAAGGAGTGGATCAAAGGAAACGTAAGTCTCATATATTCTTTTTCTATTTAGATATATAAACACTAATATGTGTATATATCTAGTCTGGTACCCCTCCAATCTTACCAAATGTCTTAGCTCCTCGCGAATCAGGTGCCCAACTGTTCATTCTCTCAAGTTCAGAGTTCGAGTACCGATGTCAAAAATGCCCCGGCGTCAGGCCCGAGCAAGCCAGAGCCTTTCGTGCGAAGTTATGGCAAATGCACATCGATTCACAGCAGAATAGCGAGCCATCGAAGAATATAATCAGATCGAGACCCACCGCGTCGGCGGAACCTGACACCATACCTGAAGAGTAGAATGTCCAGCTGTGACAGGTCAAAGAGCTGGAAGGAACATTAGTCGATGCTGGGCAATTGCATAATGCAGCTATCGATGCATGTTAGGGAGGCCGATTCGATAGAAGCAGCTAACGCTCTCTACACGATAAGTCAGTATCACAATCCTCCATCATCCTGGAGGTCTTGGCAGTTGGCAGGTAGTGAATTAGCCGAAGATGGATCTAAAAGAACTGCTTCATAGCTGGAACTGGGTGTTTTAGAATACAGCCGCGCGTGTTGGTCTTCCGGTAACACTCACCAAATGTCTTCTCTAACTAGCTTTCCTGATTACCGCATACATCATTTATCAGGTAGAACACCGCCTCGAGGAATGGGTCTGTCTGCGCTGCACGACATCTATATAATTGTGACTTCCCGCATCTCAAAACCGTGAATAGTATCAAGCGGTATCTCTTCATAGTCGGGAGCATACAACCTGCTCAGTGTATACGTAGCCACTCGTCGGTACGTATCGCCGTCGACTCTGAGAAGGACGATCCCAAAATTTATTCCAAGTTTTAGTAACACAACTTCCAAGGGCCCGTGGCATGCATGTGTCCAGCAGTCTTCATCAGCATCGGGATGGACGAGCAGAGGATGGTCGTCAATTGTCAATGATATGCCACGAATTTCTCCACTTTTCCATTCGTGGTAGGTCTCGCTATCCGTTTTGATCTTGATATCCTCGCACTTTGCCTTAATAACCAGTGAGCCATCAGTGACAGCTCCAAACGGTGCGTTTGGTAAGGTGAGTCTTGTTTTCGCGTCGATGATTTCGATCATCTCCTTGTATGGATCGTCGGGATAGTAGTGTCCATAAGAAATCGGCCCGTCCACCGATGCCCACGCCCAGGATGGAGCTATGTATTCAGGTTGCCTACGACGACGTGGAGTTTGTTCCTGCACCGACCAGCAAAGGCCATTGGGTAATTGTTCCTTTCACAGCCCGGCTAGGTACGTCTTACAATCCTCATTTTGTTCGTGGTATGTAGATGCTATAGCGGAAAGAGTAACAAGTTTATCCAAAGGAAATGTCACTGTAGTGCTGGAATATGTTTCAACTTTCCTATCCCAATACTTCCACTCCTGTCCTTGCGATTGTCGATATGATTCCTTTTCTGTCGTGGTACCGTAACTCTTTCGGCAAGACCATATTAATTCCCGTGAAGAGTAAATCAGAACCCTTTGCGATAGTAGGGATCCTTGGAACGTCCATGACCTCTCATTGATAGGATCTGGGATCTGGTCGGAAATGCTATGTTCCGAAAAAACAACTGTCATTTCTTGCTTTCCGTCAGATGTACGATATTGCAGACCCGTAGGAGGAAATGCCTTGTAGTAGAACGGGCGATGATGAAGAAATCCGTCTTTGCTGCTACGACTGCATGCGGCGGAAATTGTGAAAATAGCATATCGGTATATTGAAGCCCTAGATGCGGTATGATCCTGGATTAGTAATAATTTGATAGACAATGGCATCAGAGTTCTGGAAGTTGCCTACATTGTTGACAGTTCGTTCGACATATCTTCAGGGTCATCTTGAACGATGCACAAGCTATCAATCCATAAGTACGAGGCTCCAAAGCATCGACATACAGTTATAGCATCTGAGATTGTTTGTGGCAGGTCATTGACAGGAATCTCTTCATGGTAAGTATCCAATCGGTCTAGTGTTGTCTTTCAGTGCTGTTCGCCACCCCATGCATAGATTAAGGAGACCCAGGTGTTATATTTCGCCGAGACACGGTTTGTTTCAACAAGCCGCACCGCACCATCCGCACCTAGCTCGAGTAACCTTGTGGGAACAAAATTCGTTGCTGGCATAAGACAGCATGTATGTGAAGAGCGACATTCATCCAACAGCTGCTTAATCACGGCAATGGTTTGATCTGAAGCAATATCGTTGTCCGTGAAGGTGCGGAACATTGACTTGTCGCAAATAGAACCTTTACAGCAGGTTAGCCGGCCTTGTATTTAATTCTCAAATATTCTTGTTAGTAGACGTGCCATATGGGACATGAGGAACGATACCACAGCCAATGTCGTATTCATAGACACGACGAAGGGAATAGAAAATCTCGAGCTGGTTTCCTGATAATGGCAAGACAAGGTAGAAATGCAGGCTACGCATATTATCCAATACCCCATCGAAAAAGCGTCGCTCTTCGCAATAGAACACTCTTGCAAGGGTTCCAACACCCTTCCAGTTGCGCTTTTCCACCCACTTTTGCTCATCTTGGGAAGCCCAAAGGTATTTGAAAAAATTATACGCAACAATTTCCAACGACTGTGCTTTAGTTTGGCCTTGCAAATACCCGTAAAGACCGGACAACCATCCCGGGCTGCTTCAAGGACTTCGGACTTTGTGTGAGGAAGGCGTATAAACTCTATGCTATTCGAGTTACATATCCGTCATCGTCAAGTTCCATGTGATCTTGCCGAAGGATTATCTTCAGGCAATGCCGGCAGGTATGGAGTTCGAAACCGTGCTTCCAGCCGTCGCGCGACAGGTCAATGGTTCCGGCCGACATACTGTTCCCTATTCCCTATTCCCGTGAAGGTGCACACTTTCTAGTAATCGGTAGGCAGCAAGCTAGGTTTTTCAATCCCTTCAATTGGCGGTTGATCAATCAATCTGAAAGCATCTAGTAGATAGGGGGATTTCACTAGTGACTCTGTACAGGATCTTGGAAAATGGCAGGGCTTGGCGCAGGCAATGGTTATTCCGAGTTCCGAAAAGGGCCGAGGAATAATGGTTCGAGCTGTATCATGTGATGAGTCTTCTATCCTAACTTATATCATGGGGCGCTGTGGCGCAATTCTTCATGAGCACTCCGTATTCTGCCCAGCAGAGGCTATCCAAACGACTGCCAAAGATGCTGTTGAAAAAGTGGACAATCCTGGGGAAACTGAACATGTCAACACAGGGAAAAGCAGTGCTGATAACGGGGGGCGGTATTGTGGAGGCAGGTTGTGATTGATGTCGACTGGATGGATGTAGAAGTGCATACAGAGTATAACGCTGCGACGAGATACTATTATATTTCGGTTTGAATGACAGATAGCGCTCTTTACGGTGTTGGATTTCGAGTATTTACACTTACCGGCCATTAGAAGTCACATCAAAAGACTTTCCTTGAATTCTTTCTGGGGCTTGATACCATGCTTCAGTTATGTCACACTTGATGCATGCATTTTGTCAATTCCTTTCAAATTATAACTTTACTATATCCAAAACTCAACATTACCCATCTCAAGGAGATGCCGAAATCAGAGTCCCACGCATTGTTCGGCTCTCTTTTCGCTTGGGAGAGCTGTATTTTGATTACCTAGGCAGCTTCTAGTGCCGTTCTTTCAATCGAAGCGGTTTGTAGGAAGAGTGAGTTCCGTTTGAACGAAACCTGGCTCTTTCCAATGCTCTTGCAAAATACTTACTCCTTGATCAGTATCATGTAGCTGCTCTCTCCGCTGTACCACAGAGTGCCCCGGCATCAACCTTTTTAGCTTGGACGAGAAACAGGAGTCTTCTCCAGACAAAGCCAGCAGCACAAGATACTTCTTCATTCTGCTTGTCCTCGCAAACACCCTGACCGTAGGCTCCTAATTTGCTATCACACCACCTTCCCCACCTTCCCCACCAGCCGCTACTTCCGCATGCTTCTGATCAAGCTTATCAAACTTACGAACAACCTGCAAAGTTGCATAGTATCCAAATGGAAGAGCAAAGAACCAGAACCCCAGATTAATGCTCGCTGTTGCGATTAAGACCGTTGGGACAGCCTGAACTCCGAAACCTACAGCGACGCCAGCGGTCTCAATGCCCCGAAGTAGAGAACTGTAGCGTATTTGATCCCCAGGCGACTCTGAAAGAGTGCCAATGCACCAATAAATGTAATTTTCAACGAGACTCAGGCTGGCACGCTCGATCATGTAGAGTCCGAATCCACGCCCGAAAGAACTCTGGGCACCCCAGTCTAGTACAGGTAGGGTATGACGGTATTCGTTCTGGAGGTAGACAGCCCATATCCAGGTCCCGCTATTGAGACTGGCGATGAAGATATAGGTTACAATAGCCCGTGTTCGGCGGGATTTGGTCCATGGCAGATCAACGAGAGCTCCTCCTAGCCAGGTAGCAAAAGTCCCGATAATAGCAGACAAGAAGCTAGCGAGTGCACGAGAACGAACTGTGAAATAGGTCGCTAGATATGTTCCTGGATATGCTTGTGTCCAGCCAAAATACCAGAAAAGAGGAATCAGCAGGAGAATTGGTTTGCTTATGGCGAGTCGCCACATGGCTTTAGCTTGGACACGCCAGTTGATTCCCCTGGGTGCAGCAATCATTGTGCCATCATCGCGCACTACTTTGTCAGGATTTGAGAGCAGGAATGCAATGAAGAAGCCGAGACATTGGATGGCGATGAACGCTTGATAGGTGCCGTACCCGACCTTCCCCTTTTTATTGACGTTATGATTGATACCGAGGGAAATCGCACCCCCAATAATGTTTCCAAAGTTTCGGAACGTGAACCAAGTTGCAAGGTAGCGACCTCTCTTGTGTTGTTCGGGGTAGCCTACGGAAATAGCTCCTTCAACACTCCAGAAAAATCCCGCAGTGATGCCACAAGCAACTGCCCCAAAGTACACAAACCACGTGGTCCCATACCGATTATTGACATATAATCCTGCGGCATAAAGCGGGTAGCCCAAGGATCCGATAGCCAGTGTCCATCTGAAACCGATGAGGTTCGTGAGCCATGGCCCAGTGAAGCATGTCACAGTCATAAATGCATATAGTAAGGCGTTGGCTGCATTGACAAGATTTGGGCTTTGAGAACCACCAACACCGAGGCCATTCATTGCGCTCCATATTCCAGGCGCGCAGAAAGCGCAGAGGCCAACAACTAGAATTTGGAAGAGCGTACGCCGGAAAAATGGTGGGCGATCTTTCTTCAATGGTACTGGGGGATTATACCTCGATCCAGACGAATCTTCGCTGAGTTCCTCCTTTCCGATGACAAAACCTGTCTTTGCCTGCGCTGGCGCGGAAACGTTCGACATGGCGACAGAGATGGAGATATATTGGTCAAGTCAGTTTGTCAACAAAATGTTAAAAGGAGACAACGTATCACGGGCTGAGTAAAGTCTCTCAACGAAAATGAAAAAGTATACGCTGCTAGCCGCGAGAAAAGGAGATGAAATTCAACAAGACAAGATTTGATATGCAGGCCACTGGTATATGTACTTATTACTCGAAGACTCGCCGAGGTGGACGACTTCACCTTGACCCATTTTACTCAGGAGCACGCAAGTAAAGCAATTCAGACGTGATACGCAGTACGTACTTCCTCCAAACACTTAAAAGCGATCCCTGTAAACTACTCACTCATTGGAAGCCTTTGGAATTATCCCTGTCTACTTGAAGATAACATTCCGCAGAAAGAATGATAATTGGGAGACGGCAGAGGAACCGCTATCTCTGTGAATAGTAAGAGGAGGTAATTTATGTTGATTGCTCTGATATTGACAAATGTAGAACCGATAGCTGGAAATAAACAAATTCTTCCCCAAGACTAAATTCCAGGGTTCCCCACTCTTGAAAGCAGAGTGTGGGGAGGTGGCACGATGAACCATGATTCTGGATTCTATAGTGACACGGATTATGGACTGCGTGATCTTAGCACGGATGATGAAATCTTCATGTGCTTGCAAAGATATCGATGATATAGATAGGTAGGTAGCTAAAGATACCTGCGAAGCATTTTCCTAACGCGATACTGTCAATGTTCCTAAGTAAATCAACCAGCACATCAATATTTCAGATAGTATCGGTTTAATTAACAACATAATTTCATTATGTCTACAGCTATTGAACAACACGCAATTCATGCCCTCAAACTTGATGACTCGCCATCCTCAACACTCGTCTTCGAGGCCTTTGACTTGCCGGCCAGCAACCAGCGTGTACTCGGTGCTCCAGCTCCTAGCGGCACGGTCATCCCTTTGGCTCTGCGTCCATCTACCCCCAACGATGCTGAAATTAGTCTTGATACAGTTGTCGAAACAGTAAAGACTCTCCAGGCAAAGGAAGGGCTATTGACCCAGAAGCTTGCTCGTCACGGAACGCTGCTATTCAGAGGCCTTCCGATTTACAACGCCGAAGACTTCAGCAAGTTTGCCCATGCTTTCGGTTACAAGCCCCACGAGATCATTGGTATTGTGGTGGACCGGCCAATTATTGCCCCAAATGTGGCTCCAGCAAACGAAGCACCAAAGGAAGTACTTATCTACAACCACAACGAATCACCACAAGTCCCACACGCTCCCGAATATATCTTCTTCTATTCGCACAGGGCACCAGCGAAGGGTGGTGAGACTCCTATCTCATCATCACTTGAACTATTCCACCGTGCACAGCAGGAGATCCCAGAGTTCGTGACAGAGCTTTCTGAAAAGGGCATCCTAAGCAAGGTCACCTACAAAGTAGGCAAAGAGTACGAAGGTGGATCCACCTTGCAGCAAGCATTTGGAAAGGATTTTGAGGAAGGAGATGATGAGGTCACAAAGCGCAAGAAGATCGAGGCTCAAATCGCACGGTATGGAAGAGGCAAGCACACGACATGGGAATGGACGGACGACGGCGTTATTCTGACACATAGGCTGCCCGCAATCCGTACCCAACCTGAGACTAAGCTGCCCACTCTTTTCACCGGACTTGCGGCTTACTACAAGTATCTTCACGGCAACAATACAGCGAGAAAGAACGTTACGAGCCAGTTGTTTGGTGATGGAACACCTATCCCAGAAAAGTATCTCGCACATCTCGCAAAGCTCACCGAAGAGATTCGCATGCTTCACAAATGGCAGCGGGGCGATGTACTGGTCTTTGATAACATCATCGCCCAACATGGAAGAGAGCCATGGGAAGGCGAACAGTCAGATCGTGTTGTCCTTGCAAGTCTTTTTGATGGTGAAGTACCTGGTGCATATAATTCTGAGGACTGGGCTCAAGTTGTTCAAGCTCTTGACGGTTAGGATCTGGTTTGCAAGGTCACATAATAAGGGATGTGAGTGATTCCTGAGAATGAAGTAGTACTCAAGGCTAATCAGTCCTTTCTTGGGTATAAAATCCAGAAGAGAAACTCGACTTAGTTATCCTAGTGAGAATTGCCATGACCCTCTTTATTGCCAGATAAGCCATCATTATCAACCTCATCATCTTCATTGTCCTCACCATCCTCATCATCCTCATCGCTATCCTCAGAATCACTGCTGTAGCCTGTCGTAACCCGCACCATTTAATTTTTCGTGCCACCACGTCTTCGTGGAGCTGTCCCAGTTGTCTTTATCGACCTCTGGTATCAGGTCCACCAAATCATCTGGGATAACATAGTCGCCTGCGATTGAAAGTTCGTCACGAGGACTTCCACGTGGAGGGAATATGTTTCCCTATCCGTCTTTTGATCGAGCCCGGAAGCGCCAAAGGGTACCATCAGAGTTAGTGATGATGAAATGGCCGTTTCCTTCTTCGACCTTATGCTGGATGGCCGTCTTCGTTAATTCAACACCTGCTTTCTGTCCTTCGATCCCAATTTCCCGCTGGTCTAAACCAGAATGAGCATTCAACTCGGTCACAGTAATAGTAACACGGTTCTTATTTGCCTCTTGCTTTAGGAAAGCCCAGTCGTCCTGATAGAGATATTGTCCTCCTATGTAGTCAACTGCGATCCCATCAAAGACCATGCCCTCGGTGGGCGATATAACGTGAGACACTAGGCTGACAAAGTGGAATTCTGGAATATCTTCCTCAACCCAGAGATTAGAATCGTCGAAGAAATCGTATGTGGTCATTATGCTTTTGCCACGTTTGACATCGCGAATATCCGATTCCAGGCGTGCTCTGAACGACTGATCATCCCAATGCTCTAGGTGCGAACCCATCTGCAAAAGTCCTAGACCGTTTGTCGTAGCAGCGCGAAAGCTTGTAGTGACGGCATCTGATCCTGGGGAATTTCGTAGAGCGCAGACCGAACGATAATATAGACCTTTTCAAGTCCTGCACACCCCCAAAAGGTATCATACGGGATACTCAAATAGCCTTGTCCGTCATCGTCAGACTGGTCATCTTCAAGCTCCTGAGCATACTCAGATACTGGCAGCGTAGGCTCCACCAAACCTTGAAGGATTTGGATAAATCCATATTTATCTCCAAAGTCGGAATCACAGCAATGCTGGAATCTCTCATCGCAGATAAAAGCGACGTTTGCAATAGGCTCTTGGTGCGCAGGAACAGCAAAAAAGTCGATTAACGTGCGAATGCAAGTTTTCTCTCCGAAGTAAAGGACATCTTTATCAAAGAGGTATACTTTGACGGCATCGCCACGAGAACCAAAAGTCCGTGGCTTGTATCCGGCCTTAAGTGCAACAGAGCGAGTCTCTCTGGATACATGAAGCATCGACAGTATTTGTCGAGACTTTAAGGAAACTGTGTATCTACGGCGGTGGTCGCTCGGCTCACTCTCCAGGTCTTCTAGTTCAACTATTCGCCCAGTCTCGACCCTAATATTCCAAATCATGAGTCGTAGTTCGATTGGAAGTCCGCCGAATGGGCGAAAAGTTTGTAAGGGGACTCCAGTTTGGTTGACCGAGGGCTGTATTCGTACCATGTTGGCATACGGGTCCTTCGAATTGAGCTTGAGTCTCCTGCGGCAGCAGCGACTGGCCATGGGCGGGGTCGTTTTCATCCTCGACAGCTTCGTGGCTCTGCAATTCGGAATAGGTTGTGTTATTGTGACTACTATCTGCGGGATCGTTCATTGCCTTTAGTTGCAAGAGTCAGCTAACAGCTAAGTATGCTCTACGTTGGCTTAAATAGCATACCTGATAAAGTTCGTTCCTACCAGGAGATGAACTAGGCTCGCTCATGGCTTGGTATTCGTTAAATAGTAGAAATAACGAAATAGATAAAGGCTGGGATCTTGATGGAAGTGGATGGCACCTTGATTCTTTGAAAACTTACTCCCAAAGTAATTAGATACCAGAAAGATTGTGCTTGCTGCGGGGAATAAGTGCAAAAGGAAGCAAAAAAAGGAATTGAATAAACATGCAGGAAAGCAGGCCGATAAGATGACAGGCTCCGTATCTTCCACCGTGGCATATTCATGTGCGTCTAATTTCCAACGCACTTAGCGCCTAAGAAAACCTCTTGCTAAATATATATTCTACCCAGGTATAGGGCTTTCTAACGACTAATCTTTATCTTTCCAGACAAGTTCTAGATAAAGTAGTCTTACTACTATAGGGAAGTATCACTTGAATGGTTTCTATGCTTTTAGTAGATATAGAGCTTGTATTGAAGATATTTAGGCATTTCGGCGCCGATTTCACATTTACTAATATAGAGCTTTTCATGAATATACCTAGTTAGTCTTTATCCCAAAATGCGAGGCAATCCAAAAATCGTCACATAACTCATAGCATACAGTGGACTGACCATGACCTATATATTTGACTCCTCGCTGTCCTTTAGGTTCCAACGTTGATTTCCTTGTAATATATTATATCGGTGAGATATATGCCCACCATTCCACTAAACTCTCGTTTGAGCTCCATAGAAATTGGTCATTTGGTTACGAAATCTAGCTACTATTTGCTTTGTCATCGTTGCTAAGCTATGGTAGCAAGCCTTTATCAGAGCGCTGTATGAATTATGGCCGAAAGTCTTTATCAAGCCATGGTTTGCTGTCCTTTGGCACACAAAGTTACCACTTTCTCAGATTGAGATAAAACATAATAGGATTAATTGCTATTATGTTAAGTAGAAAAACGCGTCAAGTTTTCTCGGTGCACTAAACTAGCCACGAGCAATTCTTGATGAAGGAGGTTTTGAAGACGGAACAGCAGGTAGGAAGCACAAATATCGAGTAGCAGTCTCTTAAGATGTTAGATGAGTGGTTTATTCGGATTACCTGCAGCTCGTTTTTAGTACAAAGAACCCTAAAGCTTTCTGTGAAAGTAGCGCCGGATGATATGCTTGTCTGAAGTTCTTCTGGATATAGTACTTAATACATTTTCTGAAAAAGGCCTGTCAAACTTATTCTAGTCAATAGTCAAATCCATCTCCGCTGAACTATGACCTCAGAATCCTTTCTATACCAGCCGTCCTTGTCCCACCCCAACTTCTTAAACTCAGAACCAATCTGGTTTGTATGTACCCAAAGCCCACCTTCTTGGCTCAACTTCTCCTCGATAGCTCTTTTAGATTGAATGATCCCATCCCTTGATCCTTCAAAGCAGATCTCAAATACATACTGTCCCAGGAGACGATCCCTAGTTTCGGGTAACTTAAGCTTCCCAGGAGAGGTCCATGTACCGATAGTCAAATGATAGTTCTCCTGTAAATACTTTAAGAAATCAAAGTCGGGATGAGCAAGATATTCGATGGCCGCGCTATTAATCCCCATGCTGTCATAGACCAAGTCTTCAGAGTAACTCTGTGGTGCTAAGCTGGAAAAATGAAACTTGGGCAATTGGTCGCCGACCCATCGATTCTCATCATAAGACGACATGGGGTCGCCATCGCCTATACGATCCATCCTTCGCTCCAGAAGGTATCTTTCATGAGTCTGCTTATGTGTCAGGCCACACGTGGTAGCAGCGCGGAGGCCAATACCATAGTCTACATCTCCACCCGCAAGTTGACATTGCTGCGTATCCGTAACCATGTAAATGTTTTTAACGCCTGGACACCCGTTGTGAAACGTGCTGAGGCCATCGGTGAAGTTTGCGCGGTCGATGCCGTGGAGAGCTAACAAATCATAGACGGGATCTTCGGGTTCGTCCTCGAAGTTATGACTGAAACATTCTCTGTCACCGGTCCAGACTGCTATATTCGGAATATCACGACACTTGTGTCCAAATATAGGATTGAAGAGGTACACCAGCGTAGCAGTACAGCATAGCTTGCCGAAGTATACGATGTCTATCTCGGGCCGCCAATAGACTGGATTCCTGTTAGATTCGGCGTCATTTGACTCGACTTCGGTGTCGAACGTTCTCCTGTCGTAAATTTTGTATGCCTCGTCGTAGCTTCCCTTGCAGATTGTGAACGCCTAAATAAGAATAACTTCGAGTCAGCATTGCCTATCGTAGTATACTTCGGAACTAGGAGACTGCTCGACCGGTCTTGAAACTTCCCCCCAAAGATTTGAAATATGTGACCGTCTATTAAAAGCTGACTTACTGCGGGAATCTCTCGTGACTTATCACTGACACGTCGATAGTAATGCCTCCGTGTTTCTTCGCCACTCTCGTGATGTTGAAGTTTAAGTAAGGGGTTGTACTTTCTTAGCAATGGAGGAATCCCTCTGTTCTCAGGGACCGCAGGCATGACATCTTCGTTCTCGAGTTCGATAAGACGAGGGGGTGTCATGTAAATGTGAAACCTCCAGATCAATGCTTGCAGTTCGGGAGGGAGTTTGATGAAGAAGGAAAATTCTCCCCTGAATTTATTAGTAAGTAGTAACTAGCATTTATAGACCCCATACCTGTCCTCATAGCTTTCCTCATCGCTTTCCTCATCGCTTTCCTCATCGATTTCGTCACTCTTTGTATCATTGTCGATCTTCTTGAGGTCGTCATTGCTCGTGTTAAGCTGTGCGAAAGCCTCAGCCTCGGTCGACTGGTTGTTGTTTAGAGATCGATGTAGAGCTGCATTCAAACCAGTCAAGTCTCTTTCCGAGTTCAAGATCGGCCGATGATTGTCAAGGGATCGCCGCAGAGCTGTATTCGAAATGGTCCACTTGCTTGCCTGGTCTCTGGTCGGAGAGCCTGCGAAAAGTAGTATGTTAGCTTTGGTTCTTATTTAGCAAAATCACAGACATGTCGCGTCAACCCAAGTGTCGTAAGTCGTTATTCAAATAGATCCTTTAGTCTGCAGACGCCTCGGACATTTTGGAAGGGTGTATATAACATAGTAGGGACGATCTTACCATTTGTGATTTGAAGTCTACCTAAATTCGCCATGTAGCCACCTT